TTTACCGAGCGTTTATATTTAGTCGTTGACGTTGTTGCGGGATGGCGGTCCATTGCCCACTTCGAAGGCCGCCGAGATGGTGTGGCCGTACAGGTGGCCGCATCTCAAGCGACCCAGGTGCCTTCGGCTCCTTGCTGATCCCTCAAGCCACCCAACATCCCTTGACAGTAAGGAGGAAGATCCGATTCGAGGTTAGTCGCTCAGCGGGAGTTTAGTTTTCGCCGTCAACTTGTGCGGCGAGTGGCGGAGAATTTCGCATTCCTTAATTCTGACATGAAATGGATTAATAGGTCATGGCCTCGACCGATGAGCGAGCGCTCCACTGTAGGCAGTACGGGGGCCACAATGCAACATCGCAATTCAGTTGTTGGAAGTCCACATTGGCTGCAGTGGAGTCGTTCAATAGACCCGGGTCAACCTTCACTGCGGACATCGGCAGACAGATAATAGTTGGACCCAAAGCTTGCGAGGTTTGGCGGCGGTGAGCCCGGCGATCCGCACTTTTGTCCCCCAAATCCAACCGAAGGACCTACGAAGCAACAGGAATAAAACCGGATAGTCACAAAATTACTCGAAAGAGTGGGGAAAGGGTGCCCGCTCAAAAGCCATTAGGCCGTCATGTAATTGGCCTTTTATCGCAGCCGGACGCTGTTGGAGCCTTCAGAATCGAGGCAATCTGACCGAGAACCAAGCCCGGGATAGTGGCGGTTGCATTCAGTGTAAGTGCAAAACGGTGGTGATCAATGGCGCAATTGCTAATTTGTGGTGTGGCTGGCATTTACACTAACGTGGCCCGCATTAGCTCATGGAGGAGGTATAAGGGACGTCTTCCTGGAGAGTCCATGATTTCGTCCAGCCGATTGCATTCCAACGACAAAGCCAGAGCATCATTCGATTCCACCTTCACCCATCCTACGTCTCGGCCTCAGCAGCTCCGATTGGGGTTATCGAAAGCCAGTGCGTCCGCACTAACCTGGCGACTGGAGTCTTGCTGCACGAATTTGCCAGGCATGGAATCGATATCGTCAGTCACTGATTCATTTCTGATTTCTGGATTCTTCAACCAGATTCTCTTCTGAGGTGCGCCACCCAACACAGGGATGCAATTTCAACCGTTAAAGGCGACGGGAAATCTATACAGGTGACGGTTCAGACAGCAATTAAGCGTCGCCAACATTACTGTCTACAGGTACTGGGGATTAGCCAAGCCCTGCAGATACAGGAGGATGGACAACATGCCGACAAGCAAGTAGGAGGCTCCTCTCGGTTGAAGTCCAATTTCCGAAACGTCTCTCCCAACGGCATTTACGTTCTAACCTGATTTGGCTTTACTACTTCGTACTGCAAGGATGGTAGGAAAGACCACTTCGGATGATCCAAGCGTTCCTCGCTACCTTCGGATTGTGTGTGGATGTTTGTTTAAATTGGGGGTGTTGTCCCTTACCCTGTCTCGTATACGTATATGATGCAACCGATCAAGCGATACATTTGCAAGTCAACCGTATGGTATCTCGTGGTTAGTCTCAGCTCGCCGAACACGTTTACCCCCTCCTCTTTCCCTAGTTTGGATAGAAATCGAAGTGATCTGGACTTACAAGAACAACCTCGCTGAATATGCTGTCTCCGCCTCAAGCACGATACGTGCAGCGAAATCCGACCCTGGGGATTCATACCAGTAGCAGTCTAACTGGCCGCAGATGCACCCCCCTTTGGGTACTGATCACCTTGCATTGCAGCGCTAAAGGGCCAACGGGCATTGGTAGAGACATGGTCCATCGATCCCCTCTTTCCGATGTGGTGCAGCAGTTTCGTGGACTAGTTCCGCTCTGGGAGAAATTCTAACAAAATCGACGGGGATGTTCTGTGCTACTTGTTACGCCGCAGCAAAACGACATGGAGAAGCGAGCCTGAATCGAGAGGCTTCAATATGTCTGAAATGGTGCTAGCCTGAGGTTCAGGAACACTTCCCCGGCCTGCCCTGCAGATCTTGATCCAGGGATCCCCCCTCTATCATAAGTCAGAATACGACATCTCGACGACACCACACAGGTCCCTGGCCAGGTTATGTCTCGATGCGCTACTGCACATGATGTGCGCTAGATGTTAACCAAGTTTCACTGCAGAAGATGACAGACGACAATGCTACAGTACCCTCGACTGAATTAGGGTGCCAAGTACCAAGGCACATGCGGTGCGGCACAAACAGCCACCGGTCATGTCAGGAGGAGAGACTGCACAACACTCTCACAACTTTGAGCCCGGGCCAAGCTTGAGGCCGCAGAGCCGTCATCTCTTAGACTTTATACACTTTTTTCCTCCCTAGAAAAGCGTTCATTTCATATTAATGACTGTTCTATTCTTCCGGTATATCCCGGTTGCGAGTTGACCTTTTGACTCTCTCGATTCCTGTTCTGAGATTCCGCCCCAGGATTTGTCTGGCCTCAGCCAACGAACCCCGGACAAAAATCCCCCTACCTTTATTGTCGTTCTTTGGATGAGATGCGACTTTCTTCTGGAAAAGTCCGGGAATTATTTGTCGTGCCAAGCAAGTTTATGGTTCAACAGTGAAGAGGGGGGAGGCGTGTGCATCACGCTGTTCAGCCCTGACAGCCCGGGGGGCGTGAAGATTCAATGTTGTGATTCAATTCAGCATCTGGTGGTGCACAAACAAGTGTCAGGGTGGGTGGGCTCAGACCGTCGATGGATTTGTACCCCACACACCCCGTCCATTCCGGCCCTCAAGTCTCCACAAAGCACTGCAACGTGTCTTGCAAACATGTTGATGAGGGCTTCCTGTTTCGTCCAGTATCGTGTGCACTACTTTTTTTTAAGCGCCAACGTCTGGCTTCTTTTGTTTGTCTTCTCCATGCGCATGCGTGGGGCTGAGGCTTCCAACGAGAGAATGGAGCGTTCGTGTTTTCTGTCTGCGGATGGAGAAACAGCCCACCCTCGACGCAGGTTTCTGAATCTGGAGGCTTCTCTGATGACACTCCCAGGTTTGCTGCTTTCCTTTTTCATTCTTCTGGCCCCCATCATGCGGCTTTTCCTTGCGGCCCTGAGCCCAGTATTTTCAAGATTTCGAGCCACTGATGTCACGAGTATAAATTTTCACATTCTTTGGGAGGAAAATAAAGGGCAAAAATCCCTGTTTGGACGAAGCTATCGTGGTATTATTTCGCTAGTAGCCAAGTCTACCCGGTTCCACCCCCTTCAAATCTTAGCTGTGCTTTGACGGCCGTCAACTAACACGCCTCCTCCCTCACGTCGCGATCCTTTTGGGGGCGGGCGTTAGGCACAAAAGGACATGACTGAGGATACTGGCGTGCGAAGTCTTCTTTCTGTAAACGAGGTTGAGCGAAGGGTCGGGTTTTGAGGTGTATCTCTTACAGAGAAGACCAACGATTATAATGTGCATTTTGGTGGAGTTTTAGGTCTTCCTCGGCCGCGCAAGGCGCAGGATCGCGGCTAATATTGTCAGATAGGCATTTTTTTATTTTTTTCAGGTCCCCAAATCCATTTTCGCAAATGCGACAGGCGAGGTGGCCGCTGGGCGCTGAATCCTGCCTAATCCTGCCAACATATACCCTAGAATGGGATAGGAGGTATGCTGGACAATCTGAATACGGGAGTCAACCCGGGGATCTGAGCAGATTCGACGACCAACGGCGGCATTCCCTTCCACACGCCCCCCGGGGCAATACGGATGTGGGACTAACTGGTCACGATCCGATGTTGGCTTGCAGTGTCGGCAAACTCGTTAGTTGGCCCGGCGGCCAGGGCATGATGGCGACAGATTCGCCTTGGAGATGCCCAGTGACGATGAGTGCATTCCTGGACGATCGAGACCATCTCGGGGTCCGAAACTTGTCGCGTGCTGGGCTTGCGCCCCGTTCTTCTTTCCCCGTTTCTTTTCTTCATTTCCACTTCTCCGTTCTCTTAGCCCCCAATTTCTTATTGATGTCATTGCCATTTCCCCCCTTCCTCCATGAGCAGCACGAAGCTCAATTGGTGACGGGGATCGATCCAGGAGACAGTTGAGCAAGCAACGAGTTTAGTAAAAAAAAAAATCTGATTTAATTGGTTGATTCTATCAAACGAAGTTACTCGCAGTCTATGTGCCACTCCCTTTTCTTCTCCATCGATCAAGTCAATCTGTTGAAAAGAAAAGAAAAAATTGGATCCAAAAGCCAGTGTGGAAAACAGCTCAACAGACACACATAAGGAAAAGGAGAGGGAATCGATGATAAAAAAGGGGAGGAAAAAAAACATTCGAAGGGAACCAAGATAAAAAAAAAAGAGTTCCATCAAGAAACCTCCCCTCTGATATTAATATACACTCGAGTAGCCAGTCGCCCCTTTTTGGCAGCTTTTCCCTCCTTTAGAATACAGCCTTCGTTTCTCATTTTCTTCATCTTCTTCTTCTTCCTCCTCCTCCTCCTCTGTCGCTCTCTCCTCGATGCTGGCGTACCCTCTGCACCTTTTTTTCTTTTTATTCTCACTTCACTTTTCGTTCCATCCACTTGAATAGGAAAACCGGCCATAGGGCTGGAATAAGAGAAAAATGAAGTCTTTGTTTGATCGAGTCCACAACTTCCATTACCTATGCACAGAAAAAGCCACGAATCCTATTTTCCCCTCTCTTTTTCAGGTTGAAAATACCAGTCTTTTTGATTCTATATTGCAAAGCTCTGGGTCGTAACACCGGGGCCAAAAGGGCGGAAAGGAAACAAGGAGAAAAAAGAAGGAAAAAACGAACCGGATGACGACCATGTCATGATGCATTAATTTGACGCCGTAGAAGAGTAAAAAAAACACTAGAAACGCATGGGAAAAGAGAAAGTTTTTTGGGAGAGAGAAAAAAGACACAATGCGTCGTAATTTCGATGTAACACTATAAACGCCTCGAAAAAAAACAAGGCCATGCTGTGCTAGGACTCGATGCTTTCTTGCGATCAGTCGGCTGGCAACTTATGTAGCCGAGGGTCATCCTGCCTGCCTCCTTAATTCTGAGGTCCAGGGGTTCTAGGAGACCACTGAGGTGACTGTTATCGCAAAAGCGTGTAAGCATACTTTGGGTTCAAGTACAAAGCGGGGGTATCATCAAATCAACTTACAGTAGGGGAGTAGCTGGGGCTCGTCGGCGACTGCTGAGCCGGGCTTCGTTGGAAGGTAGGGCTCGTAGGCGAGTATGACTGCGGCGAGGTGGGAGACCACTTCGGCGACGCCGGTGAGTACGAGGGCGAGGTTGCCCCAGCTGCGTGGAGGTTGGGAGAGGCCGGGCTGTAGTTCGGGCTGGCCGGCGAGTAGTTGGGAGATGTGGGTGAGTTGAACTGGTTGGGTGACGTAGGCGAGTAGTGCCTGGGCGACGTGGGAGAGGTTGGCGAATACGTCGGGGACGTCGGGCTGTAGTTGGGGCTCGTGGGCCGATGGAGCATGGGAGACGTGGGCGAGAATGAAGGCGAAGAAGGGCTGAACGAAGGAGAGGTGGCGAAGCGTCCGCCAGAGCTATCCAGTAACGGCGAAGTCGGCGAGTATCCAGCAGGTGACGTCGGTGAGTATCCACCATATCCGCCCATTGGTGAGGTGGGGGATGTACTGAATGGGCTCGTGGCGCCTCCACGAGAGTAGGGGCTGAAGCTGCCAGAACCATAGCCGTCTGCACCGTAAGACGTCTGGAAGCCAGCTGGGGACTCGCTTCCTGCTCCCACAATGGGAGAGAAGTTGCCGGCATCGGGGGTACCGGGTCCAAGAGACACGTAGCCGGAATCCGCCATTGGAGATCCGCTGTCGTATGGCGTAGCAGCACCCTCTGTCGGGCCGCCCTTGACCGGCATTCCAGGCATGAGACCCATGCGTGCGTGATCAGAAATGACGGTATCAAGCATCTTGGGATCAAGGAACACCTCAAAGTTGCCTGTGCCCATAGGCGCCATCTGTCCCAGCATAACGTTCTCCGAGATTCCTCGGCAATCGTCGAGCTCTCCACTGGACGCCGCCTCCAAGAGAATTTCAACCGTTTCCTCAAAGGAACACCTCATAAGCGCACCAGTGTCGGCTCGGTTGATTCCGTGACGAGTGACGGCCGAGATGGAACCACGATAACTCATGACATCGACGAGAAGGGCGATATGTCGATGGTTGACGTAGGAACCACCAAAGGCTAACACTTGCGTAAGCTCGCGCACAATGGCAGCACGGGCTGCCTCGATGCCAAATACTTCGAGGATCTGCCAAACGTTGTTGGTATAGGTTCGGGCCGTATCAACACCGGAAATTGTGAGGACCTCGCGGAGCGCACTGCCGGAGGTATCGAGATACCACTCCTCGCAGCGAGGGTCCGTCTTGCCAGCCAAAAGGGATCCGTCATCAGTCTCGATGAGCTTGTCACCCTTCGTCAAGAAAGCTCGCTCAATGCCCGGCACGCCGCGCAAGGTGAGCGTGTCGAGAAGATGGCTCTCGAAACGCTTCAACATTACGTCGTCCTCAATAACACCCGAGTCTTCATCTTTGTCATTGCTCGATATTGTTCGAATGCGGATTACCTGCTCGTCGGCATTGTTATCACTGGAAATGACTGCAAGATCGGAGGGGTAGTCTTGTCGGATTCGGGCAGCGACATCCTCAATGTCCAAACCCTTATCCAACATCTTCTGCCGATCAAGCACGATACGAAGGAGCCAACGAGATTGGTCATCAATCGTATGGCGCATCGTGTCATCAGTCAGCCAGTATGATTCGAGCATGTCCATATCCTCAGGGATGGTAGTCGACATGATATCGGGGTCATAGTAGATTTCTGTGAACGCGGTGACTGATCGCAGAGTCGTATACTCGACGGCATTTCGAAGAGCCTTCGCCGCCTCCTGAGTGGCGTTTCGTCCCTCGAGATATACGACCATTGAAGGCGTCTTGATGTTTGTGGCGAGGTTGAGAATTTCCTTCAGACGTGGAACACCCAATGTAACGTTCTTGGACGATACACCAGCAAAATGGAACGTGTTGAGCGTCATCTGAGTGGCAGGCTCACCAATGGACTGGGCTGCCAAAACACCAACCATTTCGCCAGGGTTCACGAATGCCTTGTCCCAACGGCCCTGCAGCTCACCAAGAACGTGCTCGAAGGCGAGCCTGTTGAGACGCTGGCCAACAGCGATACGCTTGAAAGCCAGGCGGGAACGAAGCTGTGCCTTGAAGAGAATCATGGCGTTCTTGTTGGCTTCATGAGAGATAGGGTCATTGCCAGTGACAATAGTCATGCGATCGAGCATCGCCTGCACCGCGGGTATGACGTCTTGAGGGCGGAGGTCGCTGCGCTGGCTACCATCAACGCCAAACAGCCTCCTAGCCGAATCAATGATTCGAATGACGTTGAGAGGAAGCTGCATCATCTCGTCACCCTTCTTCTTGGCGTTGATCTCACGGACGTTGTTTCGATCAGACCAGAGGGCGTCATATTCCTCGTCCAGCAATTGCTGGACGGCAGGGTCGCCAACGATCTCATTGCCATACTCCAAAGCATCCAGGGCAGCAGGCCGCTTGTTGGCCATGACGTCTAGACGATAGCGCGATTCAAAGTCGGCGTTGGACATGCTGAGATGATCCATACGCTGCTTTTCGATGCATAGAGCGTCGAGGCCATCCTCTCCGTAGAGGAACTGAACGATGTCACCAAGAGAGTTGCGGACGGTCCCGTCATACTTCACGCTAACGTCTTCAAGCGCTTTCACGAGACGACGTTGGATGTAGCCCGTCTCGGCCGTCTTAACTGCAGTATCGATGAGACCTTCTCTACCAGCCATGGCGTGGAAGAAGAACTCAGTTGGCGTAAGACCACGGAGGTAAGAGTTCTCGACGAACCCACGTGCCTCGGGGGAGTAATCATCCTTGGTGAAATGGGGCAGCGTTCGGTACTTGAATCCGAAAGGAATACGCTTTCCTTCGACAATCTGCTGGCCGACGAGCGCCGTCATTTGGGAAATGTTGATGGACGAACCTTTAGAACCCGATGAGGCCATGAGAACCGCGTTGTTCATATCGCGCAAACTCTTCTGGGTGGTGGTACCGGCATCATCACGAGCCTTGTTCAAGGCAATGGAGACCTTGTTTTCAAAGGTCTCTCTGATGTTCATACCAGGCAAAGCCTCGAGCTGGTTTGCCGTTGCCTGGGCAGTGAGCGCTGCGACTTCCGCCTTGCGCTCATCGATATGAATCTGCACCTTTTCACTGGTCGCCTTATCTGGAATCGTGTCGCCAATTCCAATAGAATGGCCGACATGCAAGAACCAATAGTTGACCACGGACTGAACCCCATTAAGGAACGCCATGGCACCCTCCGGACCAAGCTCATTGTAGGCCAAGTGCACGATACCACCGCCAGCGGCACCTACGCTCTTCTTCGAGAGAAGACCGTAAATAAGCCTTCCACCTTGGATGAGGAGACCCTCATCCTTCAGCGGCGCATCCTCTCGGCTCTCACTAGGATTGAACAAGCTAATGGTGGGCGGGATGACCATGCTGATGATTTGCTTGCCAGTCCATAGCGGGATCGGCTTGTGGATCGCAGGGGTCGGGATGATGCCGTCCCATTTAGGCACCCAGAGCATGACGTTCATCACCTGCTCCTTGTTTAAGAAGGTATCACGACGGCAAAGCTTGTAGATACCAGCCAGTGAATCCTGAACAATACCCATGAGCGGACCGTTTCGCTGCGGCGAGACGATGTTCAGAGGCACCATGCAAAGTTCCCTAACTTCGGCGCGAGTTTCTTCGCTTTGGGGGACGTGCAAATTCATCTCGTCACCATCGAAATCGGCGTTGTAAGGTGACGTGACAGAGAGATTCAGTCGGAATGTCGAGTAGGGCATGACGCGAACTCGATGACCCATCATCGACTCCTTGTGCAGAGACGGCTGACGGTTGAAGATGATATAATCGCCATCCATGAGGTGGCGTTCGACCTTCCAGCCGTACTCGAGAGTAATCTGTCCCGCGCGACGGTGATGTCGCAGATCGATTCGGGTAACGCCGACGTCGTCAGCGCGAATAACATATCGGGCGCCGGGATACTCGTTCGGACCATTTTGTACGAGGCGGTGAAGCTTGCCAATGTTGTAAGGGGTGACAGTCTCGGGGTACGTGAGTGTACGCGCGATCGAGCGAGGAACACCGACTTCGTCGAGCGACAAGTTGGCATCTCCGGTGATGACGGTACGAGCTGAGAAGTCCACACGTTTTCCCATGAGGTTTCCCCTCAAACGACCCTCCTTTCCCTTTAGACGCGATCTAATGGCCTTGACGGGTCGGCCGCTCTTTTGCAGGGCGCGGGGCAAGCCTGCGATGTCGTTATCCATATACGTGGCAACGTGGTATTGCAAAAGCTGCTCAAAGTCGCGAAGAATGTGGTTTGGAGAGCCCTCCCGGATAGCCTGCTTTACATTGCCGTTCGCTCGAATAATGTCACTCAGCTTGTAAGTCAAATCATCCTCGTTTCGCATGCCGGTGCCAGTACCGTCCATGGAGACACTGGGTCGGACGGGAGGGGGTGGAACTGCCAAGACAGTGACGATCATCCATTCAGGGCGAGCATAGTCTGCATTCAGACCCATGTCCCTCATGTCATCATCTGAGATGCGGCGGAAGATGTTTAACACCTGTTCGGGAGAAATGGGCACCATATCCTTCTTTTTGGAAGAAGGAGCACCTTCTTGATCGGCCATGCCACCTTTGAGAAGAATGCTGAGCCCCTGCTGGCGAACTTCGGGGCAAATGTTGCCGCAGCCGCCGTGGTTGATGATGACCTTCTGCTGTCCACCATCTACACCGGGATCCATCCGTTCGCGGGGCTCGTTGTCGCAGATGTTCTTCTTCTTGCAGAGTTCCCAAACCTTCTGGAAACGCGCCTTGGGTTCTCGAATTCGGACTGCACGCGCAAAGTCCGCGTCGGTCTGAGGCCTGATTAGCATGGCTAAGCTTGCAAGCAATCAAACTTCGCCATTAACTTACCCTATCCACCTTCACTTTACTGCAGTTGTGGCAAACCATCTCAAGAATCTTCTTGACCTTTTTGAGGAAGCCTGGGTGGAAAACGGGCTTCGCCAACTCGATGTGGCCGAAATGGCCTGGACACTCTCCCATCGCCTGGGTGCATGTTTTGCACCTGAATTGTCTATCGATGGATCCGAGAAGGGGATCGTTCAATCCTCCGTCGCGAGGCTTGATGCGCAACTCGTCCATGGTCTCAGGGTAGATGATGTGGCACACGCTCATGTTCTTGATCTCTTCAGGAGCCAGGATGCCAAACTGGATCTCCTCTACCGTCTTTATCGGCGCGCTCGAGTGAGAGAAGTATAGGTTCGCCATTTTGATGGATGATTATCGCGAGTTTTGATGGATAGGAGAAAGGTGTTGCGAGTCGAAGAGGGGGCCGGTGGCGCGTCGAGACCGATTGGATGGGGAAGGTACGAACGCGGTAATAGAGGTGACCAGGACGAAGAGTCGGTCGAAAGAACGCGAGAATTAAATCGACGAAAGACAGCAGGAAAGCGCGCGAGAATTTCAGAGATGGAAAAGAGCGTTGGTGGATGATTGCGGATGGCGCTTGAGGTCGGCGCCCTTCCTGGCCAGCGGCCGAGGAAGAAACCTAGTAAAACGTCGTCGCAGTCGCCACCGTCGCACGATTGCCGGGAAAAAGGCGACGATAACGCGAAGAAAAGCACTCGAAGTCGTGAAAGAAGGTCAGAGACACTATCTACGGCGTCCTGACGCGTGTTGTGATGCGATGGTGGTTGATGACAAGAGGTTTGTCGAGGGTTACGTTGTTGAAAAATTCACGGGGGCGAGAGGTTTGGCTTTGAGGCTGGATCTGACCGTGGGAGATGACGCTAGCCCCGATTAGGTAATTTTCTGCCTTTCCCAAACCGCTGCCTGCTCCAGTGGGCTCAGCGCCTCTTTGGACGCTGAATGCGTGGATCAATGATGCCTGACCGGGGAATAATGTCGAGGTACTTCATTCACGGTGAAACAGCATGCAAAATAGCTCCAGTACAGGTATTTCTACTTTTGGAAAATATTTAAATCAAATAACCTTTCACCTCCAGATTCTCCACATTATCAACAACCATTGTTGTTGATGAATGGTCGACTCCGTTGTTCCTGCCACCATTGATCGCCCTCCTAACAATATCAAGCTCCAGCGGGGCCGGCGACAGAAAATACAAGATGCAGGTTGAGATGCTGTCATTACGGTGCCTGCGCGGCGCGTATACAGAGTCCTAGTCCGACCCGGGATTTTGGAACGTGCAAAGAAAGAAAGGGGGTATATTGATTGATCCATTTGGCATTTCACGACGTTGCTACTTTTTCTTACTCCTTCCTCTTCCTGTTCCTCGCTTGGGGACCAGTGCCTTTTCCTCGATCCCATTGAGTGAAATCTCTCCTTGGCCTTCTCCAGGGCTCCTACGCCGCATTGTGCCAGTGGAGACAGCTATAAACTCTTCCTCGCTATCACTTTCCCCGAGGTTGAATAGGATAGGCATTCGGAAAGTATCCTCGTCTTCCTCGTCCACTTTTGACGGTTCCTTTGTCAGCACATCCACATCCTCGTCCTCGGCATCTAGCCGCCGCTGATGTATCTCCTCTTGCGCGTATATGTCGAACTCGTCTTCCTTCTCGATATACTCTACATTCTCCTCGACTTCGGCGAAATCAGGTGCGAGTGCTGACCACTTTTGCGGGCTCGTGACAGACCAAATGTAGATGCGGCCAGTTTCCAAACCACAAGCGGCGAGCAGCGCCCTGTGTGGATGCCACTCGATAACGCCTTGTTCCTCTTTCGGACCTTCGAGCATCCTGACCAAACTTCCGTGATTTCTCTCCCAGATGTATAATTCGTGGTTGTTGTATGTCGAGGCAGCGACATACTCGCCGGTCGAGCTAAAGGTGACGTGGTTCCATGATAAGCGGTTGACAACGTCCTGGAATTTGTGCTCGAGGGGTAGTTGGATGGTGTCGAGATCGAGATTCTCAGCCGAGAGATTCGGGACGAGAAAGGTCCTGATTATGCGGTCCTGCGCGTTGACCAGCAACTCCTTGCCCGAGCCGGAGATTCTTAGAGTCGTGATGACAGAGCCGGAAATTTTGTTGGAAAAGATTATTTCTCGTGTCTTCGCGTCGATGATATTTAGCCGACCTTTTGTTGTACCCGCTATAATGTGGTCTCCACTCGACGTAAATATTGTAACTGTCGTCATCTGCTTCGCGTCCTCTTTCGCTTGTTTTTCTTTTAGCGCAGTATCGTTCTCGACGTTCGTTCGTTTCGGAGAGGAAGGGAGGACGTGTTTGACGTCGATCGGTTCCGTGACGTCGACAAGGAGTGGTTGTTCGTCAAAGAGGGAGACGACAAACTGGTGACTACGACCGACATCTTTATTATAGAGTTCACATAAAGGGAGGCTCTTCAAGACACTGGAGCAGGAATAAACTTACGGGTTCCATGGATGGAGCTCTGCGATATATGCTGGCGCCCGAAATCGAACCTCACGATACCGGCTGCCATCTTGGAGATCCCATAGGATAGCCTTCCAGCCTTGACAGGCTGACAGCAGATACCTTCCACACCGAGACCAACTTAGCGACGTGATGCTCTTGCTGTGACCCCTCAACTTTCTGGCTACCCCCATCGTCTCAATATCCCATATTACAACGGTCCCGTCGACGCGACCAGAAGCGAGGTAGTCGCCTTTGCGATTGAACCGGAGGCATGTTGAGTGACCGGACCGGATGGTGTTGGTGATGTTTTCAGGGTAATCCTGCAGCAGATAGTCGTCGGAAAGGAGTAAATTCATCGTTGTGTTTTTCAATGCAGTTCGGTTCGAAAATGGAGTGGAAGTTAAACACTCTCCGCGATCGCCTCTCGCTTGGGAGATTTAGCTGCAAGGCTAATCCTGTCGCAGACAGATCCACCCCACCAACATGCAAAAACCAAGGTTTGGCAATAAAGGTACCAAGATACTTCCAGGTGTCACCTGTAGCACCAATTATACCCGCAAATAGGTTGTACAGAGGTACCCGTGAATGAAATTCCCCCACTTTCTTTCAGTGATGTCTGAACAATGAAACCTTCAACTTAAAGGAATCATCTCGTGCCACGCAACCCAAGCGTATATCGCGGCTCAATATGGCGAACTCCAAGTACGGATCCCGAACTCCAGAATATAGCTCCCGGGTCCTTTCATTTCTAATAGATAGTCAACTAGGTTCGAGTATGTCAAAAGCTTCGAGCGGCCTGACAACCTCCTTCCGAACACATGGATAGTTGTAAGAATTGACGGCCGGGGTTTCACCAAGTGAGAATCTAGAGCCCTGTCCGGTATTCGCTTCATTTAATAGTTAATGTTTGTCCAGACTGTGTGCCAAGTATGGTTTTGAGAAACCCAACGATAAGCGAGCTCTAGATCTCATGAACGCTGCCGCCCGGGCTGTCGTCACCGAGCTACCTGACATCACCATCGCTTATGGCGTCAGCGACGAATACAGGTTAGCTCCTCCATGTAAGCATTCTACGGATAAGTGGAGTTAAGATCCTTGATAGCTTTGTCTTCCATAAGACTTGTGTGCTCTTCGAACGAAGAGAAAGGTCAGATTGTTCCCATCAGACCTCTGCCTGTCCAAAGGTGATCTCCTACTAATCGATATTAGCAAGCTCGTGACCACTGTCGTTTCAACCTTCACCGCAAATTATATCTATTTCTGGCCGACGTATTTTCCCGACATTCCACTATCTCCTCCTCTACCGAGTTTTGACGGCCGCGCTGTCTGCTATCCGAGTGTTCATAACCTCCGTGACTACCTCAGCTGGAGACAAGTTGACTGTTCGTTCAGAGTTGTGTTGTTCTCTCTGTCCAGGAGCTAACTGTTGTAGGCCACATCAACAATCTCTACAATACGGCGTTCTGGGCTTTAATCCAGCTCGGGAACCACGACAATAAGGAAGCGGAAAAGCTTCTTGCAGTATGTCTCTAATTACTTATTTGCATCGTTCAAGGAAGCACCTAACATCTCGCAGGGAACTCTGGCGCGGGACAAGAACGAACTCTTATTTTCGAGGTTCGGAATAAATTACAATAACGAACCGGAAATGTTCAAGAAAGGAAGTGTGGTTTTCAGAGACGTACGGCTATTATCCCTCCCGTTGGTAACTAAACACTAGCTAACGCCTTCAGTACGAGCTTGTCGAACCTGGAACCCATAATACAGAGGCGGAAGCAGACGACCTTGCCGAACCCATTGTCCAAACCAAGACACAGGCTGAAAAGGACAGGAAGAAGCGGGAGAAGGCTAGAGTGTTGATAGAGCATTTGGACATCATCAAGGATGACTTCTGGGACAGGCGGCCCTGGCTTTTGTCCAACAAGCCAGGAAAAATTCCGAAAGAAACATAACCCAGGGTATCATTGTCTATCACGTTTTCATCGAGCCATCAAAACTTTAGAGCCAGGATAAGTGAGGCGACAAACTGACGGGTGCTAACTCCAAACGCCATATCACTAGCCATGGTAATAACGCATAACCAAAAAAGGGGGCATATCCCAGATGACATCAAATCTTCAGCCTTTTAAGCGCTTCTTCTCTTCTTTCCGCTTCCTCTTCGCCTCTTTCCTCGCCCTCCTCTCCTCCTTAGTTTCAGTTCGCATGGACTTGACGGAATTCGCAACAGTACTAGTTTCCGAAGATGTTCCTGAACGGGCTAATTGCTTGGCTTCGCGGCGAGCTCTCTTCTGTTCCCGCCGTAACCGCCGTGCCGCTCTTCGCGCCCTGCGCTCCTCTTTAGTCTCTTTCGGCTTTTCTGTAGAGTCGGAAGTGCTTGTGCTTTCGCTCTCGGAGGGATTCGCAATCATCGTTGTCGGTCGAGGTTCGGGGGGTAGTCGGGTAGTGTTGATTGTTTGCTCCGGAACTTCGGCTGGTAGGAGATCCACCGTTCCCTGCAGTATTCCTCCATATACAAAAGATTTATATAATTCTGACTTGCCAGCTTGTTCGTCAAGCCGGTTCAACTTTCCATCCTTGAGAGTTTGAACGACCTTTCCATTGGATGTATCCAGGCCCTTGAGCTGCTCGTCGAGTGCGCTTAGCCACCATTGATCGTTTGCATATTGCGACGCTCCGAGGCCAGATGTGCCATCCTTTCGACTAACGAGTAACCGCTTTTTGAGACCGATGCCGTCGCTGGTCGCGTGGAGGGTGTGTCCGTCGCCGCGCCATCCCTGGGCTTGGAGAATCGCCCGGGCGTTCATGTCGACGAGCGCCGGGTGGAGTGATAGATATTCTTCGCAGGGCTATAAACGGAACATTGGGATATATGAAGGGAATTTGTTATTTTTCGGGTGTCTTCTCTTCCTCTAAAGGCAGACTCGCCTGTAAGTGTTAGCTCTCCTTCACAAAACTTTTTTCTGGTTTTCGGGGTATTCTCTGGTGGTGGGGCAGCACGTTTAATATTTTACGCCTCAGGCACAAAATAAACCGGGGAGGGGTGTGGGAACGGGGGCGTTTGCTTGTTGACTAAACCGAGCTAAGAATATGCCTTTATTGCATGTACCGTCCTTGGCAATATGCCGCCGATAAGAATAGGTCATTGCGTTAATCGATAACGAATGCCGAGCTTAGCTCCATCGCCCGACGTAATGATTCCTCGTCAGCTTGAAACAAGAGCGCGCCTTCCGTAATGCAAGACAAACCATTGCGTCACGGTTGACGGGCAACGACGACGCCTGTCTTGTACATCTCGATGCCCACGACCTTGGATGGCAATCAACAATCGAACACTTAGGTATAAAAACGACACTTTTTTCTCCATTTCGCCCAGCAATTCCAAGAGAAGCAAGAGAAAGAAACTCACCAACTTTGGTACAATGGCTGCCATTGTCCAGACGACCCTAATCTGGGTTACTTACGCGGTCGCGGCGGCCCTCTCTCTAATAGCTGCCTCCACCACTACGTTCACCTGGCAAACTCCACGCGATCGATCCCCCATTGTCAGCGGCATTGCGATTGTCAGTCTTACTGCTCTTCTCGCGACAGTACTCCTCCTCCCGGTCGACATCGCCCTCGTATCCGCAACGACGAGTTCTCTTGGAGTGAAGAAGGATTGGGCGACTATCGAACATGTCGACAAACTACTCCAGACACTCAAAATTGTCTATTATACCTTATACAGCTTCGATGCTCTGCTCTGTCTGCTAGTTATCCCCTTTGGGTATTTCTGGTACGAGGAGTATGACGAGATCGAGGTCGAAGAGGGCCGTACCCTGCGTAGCCGCATTGCGAGCACCTTGAAATACACCGCTGGATTCTTGTTCCTGGTCGTCATCCTCTTCCTACTCGGATTCTTCGTGCCCGCTGCTGGCAGGGATTCCGGAGGCCACTTTGACCTTGACTATTTCAAGCGTCTACTCGCGGAAAACAATGGAGAAAAGGCCCTTGGATTCGCCATCGGTCTTCTAATTACGTTGGGGACGCTTCTATATGTGGTTTATACTGGTGCTGGTCTTGCGCTGCTGCCCGTCTCCATTATCAAGACCGCGCCATCCCTTTCGGGCCCTGAGCTCTCTCAGAACACAGCGTCCGCCCTCGAGCAAAATCGAGAGCGCCAGCGCCAACTGGAAATGAGACACGTTGGCCGCACTGGAGATATGCCTCCCAAAGATAGGAGGGAGCTGGAGCGACTGATTCGCGAAGAGCGCACTTTAGTGCGCAGGGAGAGGTTAGCAGCGGAGGCCCAGGGTGAGGGCAGGAGCTGGGTCTACCTAACCTGGCTTAAGCTCTGTGCCGTGTTTCGTCCCATCAAGCTCCTGTCCGGAATCTTGGTTCTCATCGTGGCTCTTCTCATCTGGACTTCCATGTTCATCACGGGCGTTGACAAGGCCAAGAACTCGATCTGCAAACGGCACTGCGGCTACATTCTCGGCCACCTCAACATCTTCCAGCCGATGAATTGGATCTTCCTGAAGGCAGCCGCCGTGTTCCCTCTTGACTATGTGCTTATGGTGCTCCTGGTCCTTCTCTTCTTCAGTGCTTCTATCACCGGAATCGCCGCGGTCGGTATTCGATTCCTATGGGTTAGAATCTTCCAGATTCGTAAAGGCCGAACTGCACCCCAGGCACTCCTCATCGCCACCGTCATGCTAGCACTTATAATCCTCGCCATTAACTATACCATCGTCACGATGGTGGCTCCTCAATACTCTATATATGGCACGCAAACTTTCTGCACGAACGATATCTTCGACAAACATGGACGCCCAGACTGCTCGGAGCATCGGGACCTCATCGTCCCGTGTTCCGAGGCTCTTAAATACCCCCGCGCCAAGGACGTATGCACGCCGACGGTTATGTCGACCTTCCTAAATCGTGTCAATATTACCTGGCCCTTCTTCGGCGTAGTGGATTTCTGGGCGCAGTTCGCCTTTCTTGGCATCTTCTTGGTTGTGTTTATTACGGTGCTGTTCCGCACTCCTAAGCTCAACCTCGCCGAGATCGACGAGGATGCTGAGGCCGACGAGGAAGAGGGGCTTCTCGCAAGTACTGGGAGGAGGTTTGGTGCGACGTGGCAGGACCTCAGGGGTAGAGGAAGTCGGGGACCACCGCCGAGAAGGTCCTGAGCGGGGCTTCTTTGTTTTCTTTCACAATTTTCTTTGGCGAAATCGCTGGTATACGGAATATTTGGGAGATTGTGTACTGGAAATGGAAAACGGACTTCGCATCTGGTATAAATGGATAGGCATGGTATTAGGGTAAAAAAAATGAAAGCAAAGGGTTCAGATGTCATTAGTTTTGTATTGTCATTACTCAGTATTCTCATAGCCCACTGCATGAATGCAGAATGGTGGATGCTAGAAAAGAGGACAGGGTGAAAGGAAAGGGAAATCGCAAAACAGGATATCCTTCAAGCACCAATAGCCACTTTCTTCTTCTTCTGATCCTTGTTGAACTGTAGCGCTCGGTGGCTCTGCTCTGCAAATCCAGCGGCGGGGCCCTTATGCATGTCGAACCAGCATTGAGAGCAGTAAACATCGTCGTCGCACTCAGGACAAATGAGAGTACCGTCCTCAAGGCATACCACACACCAGGTTTTCATGTCATCGTCGGTGAACCCCACACGGCCACCTGGACCCGCCTTTCGCTTCTCGACTTCAGAGGGCTGGAATGTGGGAACCGATGGGAGGCCAAGTGGGTTAGATTCCTCGTCTTGTCCTCCAATGGACAGTTTGAAGTTTCTCAGGGCAGCCATGCGACGAGCCATGTCATCTTCAAAATCACCTGTCATAGGGACTGCCGACTTAGCAGATGGCGAGGCAGTCGGGGAAGGCATATCGGTGGGAACAGATGGGAGTGAGAGCTCGGGTTGCTCCCCATCCTTTGAGCTTAGGGCGGTGTCATCACCAGCTGTGTCGAGTTCGGTTCCGACAACTGCAATTAGGTTCGGGTCATCACCTTTCGGCTCCAATGCAAGTTTTGTCTCTGTCACAGCCTTGGAAACAATTTCCTCAACCTCTCGGGTCATTTCGTCCCCATTTGAATCATCGTCATCATCACCTTTCTGTTTGGTTTCTTTGTTCCCGGCCGCCGTGAGCAGGGAAAATTGCCGTGCAAGTTCATGGAGGCTATCCAGCTCCGCTCTAGTGTCCAGAGACAGCTGGTGACCGAGCGCAGCCTCCTCGTTTAGGAGATCTTCTAGAAAATCATCATCCGTTTGCAAGATCCCATCGTCATCGGCCAAGCCGTTAGACCAGGATGGCGCAGCACTGTCGGGTGGCGGGATTGACCCCGCCGTTTTAGCGCTATAACTTTGTGGTTGTGGCAGTGCACTCGTCTGAGTTTCGCGTGGTTGCTGTGGGGAAGATGGAGCTTCTCTCGCAGAATCGCTCTCGGTTTGCTCTCGAAGCTGTCTTAGCCGGCCCGCGAGGTCTGTTCCTGGCTGGCTTCGCAATCGGCTATATTCCTTGTTAGAAGATGCTGCGGAGCGAGGCCTTCGGGTACGTTTGAGGAAACATCTAGTTAGCCTAAAACTTCACCCAGGAGTGGCACGACTTGGAAGACGAGGGACAAACGAACTCTGGTAAGCTAATTGCCGTAGAAGGGTTCAGTGCCTTGAGCCGGTCTAACAGGCTCCTCTCTTCGCTACTGGGGTTCGGCATCACGAGCAGGCGAGTAGCAACGTGCCGCGTGAAAAGCAAGAAATAGAAATACGACCGTAGATGTCAGAGTTGGATGAACAGTTCCACTGGAAATGATGGTGGTTTGGTACTGTGTCGTATGGGAGGGAGGAAGGTTACTTCGGGAGCTGCCTAGAGTTGCTTTTCTGGAAGGAGGAAGGAACACCTCCGCTGCCAGCCGAACCTGGTGAGTTCATATCATCCAGAATTCGAGGAGGCGAAGCTTCAACCTAGCACTATTACTGATGATCATTTAAACTGGTGAGACCGATTCATGTGTGATGATGTATGTGTAGTTGACCCTTCTGCGTGACCCACTGCGACCATTCCAAATCACAACGGTGGGAATGCGATGAACCTGTACGAAGTAGCGACCGACAATGACGGGTCGGTCGCAGATGATGGGGACAACAACCATTTTAACAGTTGTCAACAGCCGACAATTTACTCACTCTTAAATCTCAATTTCAGCTGTTGATAGGGACCTTTTCGCCTCGGAGAAGAGCCACAGGTCATCGAAATTATCGAATTGAATTCAAGGCAATTTGGTGTCATCAATTGGACCTAGGAAGAATCTACCAGCAACCTCTCTCCTCGGATTTGCAAGCATTCCAAATTACGTATCACTCTCGGCCAACCCATCATGCCTGGAACTATTCTCCACCTTCGATCGGAGACGAGCCTCTGGAGCGCTCCATGCTCACTACCAGTACGACCAAAGCCTTGGTAGACGCTGGCTATGCTGTCAATGTTGAGCGCAGCCCCGAGCGCATGATTCAGAGTTTAAGGCTGCTGACGCGACCTTGGCTCCTGAGGGTAGCTAGACTGACGTCCCTACTGATCACACCATCTGCGGTCTCAAGGAGCTTCCCGAGGAAGACTGTGAGTGGCCCTCAAAGCTAAAGTCTCGGTTCTATTCTACGGTAATGGCATGATATGCAGATACATCACTGTCACTCGGCCTCGGCAAAAAAAAGTCCCGCTCAAGCATACTTTTGTGCACTTTTCTCATGGCTACAAGGAGCAGGCTGGATGGCAGAACGTGCTGTCATGGTTCCCTATGGGAGGTTACTCTCCTGGATACGCATCCCGGCGAGCCGTTGCCCAGTCTTAAGTACTACGCCAATGAGGATGAACTCATTGCGGAAGTTGAGAAGGTTCTCTCTGAAGCCCAGGCCAAGGCTGGCCGGTTGCCCCAAGTCATCGTAATCGGCGCCCTTGGTAGGTGTGGTCGTCGTGCCGTGGACGTGAGTTTCCGCACCGGCATTTCTACCGAACAGATCCTCGATCTCCATGGAACCAAGGCTAGAGGCCCCTTCAGGGAGATTGTGGAGAGCGACATCTTTATCAACTGCATCCTAACTCACAAGATCCCCAATTTTGTCGATATGGATTCCCTACGAGTCCCTGACCGCAGCACCGTCATCGGTGGTGTGTCCGCGGATACTACTTCTCCTCATGACCCCGTTCCCGTCTACAATACCGCCACAACCTTCGACAAGCCAACCGTCCTAGTTGAGGGTCTCGAAGGCCCACCGCTGTCTGTTATCGCCATTGACTATCCCCCTAGCATGCTCCCACGAGAGGCATCGGATGCCTTTAGCAACGATTTGCTCCCCTCGCTCCTCTATCTCAAGACCGGAGAGAGCACCCCGTGTGGGCTAGGGCCGAGAAGCTGTTCAAAGAGAAGGTCGCTACTCTCCCCGAAGAGCCTCAGGAAAAGAGTGCTTAAAGACAGTTTCATGGATAAGACGTCAAAAGGGCAGTTCAGGACAGGATTAACTGCGCCTCAAATTGGCATTGGGTAAAAGGAAATAAAGACATAGGCGGCTTGCTCATGTTTTCACTGGATTTTGTACGACCAACAATCTCGCAAAAGGGCCGATAGAAATGGAGCCTGTACTGGAGAACTGCGCAGGCATATTTAGAGTTGTTCCTAGGCAGAAAGGAAAAAAAAAACACGGGCATGTGAGGGTCTTGATGGATAGATTGAAGTTTGTCTTAAGCCACACGTGAACTCTCCGATGTGCAAGCCACGCAGGCGGCCGAAGCTAGTACCTGCATCGATTGGAAAAAGTCCAGAAGCCAAGCCCCACGCGGCCGGTTCGATAACTCGGGCTGGCGGACTTGGTGCTGTGTTCTCCACACCGACTGGATTGGAGTGGCACAAGCGGTGAAGTGGAATAAATCGGGATTCCTTTCTTCTCCTCGCTTTATTACCGTATGACCGGGTATTCAAGAATTTAGTGGATAAAAACGGAGCATATCCATGACTATACGAGACGGATGCGGCGGGGATGTATCGACGTTTATGCGGTCATCTTTAGACAATCAATCGCCGTTGTCGATTGCCAACAACAACAGGCCACGGGATTCGATGCAAATCAATCACGAAGTAAACGAAGGTGCTGGCATGTTAGAGCTGGAATCCTCGAGTCCTCAATGGGTGGAATACGCCCAAAATGGCTCTCTTCTGTGCCAAACAATGAACTGTTCCGAGCCACACACGGTCTGGCATCACAGGCGTAAACGCATCAGTGATGGCATCAATCGCAGCCACACCATTCCGATGTTCCCTTCTACAGTTTGTGCTTTACGAAGTACAAGTACCTCGGTACTTGTAAGACGGAATAATTTTGGGGGTGGCATGGTGTTTGCAAGCGTGGCTGGGGTGAAGTATCAGGCACCTGACCAACCACAGCCTGCGTAGTGTGCACTAGCCAGGAAGAGGCCAACACCGCGAGCTCTGGGACCAAGGCAGCTGCGGTTGGTACAAGTACTGAGGTATGTACTTCATACTTCGTACGGCATCGGCGTCATTGAAGGAAGGTACCCTGCAGTACTCCAGGCCCACCCTACCTTAAATTGATCTCGTTAGATCACTCATCATAGTTTCCTTCGCTCCTTCGCTCCTTCGTTACTTTGCACCCTCAATAATAAACTCTGCCCCTCAAAACAGGGTCATCCTTCCTAGCCCAAAACCCCGGTCAGACACTATCCCAAGTGGCTGTTCTCCTTGGTCCCGAATACTTATTTAGCGCGTGTGCTACTGGAGACCAATTCTGCCTTTCCCGCTCAGCCCCGATTCGACTTTGTCGACCAATTTTCAGGATTTAAAAACCCTCTCGTCCTTGGTCATCGGCCCATATCTGGTTGATTTTTCTTCCAGCGAACGCCAGACCCCACAAACACACACACACACTCGGTCCTTAGCCATGAAATTCGATCTTTTACTCTCTATTTTACTACTCGGCGCCTCAGCCGCCAATGCCGTCGCCCTCCCAGAGCCCGACATCGCGGAGTCGACCGGCAAAGAGCTCTGGAAGAGAAAGGGTGGCGGCGGAGGTGGTGCTCGAGGTGGCGGTGGCGGTGGTGGTAGGTCTGGCAGTTCATCATCTCGTGGTGGAAGTTCATCATCTGGAAGTTCCTCATCTCGCGGCGGCAGCTCATCATCTAGTGGCTCATCATCCCGTGGTGGTTCGTCATCTTCGAGCGGGCTTGTCGCGTTCTGGCCGCTCATCCTCCAGTTGCTTCCTTCGGTTTCGCGTAGTTGAAGTTCATCTAGCTTTGGTTCATTGGGCTGACATAACTGTCCAGGTTCCAGCAGTTCGTCTAGTTCCAGCAGGGGCGGTTCGAGTTCCAGCTCTAGCTCCAGCTCGTGAGTCTCCGGCGACTTTTTGCCGATCACGCTGGACATATCATGCTAATACAATGTCTTAGACGGCCCGGTAGTCCCGGCTTCGCCGGATCCGGCGCTCCCAGGGCCTTTGCGGGTGGTCGATTCTATGGTGCTGGTGCCGCGACGCCTTACAAGGCAGGCACTAGGAGTCCAAGCGGGATCGTCCCCCTCGCCTTGGTTGGTGCCGCAGCGCTAGCTTTCTGGCCTGGCGTCTGGCTCTGGGGCGCTTACCAGTACCACTACCCCAACCACTACCACTTCCATAACGACACCGCGAACAACGATGCGGACCTCCCCGTCATTTGCGCCTGTGATCCTTACAACCCGTGCGGTTGTGACGCGAACAACGACACCGCGTATATCCAGGATCTCGTTGGAAACGGCGATTACAAGAGCCTCAACCAGTCTTTGGTCACTGTCGCTGAGGTTGACGGCCAAAAGACCATCTTGATCAACGGTACCCTCCCGAATGGCACCGAGGCTCCTGTACCCGCCGACGAATCTGGCGCCAGATCGGTGGTGATAGAAGCTCTTGGCTTCTGGCCTATGGCTGCCGCGGTTGTGGTAGCAGTCTTCATGGCCTAAGTGCCATGCGCTGTTCCTTCTCATGGCTTCTGCAATCAATGGACATCTACCATGACAAGACTTTTATTTTCCCTCGGAAATGGTGGCTTTTTCTTTTCTATTCCCCCTTCTTGGCAGTTAACGGCGTTTGTGGATAGATACCAAAGAGAGACCTTTAAGACAGATATCTGTAAACTTTCGTGACTTTCCCGAGGCCGAACTGTCGTCTTCCTAATATTTATATCTGCTCTCTGAGATAGTTTTAATGTTTACGGTTCTATTTTGAAATAAATGCTTGTGATCGGATCTCTGTTGTGGACCGAAATGTTATCGGGGAAAGACTCACGGGTTGTCCAGTTAAGCCTGAAAAGCTGCTCTCATTGAGAGCGAGCGACATGCTCTGAAATTATGTATTATTGCATTATATGCAAGTAGGCAGCCTCGACATTGGACCATGTCTTGGATTCTTCAATGACAGGTATTATCCGAAATTCTGCCTATTAATATAAACACACCTAGGTGTGAATCCACCAACAGCTTGTCAATTCCAAGCAAAAGCTCAAGCCTTGAAAGGTGAACTGGAAAAGAGTTCGCGACGCCTCCCAATTCAACCTTCTCTTTCAAGGGCCTCCATGGCTATTTCTGGCCAGGTTCAAAATGCAGTGTTATACGGAGCTCACAGCTCCTACAGCTGTCACCCACTCACTTACTTTACCCTTTCTCTCCCATGACAGCAATAACCTAGTCATTGCGAAGGGCTCCCTGCTGCAAATATTCGGGACGAAGGCGATTCCAGTCGAGGTCGACAACGCGCTGCGACAGGATTCTCCCTCGAACACGACACCCTCACTCGCTTTCGAAAGCCGCCGGGGCGACGATGACCACCTCGAGTCTTCACTTTTGGCGGAGGGTATCCATCGAGCAGACAGAGGCAACAACACTAAGCTTGTCCTCGTCGCCGAGTACCCTCTTGCCGGCACCGTATGTGGGCTAGCTGCAGTTAATATCCAGGGCAGCAAGTCCGGAGGTCATGGTCTATTGGTCGCCTTGCAGACCGCGAAGACATGTCTAGTGCAATGGAATCCCGATACTCACACCATTATCGACACATCGGTGCATTTCTACGAGAATGAAGACGGTTCTTCGTTTGACCTTCCCCTCTCCGAATACGAGACAGTTCTGCAGGCGGACCCCGGCAGCAGATGCGCGGCCATGAAATTCGGCCTCCGGAGCCTTGCGATTCTGCCGTTCAAACAAGCAAGCGCGGACATAGAGATGGATGATTGGGATGTGGATTTAGACGGACCTCGACCCGCTAAGGAAGCGCCTCCTGAAGCCTCAGACAAGGCCACCACCAATGGTGTTATTAAAGAAACGCCTTACACCGAATCGTTTGTCCTCCGATTCCCTCAGCTCGATCCAAAGCTTCTATTCCCTGAGCATTTCGCCTTCTTATACGAATATCGAGAGCCAACGTTTGGCATCCTATCTTCGACTCAACAAGAAGCCTACTTCCTTAGCCGCAAGGACCACATGTCATATAAAGTCTTTACTTTAGACCTGCATCAGCGCGCGTCAACTACCATTCTTGCTGTGGACAACCTCCCTGACGACGTACATCGTGTCATACCACTCCCCGCTCCCGTTGGAGGCGCGCTTCTAGTTGGCGATAACGAGTTGATCCACATCGACCAGTCCGGTAGAGCCAATGGTGTCGGTGTCAACCCGTTTGCGAAGATATGTACCGCATTCCCACTCGCGGATCAAAGCAGCCTTCATCTACAGCTTGAGCACTGCGTGATTGAGCAGCTAGCTCCTGAATCGGCAGAGCTACTCATGGTCTTGAATACTGGTAAGATGGCGATTATCAGCTTCAAGATAGATGGCCGAACCGTAACCGGAGTCAGCGTGAGAATAATCTCACAAGAATGCGGTGGAAACATCATACCCTCGAGGATTTCGTGCATCTCTAAGGTTGATAAGCAAGCGCTTTTCATCGGAAGTACTACTAGCGACTCACTCGTGGTGGGATGGACCAGGAAGCACAGCCAATCCGCGAGAAGGAAATCACGTCTTGTCGACCCGTCACTTGAGTATGAGCTAGATGACCTTGATATTGAGGACGAGGATGATGATGATGACCTTTACGGCGATTCCACGAGTCCAAGCTCAGTCGGAAACCAGAACGGGACCAATGGGCCAGTCAAGGATGGAGACCTGATCTTCCGTGTACAAGATACCCTTCCGAGTATTGCTCCAATACGGGATATCTCCCCCGGACGAGCAGCTTTCTTCCCAAATAGCGAAGAGAAGAGGAACTCTGAGGGCGTAGTTAGCCCGTTGCAACTTGCCTGCGCCGTCGGTCGAGGTAACGCCGGATCAATCGCCATCCTAAACAAGAATATCCAGCCAAACGTCATCGGACGCTTCGAGTTCCCAGAGGCGAGGGGAATATGGACCATGTCAGTCCAGAAACCGATCCCCAAGGCGCTGCAGGCGGAGAAGGAGATCTCGGCTGCTATCGGGAGCGATTACGGAGCTGCGGCGGAATTTGATCGGTTTATGATTGTCGCCAAGGTTGACCTTGATGGCTACGAGACCTCAGACGTCTACGCCGTGACTGCCGCGGGATTCGAGGCTCTTACGGGCACCGAGTTTGACCCTGCCGCGGGATTCACCGTGGAGGCTGGAGCTATGGGCAAGCACAAGAGGGTAATTCAAGTTTTGAAGTCCGAGGTGCGGTGCTACGACGGAGGTAAGAGAACTGCGAGTTAAACGTTGATATATTTGGGATCCAGAGCGCTGACTGGTTTTGGGGCGCAGATCTTGGCCTCTCACAAATCATTCCTATGCTCGACGAAGAGACGGGAGCGGACCCCCGTGTCGTCAGCGGCAGCATTGCGGATCCTTTCCTATTGCTCATCCGAGATGACTCCAGTGTGTGGATCGCGCAGATCGATAACAACTGCGAGTTGGAGGAGATGGAGCGAATTGATGACAAACTTACTTCCACAAAGTGGTTAAGTGGATGCCTCTACACCGACACTGAAGGGCATTTCATAAAGGATCGACAGTCGCCTAACTCGCCGAATATATTGGCGTTCCTTGTTAATACTGCCGGCGCCTTATACGTGAGTGCCCCCCCTTGCATCCTCCGCCGGAGATACTCTGGTGCTAATTCTCACCCAGGTCTACTCCTTACCTGATCTAAGCAAACCCATCTTCGTTGCAGAAGGGCTCGCATACCTACCTCCATTCTTGTCTACAGATTTCAGCACCCGAAGGGGGACTCCTAAGGAGAGCCTCACAGAGGTGCTAGTCACCGATCTGGGTGATACCACCTACAAGTCGCCATATCTAATCGTACGCCTCCCCAGATACGCCCGGACCGGCCGTCGATACTGACACTCTCTAGGTTCGAAATTCTACAAACGACCTCACTATATACCAGCCCATTCTCCGCCAGGGTGGGGATAGCTTTAGCAAGGCCTTGCACTTCAAGAAACTGCGCAATCCCGCTCTCGCTTCGAATCCTGAGACCCCAGCACCTCAGGATGATACCACGCCACAGGAGCCACGTTTTGTCCCGCTCCGCGCCTGTGCCAACGTCGGAGGATACAGCACAGTGTTCCTCCCAGGTACCTCGCCCAGTTTCCTCATGAAAAGCAACAAGAGCACCCCCAAGCTCATTGGCCTCCAAGGGCGCAGTGTGCGGGGCATGAGCTCTTTCCACACGGAGGGTTGTGAGAGGGGATTCATCTATGCGGACTGCGAGGGAATTGCGCGAGTTACTCAGCTTCCGGCGAAGACTAGCCTTGCGGAGCTGGGCATCTCGGTCCGCAAGATACCACTCAACTTCAACGTGAAGCAGATCGCGTATCATACCGCGATGGAGATATACGCCGTGGGCGGAAGCGTTCTCGAACCGTTTGAACTTCCCAAAGACGACGAGCACCGCAAGGAGTGGACTCGGGAAAATATCGACATGAAACCAATGGTCGAACGCGGGGTGGTCAAACTGGTCAACCCTGCTAATTGGAGCGTCATCCAGACTATTGACTATGAGCCGTTCGAGGATGTGCTATGTCTCAAGGCCCTCAACCTCGAGGTGTCCGAGGTCACCAAGGAAAGACGCCAGCTCGTCGTCGTGGGCACGGGTACGCGAAAGGGCGAGGACCTGCCGATCCGCGGCAGAGTCTACGTCTACGACGTGGTGGCCGTCATCCCGGAGGCAGGAAGACCAGAAACGAATAAGAAGCTCAAGCTCATCGCCAAGGAGGACATCCCCAGGGGCGCCGTGACGGCCGTGAGCGAGATCGGCACTCAGGGGCTGATGCTCGTGGCGCAAGGCCAAAAGTGCATGGTCCGCGGTCTCAAGGAGGATGGTTCGCTGCTTCCCGTGGCCTTCATGGATATGAGCTGCTACGTTACCGCTGCGAAGGAACTACGGGCTTCGGGGCTCTGCGTCATGGCTGATGCGGCTAAGGGCGTGTGGTTTACGGGGTGCACCGAGGAGCCGTATCGTATGCAGCTGTTTGGAAAGAGCACGACTAACCTCGAGGTGGTGACGGCGGATTTCCTTCCTGATGGGAAGAACCTGTATCTAGTGGCGGCGGACATGAATGGCGAGATCCACGTCTTCCAATACGATCCCGAACGTAAGTTGTTATTTTCCACAAGCGCATAACCTGACTCAAGCTAACACACGTATCTAGACCCCAAATCCCTCCAAGGCCATCTCCTCCTCCACAAAACAACCTTCTGCACCTCCTCCAACGGCCCCACCGTAACCCTCCTCCTCCCCCGCACAACAACCACGTCCTCCTCCGCTTCCAACCCCCTCCAACCCCCGCAACAAAACGGCCACGACCCGGGAACCTTCCAAACCCACATCCTCCTCATGGCCTCCGAAAGCGGCATGCTCTCGACCATCTCGCCCCTTCCCGAAGCCGCCTACCGCCGCCTCCTATCCCTGACGGCGCAGCTCGTCACGGCCCTGCCGACGGCTGCGGGCACAAATCCCAAGGCGTACCGCATGCCGCATCCCGCAGCGGGTACCGTGGGTGTGGACACCGCTAGCGGAAGGACGATGATTGACGGGGCTGTGTTGGCGCGGTGGGGGGAGTTGGGGACGGGGAGGAGGGCGGAGTTGGCGGGACGGACGGGGTATGCGGGTGTTGAGCAGGTTAGGGGGGAGTTGGAGTCGTTGTTGGGGTGGGCGGGACTTGCGTATTATTGATTCTGTGAAAAGAGAGTGTTGTGCGATGAGGTTCGGTTTATGGATTTGGTAGGGCGAAAACCAAGGGCGTTTCCATATGGGGGCGGGGAATCATCTGGAGGGAACAAAAGAAAGGGGGAGTGTACTATATCGAGTGATTTGTATTCCAGCCCAGGCACGTAGAACCAAAGCGTTTCGAAACGGGCCGCCAGCGCAAGAAGTTCTATCGAGCTAGTTCCCTTGACGTTTACAGTTTTTAGTCTATAACCAAGCGAGCAGTGAACTCGCTGCTTACCCATCCTCCAGCGCTATACACATCGACAAGAGCGCATTCCGCCTAAACTGCCCGTCTCGTGCTATTCCCAACATTTCTCCTCAGCATCAAGTTCTATTCATAAGGGGAAAAGGAAACCAAAACGAGAAACGCCGTGAAATAGCAAACAAGAAAAAAAAAAAAAGAAAGAAAGACTTAAACAGAATCCGCTACCTCAATAACCAGTCTCCGCGGCGGCAGCACCTACCCACCACTCTTCTTCCTCAGGCTCCCCCACCGTCTCCTCAAGCCAGCGTAACTCGACACTTCCCCCTCCTGCACGGCGGAAGAGCTTTTGGCCACGTCACTGACACTCCGCTTCCTCTCCTGCACCGAAGGTGTCTTGGAGAGGCGTTTGGAAGGGGAATCGGAGTAGCGCGCGGGACGTTGGGGCTGCATCTCATAGGAGGAACCGGCTGGGGAGGAGCCTAGGGAGGATTTGCGGAGGCGGTTGCGGGCTTTCTCGGACTCTTCGTAAGTGTAGGAGGGTTCGCCTTTGCCTTTGAGGTCTTCGGGGCGATAAGACTGGATGGGAAGAAGCAAAGTGTTAGTAGGGGGATAGAAATAAAAACAGAATGAACAAAGAAAATAAAAGTGAAGACAACGTACGAGGCCTTCCCATCTCCTATAAGGACCGCCACCAGCGTCAGGCTCTCTCATCAAATCCGCCCCATCCTCATAGTCCATGATATCTCCATTAAAGTCGGGCTCGCCGGGAGGGATAGTAGCCGTTCCCTGGAGCGGTACGTGCTTCGTAAGCGAGTCCTGGACGTACTCGCGCGGGGTGGCCCTGAGGGCGGCCATGTTGGACTCGTGCACGGCGGCGACGGGGGAGTACTTCTTGTTCATATTGTTGGCGGCGAGGGTGGCCTCGTAGGGGCCTGTGTGGTGGTAGGCGCCGCCGAAGGGGGTGTTGTCGAGGACGTCGATGGGATCGGGGCGGGCGTAGCTTTCGCGGCGGTGGTGGCCTCGGTGGGTGCCGCCTTTGGGCCTTTTTTCTGGGGATTTTCCGGCCATTTTCTTTCTCTCCTGGGCTGGATTGTCTGGTCGATGGTTGTACAGGCTGGTGTTTTGTGTAAGTAGATGATGTTGGACGAGGCAGGGAGTTTGGGTAGCGATGGGGAAACTGAGGAGAGATGTCTTGTGCGACTTGCTTTTTCTTAGAATTCAGGTTTATTGGGATAACGGTGTACAGATCAATAACTTGTTAATCAGTTGAACGAATGAATTTGGTACGAATAGATGTACGCAATATGACGGCGCAGCTCGAAGGTTCAAAGTCAGGTGGAATAATGCAAGACGAGATATCCTTGCTTGTAAACTACAAGAAGCTGGGGTTTTAAACTCAAGGTTGTCGGGGCCCTCGGGAAGAAAGTACGAAGTATACGTAGGACAAGGCGGGTCTTTCAAGGGAGAGGTCTAAAATAGGTACAATTCAGAGATGTTGAGGAAATAGCCTACGAGGTAGCGAGAAGTTCAATCATTGATGTTTGGAAGGCAACTCAATTTGGAGTCTTGGTATTGGAGGATGGCGAAGATTACGTGGACACGTACGAAGGGGGTTAGAATAGAGACAGACGAAGACAAACAGAGGCAGACAGATTAGAGAGTGTGTGTGGAACTCTAGCCTGCAGACTCGGGGGGGCAGTGTCGTGTGCCAAGTGGAGTGGTGGGACTTGGTGTTGGCGACGGTGCTGGTGATGCGATGTGGTGACGGCACAAGATGGCGATGGCGATGGTGCGTGGTCGCCATGATTCTGGGCAGAGCCTTCCGCTAATGACTTGTGGAGAGTGGCACTTCAACCCGCTCCTGCCACTGGACCATGCAGATAAACGGGTCTTGATCGGTTCGGGGAGGAGCGACGACCGACGAGCCATGGCTCAGCTTCGCAAGTAAACTTTACTTGTTCATATTCTCGGTATTCAACTCGAGCCAGCCACATCGTCTGAGATGTTGATGACGTCACGCACGCTAAAGTCCAGTGACACCATTCGCAGATATCGGATATTTGGATGCGGATTGCTGCTGCTAGCGACAACTTGGACGCCGCATTTATCTACTGCCTCGAATAGTTTCCCACATGGATTAAGCTCGTCCTCTCTCTCGCTTACAACGAAGGCTTATCAATTGCATATTAGCCCAGAGCCTCGCGGAATATGAGATAGGTGGCATGGTCTCGTCTCTTGCGGCAAGGTTAATCAATAACATATAAACTACTTAACATACACTGGAAGGAAAAGGCAAAACCAACTTTTAACAACGTCGGTTAGTGAGCTCATTGAGATTCTGCCCAGACGAGTCGTTGTTGTCCCTGGCACACATGGAGATCAGATCAACCCTGGTAAATTGTGGTAACATCGACATGGACCCTGCCAGCCAATAGTCGAAATGGATTGAAGCTCGAGTTCTGTGCTTCGTACTAGATCAGTTCGTCGCCCTCAACTACTCTCCCCCAGCTTGAGCTGTAGACTTCGTAGAAACCTCTTCCAGACTCATTCCCAGTTGTCGTACCTTTGTAAACCCTTCACCTTATCTCAACCCATACACACCCACATACCCACACGCCCCTCCGCACCATCGTGATCTTCCCCACCTCCCCAACAATACTCATCAAACTCCAAAATCACATCCCTCATGGGTCTCGTCGACTACTCCGACTCCGACTCCGACCCCGACCAAGCTCTGTCCGAGCCCGAGCCCAAGCGCCGGAAATCCTCTACCGCCTCCGCTCCATCCCGCACATCCACCACTGAAACCACTCCCCCAACCGGTCGGAAACCTAGTCTCCCACCCTTACCAGATCACTTCCATGACCTCTACGCCTCGACAGTACGCCAAAGCGTCGTCGATGACCCTTCCCTCCACCATGGCCGGAAGCGTCTCATTCCACATGTGGTAGGGAATTGGCCTTCTCATGTGTACATCGAGTGTGCGTCTTCACTCGATATTTTTCTTGAGCTTCTTCTCATACGCGCTTCAAATATAATGAATTAATGAGAATTTAGGGCATCCTTCGGCAGAGGAACATCGCACCCTCGTCTCCCTCATTCAACATGCCCAAAAGAAGCTAAGGGGCGAGGCGACTCTCACATCGCTCTTGACGAGTGACCTCGGCGCTCCTCTCCCCTTGCACATCAGCCTCTCACGACCCTTAGCACTCACCACCGCGCAAAAGGATCGTTTCCTTGAAGCTATCACGACGGGGATCCGCTCGTCTCTCGTCGCCCCGTATGGATCTCCTCCCAGTCCCTCTTTTTTTTTCCCTGGTTCTTTTTTCTTCTCTTCTTCTGGTTTCTATAACTGCTCATCTAGTGGCTGACGATTGGGACCCATGATTTTATTTAAAAGATTCTACGTAAAACCGCACACCCTCAAATTCTGGAAATCCCCCGACTCAAACCGCACCTTTCTCGTCCTCTACGTCCACCCCTGTCCCGACCCCCAAATCTTCTCTTCCCCCCCGCCGACGACGACTTCGAAAGCGCAAACCACGCCTCTAACGACCCTCCTCCACCGCTGTAACTCCACGGCCCGATCCTTCGATCTCCCCTTACTCTACCAAAAGAACGGCGGAAGCGGCCCGGAGACCGACGAGGATGCGTTTCATGTTTCGCTCGCCTGGACCCTTGATGACGTTCCGGAGGGTGAGGAGGTGATAGGTTCCCGTGATGAGCGGGACGATAAGGCGCCGTTGGATGAGGTGCATGGTTGGGCGGTGGCCGTTGCTGGCGTCAAGGTCAAGATTGGGAATGTTGTTACGCATGTTGGGCTTGAAAAGGGGTGTGCCGGCGGAGAGGGTGAGATTTTCAGCTGGTGAGAAGGTCAGGCCTAAGAACACGAAGAGGACTGTCACAAGAGGCCACCCCTAAATCTAAAATCGACCAAAAAAATCGAATAAATATTTACGCGTGTTGAAGGCTGCGAAATATATAGCCAAGTAACTTATATACATATCCACGGGTAACTAGATCAAGGCAGGCCACGGCCAAAGACATGATTTCTGGCCCCGAAGGCGTAGGAACAAGTCCTTGTCTCGTTCAATAGAATATAACTCCAAACTCCACACACTATGCAATGTTCGACCATCCCAGCTCTGATATTTTCGAATAGAATCAACGCCTTTAATGTAGGTTCGCAATTTCTCCAAATAAAAGGTGGTAATACAAAGACAGAGAGCATCTATAGCTCGTCTGGGCGAGGGAACTTGATAGTCCAAATTCGGGGGCTGACGGGCAATCCGACGTAGAATTCGTAGAGTCGGCTCAATTCAGACTTCAGGATGTTCCATCTAATCGGCTCCTTGTTAGTCTCCAGAGTTCAAGTCAGAGGCAGAAGAATAAAAAAACGAGAGAACTTACAGGAGACCGGGAAGCCGGATCCATGACCCAATGACAATCTTGAATGCCTTCCATACCCTCGCAAACTCAAGGTCAAACTCGTCCCTAATTGTACGCTCTTGCTTGGATTTCGGTTTCTCTCTCGCATCCTCTTTCACACCCTCGTATAAATCTGTTTCCGGCTCGACAGCATTCCCATGCGTTGATTCGTCCTCGAGGGATGGGTCGACAGTCCAAGAAACCGCATCCTCTGGAGACTGAGGCTTCTCAACCATGGCTCGGAACTGACCAATGGCATTCAGAGAGCTGCTGACACGAGCGTAGGTGTTGAAAAGAGCCACGAGCTCCGTGCGCTTAAGTCTCGGGATCTCGTTGCTCTCGTTATCGAATTCGAAAAGCACCTTCAGCGCCGTGCCGTAGCCCGCCGTCTGGAGCTTACCCCACAGTCGGCACTTGTCACAGCCAACGCAATCCATCAGTCTGCTGACGTTGCGGAACCGGTTTCTAAAGTCCTCCTTCAGGGACGGGCCCTCGCCGTTCTTGAACATGAGGCTCTCGTCGAAGATCTGTGGTACGCTAGACGCCGCGTCGGTCACGGCCCTGATCTTCGCCTTAGTTTCCGCGTCTTGCTGCTTGTCACCAGTGCAGAAGACGTAATCGGGATCCTGAAGGTACGGGCCCAGCTTCGCAATGGCCCGGGTGACGAGAGCGTAGTTAAAGTAAAGATTGCTGATACGGTCGGGGAATTTATGAAGTCGGTTCTCGTAACACGCGACGTTGGGCGTCCATTCGCCAGTGGTCTGGTTCAAGAAGTCCCAGCAGAGATGCGTGCTGATACTCGCGTGCATGCCGGAAATGACCCGGTAGAACACGCGCTTCTCGATACATTGGTCTTCGAGCTCGAGACCGGTTTGAGAGACGAAGGGCGTGTTGGGGTTTTCCTGGCGTTTCTGTTCCAGGGCATGCTGTCGACCGGCGACCTCGAGGACATGTTTGAAATCGAAGGCCGCGGGACCCTTGGGTGTCCAGTCTGATACTCCGGGTTGGGATGACTTGGGGAAAGAACTAGTCTGGAAGCAGTTCTCCCGGTAGATGGCATCCCACACCTGCTTCGCGCCGTCGCCAGCGTAACCCGTGAACCTCTCAGGGTTCTGCAAGAGGCTAACGTAGTCGCCCTTGGAAGTAGCGCTCTCGTCCTCCGGCACACAATAATCTCGTTCATCGCATTCGTCATCGTATTCGACGACACAACTCTCGCCCACATCCTCTCCCAAGTCGCCTCCGAGGGGCTTCTCAGGCCTCTGTATTTGTACACTCCTATTTGGATGCTTCGCCCTGGGGCCTTCGAGTTTGCTCAGCTCTTCGGCTCGCCAGACCTCGGGTATATCCTCTTCGTTGTCGAGGGTGGCTACGGCACAGGCCCTGTTGCCACACATGCCATTCTCATCGTTCCAGAACGGACATCCCTTGTGGAAAAGGTTGACTCTGTAGTGGGAGAAGAAGTCGGTCGTCTTCGTCAGATCATCAATAGCCGGCTTGACTTGGGTGTTCAGGCGCTCGAGAGTCGCATAAGAGGCACACGCGTCGGATACTATCGCCTTCGGTGATATCTGGAATGGGTGGTTGCGGTTGTTAGACAAATCGACAAGGTCATTGGAAGGAGCTGAGATAGTAGCCGTTGGGGGAGAAGAGAAAAAAGAGGAAGCCTCGCTAGGAGGAACGAGAAGCAAGAGAGAGAGGAAGGCGGCATACCGGACAAGCATCTTCAGAAGCATCAGCGGCGCATCTAACCTGCGCCGTCCAACTCGTGAGAATCGTTAGGCAAAGCAGTTTGGATGGGGGCCGCATTGTCTGGACGCTTTCTAGAGGGGACCCGCCCAAGAGGGGAGGTCTCGCTTCGAGGTGGGAGTATTAATATGGTGGCCCAGGCCCAGGTCGTCAAGGACAAGGACAGCTGGCTAAATGCCGTTGGAGAATTCGGCTCCGCGGTGGATGCGGTGGATTTTCCGGAAATCAAGAAGTTTATGTGGTGTTAATGGAATTAATTAGAGAGGATTGGTCCGGGAATGGCGGGGGAATCACTCTGATACCAGGTTCGGCAGAGGGCTCCGAAGTCTATGTCAAGAAGGCGGGTAGTAATAATACAATTTCGAAACTGAAAAGGAAACGTTGGCAGTCTACTTCGTATATGTGTGGAAAAAGAAGGTGGAAGATGCAAGCTAGACAATGGTAGGTGAATATGTCGAACCCGACCTCCTGAGGTTGAATTTGAAGGTTTCAAAGGAACAGCAAACAGGGAACGTCGCCACTGATATTTGGCAAGTCAGACCAACAAAGCCCAGGCAAAGTTCGGGATCTGAAAATAAAGGACAGAATTCAAGATCTCGAACAAAGCCAACAGGCCACACGTCGTAGGTTGGTCGGAGCTGTGGATTCCGCAAATCCTCCCCAAAGGAGCACACTAAGACGCAAAAAACGAAGACGACAAAGTCGGCCGCCAAATGTGCAATGTGTCCACAGCTTCTAAGGTACATTTGATGGAACCGTCGCGGCACGTTGTACTTGAAACGTCTAATGACGTCCGGTGCCAGGCTCATACTACGGACAGTGCAGAAACCAAGACCATCAGTCTTCAAAGTACCTTGAAATTCTGTATTCGCCAAATTAATAATCTCCTAATGACCTAATCCAACAATAGGGCGAGGTCGTCTGAAAATCAGCAGATGTCACACTTACGACCCCTGCTCAGGAACCTAAAAGCGACCTCGATCAGCGCGGCGAGGTCCGCTAAGCCCGAACAGAAATAGACCACCGGTCTGGATCCAGTCTACCGGTCGCCAGCTGACAGCTCCCGCCGGTGCCTGGAGATAGGGCGGTTGAGACTTCAGTGCCCTGACAAAGTAAACTAGGTCCGCTCACGAGGTCACGACCCCCACAACGAGGATTCAGCAGCTTCAGCTTGCGGAAAGACTCACAGCTGGCTAGCGTTGAAGTTGGCAAATCGCTACAAGAGGATCTGATCCGCCTCTGCTACGTTACCATTTGCGTAACGACGATTCCTAAAATTCGGATCCATATCGCAGGCACGCAGTTTATGGGACAAGCATTGTGTTTCCCTTCCTTCCAGCATGTCGAGTCGTGTAACGAGGCACACTCTAAGCCTCTGTCAACTTCTTCATGAGGATATTGTAACGAGCACTGCTCGTCCGAACTAGATCAGTGAGAGAAAGGTTACCCAGCCCGGTTGGCGGTGTTATCATAAACTACAGGACTCCATGTTGAGATCCCGTAAGACCGTTTCCAAGGTGCTGAGGACATTGACGTCAGCTCAGCCCAATACAAACTGCTGAATTGATTGTGGGGATTTATCGTTCAGAAAGGCAGCTGAAGGTCCTCGATACCTATCATTTACATTTGCACGATGTTTTTTTCCCTCACGGCCATTTCTCGTCGAGAGATACACCTCCGACTACGTTGCGAAAGTGCTAACTTTTGTCACAATCTCGGATAGAAAATTACTTAAAATATAAAATAATTCAAGGAGTGAAAAATCAATGGTCTACTGTTATCTTTGACATATATTTCAAAATCGGGACTGGGACTTGGGAGGGCACAGGCCAAAGTTGTTTGGTGGGACCATATCACTCATCGTCTTCAGAGCAGCGGCGGGGTCAAGCCTGTGACGACTGCCCCCCACATTGCTGGTGAGGGATGCTCTCACGTGCCTTCCATTCTGTTGCCACATGAAATCGAACTGGAGGCAGGAACAAGGCAGTGGGAAGTTCTTGCCTTGCTGAAGACGACGCGACACACCAGCTCTACCATAATGCATAAACGCGTCCGACAAGATAAACACAAAGGAAAACAGAGGTTTTGTATATGTCTATATTTCCGGCGGGGAGGATTTTCGCGTTAATCATGGGCACATTATACTATACAATCCTTCGTCTTGAAGAAAGTTGAAACGCTTCCAATGATTTTAATCGTCTTGTGGTTCGGTGATGAGATAAACCGAATGTGAAATAGTTACAGGGTATCGTAGACAGAAGTCACATGTTCAATCGCCGTCTCGCCGTTTGCGGATGGCTTGTTCCCTCCCAAAAAAAAGGCAATCATCGGAACTACTGAGGAGCGGTGTAGTTGAGGGGTCGCCTGGGGATGGACTGTTAGCACATGAACCACGCAGAGCGCTCTCCCAAAAAGAGAAAATAAAGGAAGTATTTACTCACTTGAACAATAGGATGTGGGGTTCGGGTTCGTGAACTTCGTAGTGCTCCCAGCCCAAGCTCTGATTGCGTGATTGATCAGCATCTGCGTCCCTGCTGCAGCCCAAAACATTGTATCGAGTCCACCAACCTGGGTAATGCCTAGGGCACGCCACTCCTCTTCCCAGAGCAGCTTCAGGGTGCCCTTAGTGGTATCATGGTAGTCCTTGGGGATGACCTTCAGCATGGCTTTGGGGAGTTGGACATGTCGGTACTCGTATTCGTTATCGGAATATCTAGAACACCAGATGAGAAACGGTTGTTAGCTCAATCCCTGGCCGGGTGGGTGCAGAATCATGCAGGCGAGGTGGGAGAATGCGCCAGCACGAGACAAACATACCGGGCCGAATAGTGGATGGATTCAATGAATTCCTCCAAGAGAGCGCGCTCCTCGTCCAAAAGCGGACGGGGGACCTTGTTTCGTCGGCTGATATCGATGTCCATTGGCATCTTGTGTATTGGGGTGTTAATAGTTCGTAGAAAGTCCTCGAATGAACGTTCAGTAGCACGGAAAAAAGTGAAACCGATTGTACGAAAGGTGTATTTGTGTTTGGTCGGTCCTCGAGACGTCAAGTGTGTTTGTTATGGTTGTGTCGAGGTCGAGTTCGGAAGTCGAGGGATGGATGAATGGAGGGGTAGGCGACAAAGTTAGGTTAGAACAAGCCAGGTTGTGAGAAAAGAAATTAAAAAGGAATTAACAGCATCTAGGGAAAAGGCAACAGAATGCCTCCAAGCTCTATGATCGTGGGTTATTCGCGATTAGAAGTTGGGATATCAAGGAGTTTGTTATGGTGATGTAAACAACCCACCCAAAGCTCTGGTGTCCCTCATGGCGGCACGGGCAATTAATACATCAACAGGCGGGGCTGGACTGGGTGGTAGGGGGAACGTCTACAATTGAATTGTGTAAACTTATCACCACGTGATATAGACCCTGTGATTCAAGTGCAGCATACTAAACTAGGTGCTCCAGTAGTGTAGACCAGGGCAGGGAGGGTCATCTTCTAGTCCTGGTCCCTAGAGCATCAGAGATCCTTGTAAGTGCAGTCTTCTTCCCTTTGTCAAGAGGGCTACAATCCCAGAGCAGTAGCATCCAGAGAAAGGGACGTATAAGAAGGTTAAAGTAGTTAGAGGGAGAAAGATTGCAACCACAATGCAGTTCGTCGAGGTCAACCAACTACAATTGTTCTTACAGCCAAGACCAGAGTTGCTGACTAATAATGGTCTTCAACTGTTGGAACTTAGCTTCTTGAATTCTAATTGGCCAGTTCCCCAATTGCTGCGAGTTCCTTTGCTGCCGGACAATCTTCGGTACCCCGTCTTGCCTTCTTGGTGTTAGAACAGGTCAACCTTTGCCAAAAGGTGGCAGCTGGAACCTCCCATCTCTTCCAAGCAGGAGGTGCACCACTCTGTTGCCCCAAAAATTACTATTGATCCAACAACCTCACACCTTGGACTTTGTGCAGCGATCGCGTCCATCACCACCAGGCTCAATAATCACCATCGCCCTTTTGTCCTTACCCCGACAACTATCCAGAAGAGCCTACCAGCATCATATGCACTGAATAAGGTCTCTCGAGCTCCCGCGATCCAAGCGCCGTCCTTTTTAATGGACAATAAACGCAAATCTCGGTCCAGCCGCACATCGGTGGATGTCGACGAGCGCGCTTCGAAACGCCGTCGCATCCCTCAGGTAAACAATCCCATCTATGTCGTCCTATTTTTTCTCCTCTGTAGTACATTCTTCGAGTCCACCTTCGCAAGGTCGCAAGCAGCAGCCGCCGATGCTCGCCAATTGCTTTTCTCTTGACCACCCCCTCCCATCAACCCCAGTTCCCACCATCCTCCACCTGTCCTTGGCGCCTTTTTTTCCCACAGTCCATCACTACAATCAATCATTGGCAACTTGACAAGCTAACTCCATCCAAGGATGCCGATATCACGAAAGGCGAGACCCACGAAACCACCACTCAATCGGGACTCGGTTTCCTCGAGCAGATTCGCCGAACTGCCGACAAAAAGTACGCCTTACAAATATATTAAATATTCCCTCGAGACTCTGCATTGGGAGACTAACTAGAGCTTTACACATTTTTTCGCAGTGGCCGACTCGTCGCGGGGCATTTCGAGAAATTGCTTCCTCGAGAAAGCAACGCCGATTATTATCGCAAGACCCGACTACCTATTTCGCTCGAAATTATCGAGGAGAAATTGAAGAACGGAGATTTTGCGAACATGACGGAGCTTGAGAGCTACTTCAAGCGCATGGTTATGAATGCGAAGGACTTCTATCCTCGTAATTCCCAGGTGTTCGAAGACGCTGAGAGAGTTCGCAAGGCGCTCAGTAACTACATGGTGAAGAATAACCCTGCGTATCAGACAAAAGGTTATCAAGCCTTCCCGACGCCTCTCCCCCCCGAGGGTTCTACCGACGATGCTAGTCGTGACGATAGCAAGTCATCTCGATCTCGTCAGTCCAATAGCAGGAGTAAAACTGCCGACAAAGAGGAGGTAAAGGAGAAGGAAGATGATGAGTCCCCTGCGAAGGATGAAGAAGACGATCCAGAGGCCGATGAGGGCAACGGTGAGGAAGAGGACGATGGGGATGAGGGTGCAGAAGAGGAAGAAGAAGAAGATGACGAAGCGGAAGAGGAGCCCGTCCTTGTGATTCCCAAGCGACGAGGTCCCGGTCGTCCACCCAAAAACCCAGTTCTGCACGCCCAGAAAATGGCCGCCAAGGCCGCGATGCAAGGAAAGGCTGACTCGCAGTATCAAAATGTTCCCTACAAGGGACTTAACTTCCAGCAAGCCCAGGAAAAGATTGTGGAGGAGCTCCTCCGTAAGAAAGGCGATGGGTAAGTCCGAGTATAACGTTTTAGCCGTAACCTACAATTGTGCTTCGTCTCTTGCTAACGAGCTGTCCCATTCAAGCTATGAGTACTTCGAGCCTTTCATCAATCTGCCTCCCCGGTCTCTACGGGATTATTATCGGATTATCACGGAGCCTCTGTCGATTCGGAAGCTTCAAAAGATGGTGAAAGGCATTCATGGCCGAAACGATGCAGCCGGCGTCAGCGACTTTAAGGGTTGGGGTGCTTTTGAGGAGAAATCCAGTCTCCTATGGAAGAATGCTTACTACTACAACGAGGAAGGTAGTGACATCCATGAGCTTGCCAAAGAGCTAGAGGTAAGAATGCGTGCTCCAGATTAGAGTTATCGTGGGGCAACCGCTAATATAAATGTTCTTTAGGGATTTTTCAAGGAGCAACTTGAAGAGGCAAAGGCTGTTGTCCAAGAGCCACCCCAGCCCAAGATCAAACTAAAAGTGCCCACAACTGAAAGTGCGGCATCTTCGAAGAAGATCACCATTCATGTTGGTGGTCGCAGTGGCTCGACCGATTCGCAGACTGCAATTCAGTCGGGAGCCTCCCAGAATGGTGAGGCCCCGGGAAGTGCTGCGATGGTCCGCCGAACCACGGCCTCGAGTACAGCCGCCACTCCACTTGAGAAGGGGGGTAGTGTGTCTGTCGCGTCCCCCAGTCCTTCGGTTCGAGGCAAGCCCGTTGAAGAAGTAAAGCATCTCCCCGCCACGCCGGTTGCGAACGGTGCAATTGGTGCTCCCCAGGGCCAGCCCGCTGTTACAGGAATGCCGAATGGCGTTACCGCGCCTCCTGTGCAGCAAGCTCCCCCACCACCCCCGCCGAACCCCATCTGGGATTCTCCTTACAGGGCTGAGGGCAAAGGTATGCTTTTCAAACGATAGTTCTATTTGGCCCTATTCACCATGCGCCATTACTAACAACGCCCATAGGACTCAGCAACGGCCTCATGGCTAGCCTTGTTGTTCGGCCCCATTCCACCGTCGCTCAACAGAAACTCCCAACCCTCACGCTACAAGGTTCTCCGAAGCAGTGTCACCGTTCGCAAGTTTATCATGTGTCGCTCAAGATGGACGTGCGAATTGGTATTTACCCCCAACTTACCGACGACTTCCAAAAGTCTCAACGCCCGTATCAACTCTGGGTACTCCACAATGGACGAATCCTTCAGATTAACCAAATCGGGAACCCAGGTCAGCGAACGCTCTTGTGCGAGACCATGCTGGGCCGAGGCTTGAACACGATCGAGGCGCAAGTGATCTCACAGATTCCTCCGGACAAGAGGGTGGCCGGCGGCCCCGAGGCAGAACTTGAGAAGTTCACGATTTACATTCACGTCCACGGTGGCTAGAGGACCACGGGCGGTACCGAGTTGCAACTAGATCATACAAGCCTTCTCAATCCGGCCACCACACGTGGTGAGCTGGGACATCAAATGCCGCCCCCCGATATCCTCCCTTCTAGGCCTGACGGGGTGGTGTTGCCTACTGTGGAGTCGCTCGTGGAGGGTAAAGAGGCGGCTCGTTACCAAGGGGAGCTGCGCACTGCACGCGTCAAGGAGTATTTGTCCATATTGGATGGGCCAGCGCGCCAACGAACATTGGAGGAGATCCGTGAGAAGTATAGGAAAGCGAGAACGGCTTCGGTTAACCCCAAGCTTGAGTTGGTGCAGGATCCTCACCCCGAGCCTCTCCTGATCGATCCTGTCCTCCTCGCTATCGGCATCGAGCGTGCCCGGCGAGGCGACAATGGCGATAATGTATCCTCGGTCTAGGGATTTCCGTTCTCTGAGCACATTTTTTGAGGACTTGAAACTTATAGGATAGCCCGGTCTAGGGCGTCCATGTGTAATGTATTATAGGATTGTCGATCTTCGACGTCGAGGCGTTCCGGGATGAGTCGCGGCGCCGGAAAGACATTGGGCGGGTTATGCAATTCCCGCTTTTGGTCTCTTTTCAGGGAACGGCCCTTGTTTTTTTTTTTCTTTTTTTTTTCCCTTTCATGCAGCATATATGCAATCATGTCCAACTAGCTATCATGCAGACACGGGTCTAAGGCTAGTTATGCATCGAGTTGTTAGGAGCGGGCGTATCATGAAACGAAAATGTTTCACAGTTTAATTCTTTCCTCTTTGCTTGGAATGCGGTATTATGAGTAACGGGTTCATCCCCCCCCTTTGCTATGGTTCGTATGCGCAGTCCACGACCGGAACCTATAGCTGTTCGTTCAAATCCAGCGTGTAATCATTCACTCATATATCTTCACCGAAACCCAAACCCAAGCGTAAAAATAACAAGACGCAGTAACCTATTTCTTCAACGTAAAGTAAACCCGAACGTCAACCTCATTGCTCCAGCCAACGGGCTGGCCGACTTCCTTCCAAGCAGTCTCGATGTCGATTTCCAGGACGTGTTCGTCGCGTTTGCTGATGGAGACGGTGCCCGGTGGGATGATTCTCCCGGAAATGGTGGCGATGAAGTCGTCGTCAATGGTTAAGGTTGGGAGATGGGAGATGTAGATGCCTTGAGAGATGCAATTAGGTCACATCGCGGCGAGTCTCAAAAAGGGAGAGATCGATTCGGGGTGAGGGTCTGGCAGTTAAACTTACCTAGAGTACCAAGAGCCTTGAGATCCGTGTCGAGCTGAAGTCTCCCATTCGCCGCAACGTGGAATTTGCTTCCGGCCACGGCCGCAGCACCCGTCATCTTACCCAGCAGTCCCAAGTTGGCAACAAGTACCTCTTTATTCTCACCGGGGTTAAAGGATAGTGTCGGATACGCCGTAAAGATTTCGTAACCGCGGACGTCAAGGACGACGGTGAGGAGGGCCGAGGGGTCGTCAAGTTTGATGGGGCGGCTGATGGTATGAGCCGCATGAGCGGTTACGACGTAGCGGCAGAAGCTGCCGATTCCGGGGAAGGAAGCCAAGGGGATGAGTTCGGTGAGCCGGCGAGACGAGACGTTGAATACCCCGAGGATGGGAGTTCCAGTCTCAGAGCCACCTGTGGTAGTCATGTCTATTAGTCTCTTCCCAAGCAAAAGAGAGAGAGAAAAAAAGGCCCCAAAGATGCGCTCACTCACCGTTATAGCTACCAACTTTTAGCAATACGTCGTCATGATAGCCGATGTACGGATCAATGGCTTGGCCAACAACACTAGGACGGAATATCACCGTCCTCCTGCGAATAGTCTGGCCCGTCATCTCTTGAATAAGGGAGAGGTTATGATCTCCCGGCACATCAGTGATGTATATTGGGCCGCCGCTTACGCAGCGCGCCGCAGCGTGGTAAGCTGAATAGTCGTGAACTGTCTGGAACATGTCCCAATCAGGCAGGACGTTTAGGTATCGCGTGAGGATACTGTTATGAGCATTCGCCCATATGTGCCACGGGTGAGATGAGGGCACATCCGGAAAGAAGTCTTCGGAGTTTCGGCAGACTATTTGAGGTTTGTTGTGTGGTAGCTGGGTATGGAACATGATTTGAGGCACCTGGGACATGCAGGAGATAGACTTGTTGCCAAATCTACGAATGGACAAGATATTCCAGGAGTCGAGGTAGGCATTCGTGAGTTCTCTCCGAGAGGACGACGAAGTTAAGGTGTCGACCATAAATTGCGCGTCGGTCTTGACGCCGTCCACGCCGGACAGGGAAAGGAACCTGTAAAAGTCTTGGTAGAATCGAGAAATATCGTCCTTCGCAATCACAGTAGTTGTCTTTATTTGGCCTGGGTCTTCCCCTATTCCGCGTCGCTGCATGATATCAACGGTTTCGTAGGACTTCGCTAGCCTTCCATTAGGAGAGATGCCGCCCCAGTAACCTACTCTCAAATCAGTCTCACGTTAAAGAGAATTGGCCAAACTAACATCCGACTCACCGAACAGTGCATGCCAGACTGTAACATGCTGAATATGAGGATTCTCTTCACGGATACGGCGGATAGTATATCTCAGTCCTCGGGGGAAGTATCGAGAGTCTGCTTCGAAATCGAGCCAGCCGTTTTCGAATTGGTCGTCGCTTCGGTGGTCAATGGACTGCCAGTTGTCGTCGATTATCAGATTTGAGACTTTTAGATTACTGGATCGAAGCTTCTCTAGTGCTTGAAATATCTTGTCGTCGGTCAACTGCTGGCCCAGGGAGTTCCAGGTGCCTGTAACCAGTTAGCGAAACAAGAATCTAATACGTCCAAACAGGGGCTTAGAAAATGCTTACAGTAACCCAATCCATCATACCAATCCTCGCGCCACTCTGGCCGGACAGGACCATCGAATTCAGATACTCCAGGCTGCCGTTGCGCGTCTTCATATGCCAGGGCTACTACAAGGTCTCGGGCCTGGTACATTGTCGCCGCCATTGCTCTTCGAAAGTCGTCGCCCATCGCGACTAGAATAGTTGCTTCTTCTTTGGCATTGCTATCACTAATAACCTACGAGGTTGGTTAATACTTTTTCGTCTTTCACGAGAAGGATTGAGAGAGAGCATGTGTTATCATACTCTCGCTACAACGTTTCCAGCCTCATCAGATTGAAGACTCGTCGAGACATTCCGTAGTCCCGAAAGGGCCAGGATGACCAAATGCTGGCCCTGTGGATTTAGGAAAGACGAGATTACGCCGTCACGATTCAAGTCGAACCGGGTCTTGCCGTGGACGGGAGCTATCCATGGGTTGGAGATCCGCGCAAGCGAGAACCATCTAGTTCGATTAGCAGAGGAATAATCCGGGCAATGTACTATCTGGGTCTGACCTTATAAAGTCGCCCCATGGAAGACCCAGAGGGATATCCTCCTCTGTAGACTTATCGCCCTGGGTTTGGTCAACTGTAGCACTAAGAGACCAGAGACGGGTTCCTGGGGTCTGGCTGACCCGGGAGCGAACGGCCCATCTAGGGTTGAGATTCTTCACTATATCTGAAAGGTCCTCCCCAGAGTCGTATGTAGCGCCCCTGGCGGACTGAACGATGAGTGTACCGTCACCCATTCCTACTTCCTCTCGAATCCAGCGCCACGGTTGGGCTTGTCCAGACCGGAATTTGACAGTGAAAGAACACGACTGAGTAATCGAGAGACTTGCGGAGAAGTACAGCCATGATGATGAGGCCGGTTCATCCTGTAACGATATCGATGTGCTGTCTTTCCCCACAACAGAGCAAGGAGCTTCCGTCCATGGCTGGTCATCTGTCGAGTGCCATAGTGCGACATCCCAGGGCTGGTTACCACTTGAATAAGGAACCTCTAGAACGATAGTAAACTTTATCTCGGAACCTTGAAGAACAGATACTTGACCCAGAGGAGGGTAGCAAGCGGCTACTACTTTCATTCTCTCCGGCACGGGGTGTAATGGTTTATTAAGTTGGGCTCCGCGACTTATCTCACGAAGGCTGATGGGACATCTCTCCTCAGGGGACATGACTGTAGCTTCGGAACCGTTTAAGGGCTGGCACCGGGAGCTTGGCCGGCCGGAGACATAAAATCGAGCTGATGTGAATTGGTTGATGGTGAGAGCTGGATGAACTTCGTAGGTCACCAACGCAAATACCGAAACTTGCCGTTTTTGATAGATGAAAGAGAGAGCTCGATTTCGGGAGAGGAAGTGAATAATTAAAGGCTAGCTATCACAATATCACAATATCCTGTATGGCCGCCACGGTAAGACCATCGGAAGGTCTGTATGACCCTGTGTTCCCTCTGAGTTGTCTGGGCGGCTTATTTGGGTCAGCCACCCAGTGTCGCTGCCTTGCCCATCCGAGTTCAGTGGCGGTCATGCATGTACTATTGGATGGAGATGGAGAAGGAAGCGAGGTTATTAATCGACTTGAATTCACAAGTGGTTGACAGCTGCCAAAACCGCAAAATCAGCAGGCCGCATCAGCTAGCATCACACCTTACATTATCCGTCATGTGATTGGCTCGAATCCTTCCCTCGGAGCAGTCCGGGTTGCGGGTTTTCGGAAGTACCTAGCTAATGCCTGAAAGATCAGGCGACGATTAAAGTAACTCAGCGGAAGCTTTTGCTCACAATAGGAAAAAGAAACGCCAAAACCGGGAAGAAGAAATCACATCAAACCACTCATTCCTTTTCCACCCGCCCCGTCCTCCCTCTTTCTTCTACACACAACAGCTCCCGCCATGGCGTCCCGGAGACTAGCTTTGAATCTTTCGCAAGGCCTGCGAAGCCGAGCATCCCTCTCCGCCGGCCTGCGACGGGGCCTTGCCACGCCTGTTTCCTCCAACATCGTCGGCAAGACTCAGACCACCACCCTGAAAAATGGATTGACCGTACGTACATCCATCCAGGCCGCCCAATTGATCGAGATTGATGGTGTTTATGCATCCTCCTAACCTCAATGCTCTTTCTAGGTCGCCTCCGAATACTCGCCTTGGGCCCAGACCTCGACCGTCGGCATGTGGATCGACTCCGGCTCCAGGGCCGAGACGAACGAGACCAACGGTACCGCACACTTCCTCGAGCACTTGGCCTTCAAGGTACGATCAATCGCATCTCGGGATACAATTGAGAGGGTCTTCTGTATACTCACATCAAATTTTCTTTTCTCTTTCGACAGGGTACGGCCAACAGGACTCAGCAGCAGCTCGAGTTGGAGATTGAGAACATGGGCGCTCACCTCAACGCCTACACCTCGGTACGTCGACAAAATTTCGCAACCTCAACTTTTACCCTGTTACCACGTCATCATCTAACATACAGACACACACAAACAGCGCGAGAACACCGTCTACTTCGCCAAGGCCGTCAACTCCGATGTCCCCCAGTGCGTAGACATCCTCGCCGATATCCTTCAGAACTCCAAGCTTGAGGATTCCGCCATCGAGCGCGAGCGCGATGTCATCCTCCGAGAGTCTGAGGAGGTCGAGAAGCAGGTTGAGGAGGTCGTCTTCGACCACCTCCACGCCACCGCCTACCAGCACCAGCCCCTTGGCCGAACCATCCTCGGCCCCCGCGAGAACATCCGTGACATCACCAGGACCGAGCTCACCAACTACATCAAGGACAACTACACTGCTGACCGCATGGTTCTCGTCGGTGCCGGTGGTATCCCCCACGAGGAGCTCGTCAAGCTTGCCGAGCAGTACTTCTCCAAGCTCCCCGCCAAGAGTGCCGAGAACTTCGCCTACCTCCAGTCCAAGCAGAAGGCTGACTTCATCGGCTCTGATGTGAGGGTGCGAGACGACACCATGCCCACCGCCAATATCGCCATCGCTGTTGAGGGTGTCAGCTGGAACGATCCCGACTACTTCACCGCTCTCGTTACCCAGGCCATCGTTGGCAACTACGACAAGGCTGCTGGTAACGCACCTCACTCTGGTAGCAAGCTCACTGCCTTTGTTCACCAGCACGAGCTTGCCAACAGCTTCATGAGCTTCTCCACCAGCTACAGCGACACTGGGTAAGTTGAACCGACAATGATCTGACGGCTTCGAATAATATGACGGGGAACCGGAGTTTTCTTTTCTGACACCTTTTTTTCACATAGTCTCTGGGGCATCTACCTCGTCACCGACAAGCTCGACCGTGTCGACGACCTCGTCCACTTCTCCATCCGCGAGTGGATGCGCCTCTGCACCAACGTCACCGAGGCCGAGGTTGAGCGCGCCAAGGCCCAGCTCAAGGCCTCCATCCTCCTCTCCCTCGACGGCACCACCGCCATGGCCGAGGACATTGGTCGCCAGATCATCACCACCGGCCGCCGCATGACCCCCGCCGAGGTCGAGCGCAGGATTGACGCCGTCTCCGACAAGAGCGTCATGGACTTCGCCAGCCGAAAGCTTTGGGACCAGGACATCGCCGTCTCCGCCGTCGGCAGCATCGAGGGCCTCTTCGACTACCAACGACTCAGGAACACCATGAAGCCCAAGTTCTAAGGGAATGACACCTTAGTCCGCAAGTCAAGTCAAATATAGAAAAGGGTATTTACAAATCATGGGTGTTTTTTTGTTGTCCATTTTTAATCGGGAAGAAGGAGAGCGAAGTGAAGAAAGGGCGTGCCACCGTACTACAATCAAGGGGGTGTAGATTTTTCTTGGGTCTCCAGAGAAAAAAAGAAGAAGGCCCTCTCCGGAACACAAAACATAAGAGGGCCCGATCTTTGGGGGTGGGAGGACAATTGTTGGTGGAAAGCTGTGTGCGAACAAAATCCCCGGGTATAGAGTGTATATTGAGATACCGTTTCTCTTGTTCTTTAGAGAAAGCCACACCAGACGAGCCTCCCTTTGCCTAGTGTATCATAAAGTCTTCTTTGTTTTCTAATCTCCTTTTTTTTTGGATCTAAAGTCCTCTCTAAGAAAAGTCTTTGAAAAAGTGAATCACGCGATGATGAAGTGAGCGAAAAAAAGAGGAGTAGCAAAATAGCCCAAGAAAGAGATGATAATTCCTACTTGATTCTAATCAGGTCTAACAATAAAACTTTGATGAAGCAGCATTCAACAAGGTAAAGAAATTCGTTCTCCTTCAAATAACCGACAAGCTTTTCTTTTCCTTCTTCATTTCTCCACATAAACCAATAAGTCAATTAAGCCCATTACGCCTGGGCCTTCTTAGCCATATGCTCAAGTCGGATGCTAACAGCGCGGCGATGGGCCTCCAGCTCCTCAACAGCGGCAAGGCGCATGACGGCTGTACCGACGTTCTTGAGACCCTCGGCCGTGAGGTTAGAGCTCGTGATGTGCTTGACGAAGGAAGCGAGGTTGACGCCCGAGTATTGCTTCGCGTAGCCGTAGGTTGCTATTTGAAAATGTTCTAGTCAGTAAAGTGTGTACAATTGAAGGAATAGGAAGAGTGTCTCGTATGGGTAGACTTACGCAGGGAGTGGTTGACACCGGCAGAGTAATCGCCCACGCTCTCGGGAGTCCACTGGCCAATGAAAACGCTACCAGCATTCGTAACCTTCTCAACTACGGCCTCTGGGTCGTTGAGGTGGAGGATGAGATGCTCAGGAGCATACTCGTTGCTGATGCGCATGGCCTCATCAACATCCTTGACGGAAATGGTGATCGAGTGGGCGATGGAACCGCGGACAATATCCACCCTGGGGAGTGCCACGGCTTGGTTGTGAACCTCGTCTTCGATCGCCTTGAGCTTCTCCTCACTTAGATCAACACCAATGAGGATAACCTGGCTGTCGACGCCGTGCTCGGCCTGGGAAAGCAGATCGGACGCCACAAACGCGGGTTCGGCATCCTTGTCAGCAATGACAAGAACCTCAGAGGGACCGGCAGGCATGTCGATGCTCACACCAGCATTGGTGTCATTGCTAACAAACATCTTGGCCGCCGTGACGAACTGGTTACCAGGACCGAGGATCTTGTCGACCTTGGACACGCTCTCCGTACCGTAGGCCATGGCAGCGACGGCCTGGGCACCGCCGGCAAGGACAATACTCTCGGCGCCGACCTTGTGGGCAACGTAGACGATTTCAGGCGTGATCCTACCGTCGGATCGAGGGGGGGAAGCGAATACAATCTTCTTGCAGCCGGCGACCATGGCGGGGACACCGAGCATGAGGGCGGTACTGGGAAGAACTGCTGTGCCGCCTGGAATGTAAAGGCCTACTGCCTCAATTGGCCTAGAAAATCGGCTGCACACCACGCCGGGCATGGTTTCAACCTTGAGGGGCTTTTCCTCCTTTTGTGCGGCGTGGAACTTGCGGATGTTTTCAAACGAAGTGTCGATAGCCTCTATAGTCTCGGGGGGTATGTCCATAAGTTCTTTAGGGAAAGGTGCTCTCAAAACAGGAGAAGTCAGAGAAGTTGCCTTCTCGAACTTGTGGGTGTAGGACAACACCGCCTTATCACCTCCCTTCCTCACCTCATCAATGATGGGCACAATGATCTTCATAATCGTTTCACTAGACTTCTGAGACGGCCTCTTCAAGGCTTGAGTAAGCTCCGCGGAGTTTGCAGCGTCTATCCTCTTCATGAGGATGCGGTCATTCTTGGGCTCTTGCGTAGGGGCCGGGGCGGCGGCGGGGGCAGCCACGGGAGCAGCAGTAGAAGTACCTTCCGTTTTAATGCCCTCCTTTTCAGCCCACTTGCCCTTCGCATCCCCCTTTCTCCTCTTGACCTTCCAGCTCTTCTCGTCAAGACTGCGGTTGATATCAGAGAGCGAAACTCCGGCGGCAACGGCTCGCGTGAGAGCAAAGTAGATTAAATCAGCGGCCTCGAAAGCGATCTCGCTCGCGGTCTTGGCATCGCAAAGCTCCTCAGCCTCCTCCATGATCTTAGCGCGCAAAAGCTTCTCATCAGAGAAGAGGCGGGCCGTGTAGGAGCCAGCCGGTGCGGACTCCTTCCTCAATTCCAAAACCTTCTCTAGCTTGGACACCCCAGATAGGTTTCCAAAGCATCCAGACTGAGGAAGATGGCAGAATCGGCCAGTCTGCTTCACCGTGAACTTTAGTGTGTCATTATCGCAGTCCAATCCAATGCCTAGAAGCTCCTGTGTGTCGCCAGAGGTAAGACCCTTGACCCATAGGCCTCTCTTCCGGCTTTGGTAAACGCCAGCCTGGGACCGTATAGCCTCGCCAATGCTGTCCTCACTCGTGTAAGCCATGCCAAGGGCAATGCCACCCTCATCGCACACCACAGTAGGGATGAGGCCGTCTGCGCGATCAGATTTCCAATAGGAAGCGATAAGCTTAGACAATAGAAGCTTGGACGAGTCGGCCTTGTCAGTAGTCAGGCGATTGGAAGGAAGAATGGCGACGGCAGAACACTTCTTGGCGAACTCTACGAACTTCTCCAGATCCACTCCATTGACAGGCTTAATAAAGAGGTCCTTGACCTTCTTCGCCTTGCACTCCTCCGTAAACTTCTCGAGATCTTGCGCCGCGGGGTCGAAGCCGGTAATGAGCAGCCCTTGCGGCTTAGCGACGGACAAATCCGGCGTGGTGACGACGGGTGCTACGCGAGCGACGAATTCCTCGTTCTCGTACTCGGAAAACTTCTCGACCGGCACGAAGACTCTGCGTGCTCCGCGATCGAGCAGGTTCAGGATGTCATCCTTGGATTCGAGCTTGCTCACATCGAAGTGAGGGTGGAAATCGGCGTTGTTTCGGCGGAGAGAGCGCCATGTCTCGTCTTTGAGGTTAGAATCGGCCTCGATGAAGGGGCATCCTAGAACGGAGAGCTCTCCGCGCGTAAGGCCCTCGATGTTCTCCAAGCCGGTGCTTGGGACACTAATAAGGAAGGGAAATGGGAGCGTTGTCTCCATCGTGAGTCAGGCGCAATCGGGAAGGAGAGAGAAAAAAAAGTTGATAGGACGGCGACCGATTTCGTCCGTCTAAGTGGAGGGGAGAAATCAGGATGAGCCAATTCGTCCCGACGCAATTGAGCTTCGAGATCTCAGGTCGGATGATGTTCTCACTTGAGGAGAATATCAGACACGTTATCGAATTAAATCTTCTTTCATATGACAGTCTGCGTCGACAACATTCGAAAAGATTCAATGTTCTCGATGACTCGCTCCTGCATCGGCGGGGCAGATTTAGTGGGGTTCCAGGTCGCCTTCAATTGCTGGTCGTTGCTGCCCCACCAATTGCCACTGCACCGAAGGTAAGAGCAGCCCATGACTGGGTGCAAGCGCTAAAACCACACCGGCCAGTGTATTTATCCGGCTGAAACCCGGCAGAATCACACGCAGCCGAACCTCACCAGCTTCAGAAGCAAGTCGCGAACCTCGAGCATCCAGCATCTTTGAACCCATTATCCATCAACTCCATCTACACTGCAAATCAACGATTGCGACCTCTAGAGTGCAGTACTCGAAGAATCGGACCTTGCCTGAAACAACTCCCCACTATTGAACCAACCGCATCGACGGACCAATTCCAATAAGCCACCCGAACCGACCACAGGCCTTGCGCACCCAGCTCCGGGCTGCCACTGCCACCCACTTTCCCACCATCGACGAGGAATCCTTTTAACTTCCAAAACCACTCCTACACGCATCAACGACACAACCACCATGTCCTCCGCCGCCGCCCCTCAAACCAACGGCGTCCCCGCCAACGCCTCCCAAACCCCCCAAAGCACCCAACAACCAGCCGCATCCCAACCAACCCAAACCACCACTGCCACAACAACGACGCAAACCTCCCAATCCCAATCCCAACAACAGCAGCAACCGAACAACCCTCCCTCCTCCCCCTTCACCTCCGCCCCCCGCCCCCGCGACGCCCGCATGCTCGAACTCCTCATGACCTCCCAAGGCGTGACGTCCTACGAATCCCGCGTGCCCCTCCTCCTCATGGACTTCGCCTACCGCCACACCTCCGCCGTCCTCAACGACGCCATCCACCTAAGCGTAGACCCGTACACTACCCACGCCGGCGCGCGCGCATCCTCCACGACCGGAGCAACGGCGACCCTCGTCGGCGCCGACGCAACGGTCTCCGCCAACGCCGTACGTCTCGCCATCGCGTCGCGCCAGGGATATCAGTTCCGCGGCGGGAACAACGCCGGCGGGCTCAGCAAGGAGTGGTTGCAGGAGCTTGCCAAGGAGAGGAATAAGGTTGCGCTGCCGCGGGTTGCGCCGAATGAGTGGGCAGTGAGGCTGCCGAGCGAGAGGTTTGTGCTGAGTGGGTTGAGCTGGGGGTTGAGGGATGTTTGGGCTGATGAGGGGAGTGAGGAGGATGAGGATGAGGAGATGAAGGATGTTGAGGGGGGTGCGATGGATGGGATTGAGGCGCCTGATTTGGATGATGTCGAGGCGGAGGGTGGGACGATGGAGGATGTGTTTGGGGATGCCATGGATGAGGATCAAGCTACCGCGTGAGGGGTCGGATTGGTTTTTTTTTTTTTTTCTTTCCATTTTTTAATCTCTTTCTTGGAGGCAAGGCGTCTTTCTCGATGTTTTCATAATATCCCGTTGTTTCTTATACTTTATGGGTTTGGCAAACTAAAAGAACTGGGTGTTTTCGTCCTCTGACTCGTGCTTCGCTCGGCCGCTTTACTTTCACGTTTTAACACGGAGAGATCAGGCTCAAACGGTCATGCAAATGCCTCTATTTTCGGCGTCATATTGTACATAAAAAGACGACGTTAGCCTCTCTATGAGAAAAATCAAAAGCAAACTGTTCAAAAAGGAGATGATGAAAACGGAGGATCAATCAATCGTAAACAGAGGAACACCCCAATGAAACCCTCGCTTTCCAATGCAATTCGCCCAGTGTCTAACAGCTGGCCATACAGTTTGTATAACTCAAACGCTTTCCAGTTTTCCATGTCCCAGAACCTCAAAATGTCCCCTATCACCCAAGCCATAATCTGTTGCGAACCCTTTTGGTAAGCCAAGGTTCTCAAGCTAGAGACTACTTCTCCGACCTCTCGGTCTCAGCTAGACTCCTTGCCAACGCTGAGGTGCCTTACGCCGGTAATAATTTCCGCGCTGTGATCCTGCATCAGCAACAGCTCCTTCTCCTTCTGCTCGTCCGCCGAGAGCGTCTGTGTTGAATCTTTCGGCAACTCGCCGACTTTGTCGTGCTCCTCGTCCTCGTACTCTTCTCCTTCCTCTTCTTCTCCGACGTCCTCAGCGTCCTCATAGTACTCATCGTCAGCATCGTCATCCTCCGTCATGGAGGCCATCATGTGGTCGTCGCCGTCGACACTGCTCTCTTCTCCTTCATCGACCGAGTCGCGCGAAATGTAGCTGTCCGCTAACCCATCACCCGCGTCCTCCTCGTCTTCCTCGGCGAGATCTTCCTCGTCACCGTAAAGGCTAGCCTCCTCCTCGCCGACGGCGCTCTCTTCCGTCTCGCTGGCGGTGAAATCCGACAGGTCGAGGATTGGCTGCCTCCAGAAGGTGAAATCGGTAAACTCCTCGCCGCCTCCCGTGATGAGAGTGCTCACGGGCGGGAAGTAGTGGTCGACAACTTCGTTGATATTCATGTACGACATCTTGAGCTTGTTAAGGCTCAGGAGGTCCAGCGACACCTCGGCATTCGAGTTGATGGTGAAGATGCGGTTTCGCGGGATGTCGACGGTTCGATACGAGATCTGATCTGTGAAACGGTTTCCAAAACCGGCGTAGAAAGCCTTGTGATCCGCTCCGTAGAGCTGGCGAATATCACGCAGCGTAGCCATCTTGAAGATGTGGGGTTTGCGGAGATAGATCTCGCGCCTCAAGGCAGCCATGGTTCTGTCGGGAGACAGAATGGTCGGCCCACGAGGCAGTCGGAAGCCCTCTTGGGTAATATTTGCCAAGTACGCTCTCGTCGTATCGGCTTGGCCGACGGAACGGCTGGTTAGATACATGATGTTGTAGCCATTCGCGACGATGTCGCTGTAGAGTTTCGCAACTCCTACATGAGTCCAATCGCGACCAATCATGTTCAGCACATGGCCCAGCGCATCCGACTTGGTAATGGTTCCATCGATATCCGAGACGACGACGGGTACATCGTGCTTCCAAAGGTACATGTAGGCCTGGCAGGTGGAGCGGTTGACGGTGAAGCTCATCGAATTCTGCCCAGGGCTCAAGTCGAGAGCCTTTAGCTGATCGCTTGTCAAACGAAGAGTCTTGGCATAGTTCTTGTTGGGATTTCCGACACCGCCGGGAGGCGTGATAGGTGGCGTCTGCGGGTGCATGGGACCCACATCGGACTCTGATCTCCTATGGATATGCGGCTGACCGGCGGAGGCGCAAGAATCGCTCCCGTCGCTATGATATCCTGGGTCGGACGCAGCATCCGCTGGCACGCCTCCCCCTTGTCGCATGGGGTAGTTTGCGGACTTCTTCATTGCGTCATCCTTCGCCTGCTCGCTGCTATATATCCACAGGTTTCCATTCTCGTCGACGCCGATGAGGGCACCGATATCATAGTTGCCCTCGAGCTCCTCTGACAAGATCTTTCTGGCGAGGATTTCGGCGCGGAAGAAATCTTCTTCGTTGCCCTTGAACGCCGACATGTCGAGCATCAAGTCTCCCGTTTCCGTGACGTAGTTGGGAATATTGGCGCCAGACAATTCCTTGGACAGAGTATTCGCACGCGCGACAGCATCTTCGAGTGTCAGCGGAGGAGGACTGGATGACCTATCCATGGACAGCTCGGGGCTTCCCTGGCCCTTGCTCTCGGTAATATCAGGTTCGGACTCGGATCGTCGTAATTTGTGGAGGCTAAAGTCACCACTCAAGGGGCGCGACTTCGGTTCGGTACTATCGGTGGTGGAGTCCGGCGACGGTGGCATACGAGTAGGTAGAACACCATTGCTCTGTGCGGCAGGAGTGTTCGAGTAGAAGGTCGAGAGTGGACGCCTCGACTTGGGCTCTTGATCGAGAATCAGTTGGTCGGGTTCTGGGAGGCTCGGAGTAGGAGAGGGTTGAGGGCTGAGGTGGGGACTGGAGGCCGGCGAGCTGATGGGCGAGGTCTGCAGCGAAGCAGGAATGGTGTCTGTCGTCTCGAAGACGAAGAAGGCCTCGCCGCCCTCTCCGAGCTTCATGGAATAGTCTTGCTTGACGCCATTCACTCGGAATTCGACCTTCTTCTCGTAAGGGCGCAGAAGCGAAAACTTGCCGAATCGCACGTGGAAGGGCGAACACGTTAGGGAGCCATCTTCCCGCTCGACTACTATCACGTCGATGGCGCCGCTAAGAGTGGCCGGGTTGATCGAGTTCCACGCCGTGGAGACGGAGTCGCTAAGGTTCCTTACGTATTGCATTTTGCGAAGGGGCGCCTTCGAAGGCGGATGGAAATTCGGGGTGGGTGTAGCGGTCCAGGCGATATTTCAGCCGGAGCCCAGCTAGTGAGCCGGAGGTCGTAGGGTAAGTTAGCTTAGCAATATCGGGTGATTCAAACTCCTGCTAGAACTGGGGTGATAATCTAGAGGTGATGATCTAGAGTAGGTCGTTCGCAAAGTAAGTTGTTCGGGCCCCAAGGAAGCGGGTGTCAAGGATTTAAGGCTAATCAACAAAAAGTCAAGGGAGATAAAGTTCACAAGTGGTCCGAGAATCCAGAGACAAGCAAAAACCGAGGTTGTACCTGGTTGGGTTGGGTCGTTTTTGAGGAAACGATGGAGGCAAAGTTATGCGCGGGATAAGGTGATCGGCAGAGATGTAGAAATACACAGTCGCAGATAGGGGACAGTGAAAGGATATATATGACCGAATAGGTTGAGTCGGACAGTTTGGGGGAAAAAAAAGAATGGAGGAGTCAGACGCCTTTTGGGGATTGTGGATTAGACTTGGAAGAGGGCAACTTGGGACAGACTTGGACCAGAGCGGATGACGCTGAGTCGAGTCAAAGAATCTTGATCACAAGCTAAATTATTGGGCGCAGTGGAGACACCGAAGGAAGAAAGAAACGGAAGGTGCGCCCGGCGGGGCCTGCGACTGGTCCAACTCGCCGAAAACAGAATTTGCAAACAAGCCGACTTTAAAGCTGCCAAAGCTTGCTGGATCAGGGAAGGTAGAGAGGGGAGGGGTTCAAATGCGCCGAAAAGAGTGAATCGACCGACGCCCCCAATTTACGAATTTGCGTTGGGGGCGAACTCTTTTGGGAGTGAACGAGATAATAAATACTAAATCGTATACGAAGCTTTGGGGGAAGGTTGTACCGAAGGTGTTGCTGCCTTCTGCAGGGTTCAAATTGTTAAGGAAGAAGTTGAGCTGTTGAGGATTTTGGGGGAAGCTGCCGTGGGGAGAAGATCATTAATACTGAGGTACACTACAATTCAATGTTCCCAACAAACGGATCTCAATATCTGTTAAGGCTGAGCCAGGCCAGGTCATTCATCAATATTAATAGTTCGTAATCTAGTTTCAGGCAGTCCCATTTTGTCCAACTTCGTCAGAGCTCGCCTCCTCGTCCGCCTCAGCAGCCGAGCCCACCACCGTCATCGCACCACTCACCATTGATCACCCATCCATTACGTCGGGTTTGGTTGACCAGACATGGGGCACGACAAGGGTATTGCAACCTTGTTCTTCTTGCCTGCCCAAACTCCTCCCACCCCCAAAAAGGCTCATTGTTCGGATGAGTCTCATTCTCCGCCGTCGCTATCCATCCAGCGAATAATCCTTCTCTGCTCGGCCTCGGCCTAACGGCCCCGACCACACCTTGGCAAGCCTCTCAACTCCTGTGACCTCTCCCCACGATTCTTTGCATACTGCATGAGTACCTGGCGGGCGTTTCGAAGTCGAACCCAAGGGTCTGCCCAACCAATCGTCCTCTTCCACGGCCTTCTGTGTCACTAGGAGCCTCGCAATCGATCATCGATTCGTGATCCATCAACCTGATCCTTTTCCAGCGTCGGAACCTTGAGAAGCCACATGATTGCTGCTCCTCCACCGTTCCTAGCCGCCATCACTTCAACGATAATTGAAGCCCAAGAACAAAGAGTGTCACGTCTAATAGCCCCCATGCCTCGTAAATTAGCCGCCAGTGATGCCTACTCCGCACTACGGATTACAGGGCTATGAAGTAAAAGAAGGACCCTGTCTCTAAAATATCCCTAGTTCTGCGGAACAGTCCGTGAATGTCCGTTCTTTGAGACTTTTCCGACCACTCACCCCGAGGTTTCGCACTTGACCTAGCTTGTTTCGGATGGCACGGGACTTCCGAGCTTCATCTTTCTCCCCTTCATAACATAGTTCTTGTTGAACCAGAGAGTTAGTGAGGGTTCCTTTGGAATGCGTTGAACTAAATAGTGATACCAATAGTTCCCACAAGAAATTCATCTTACATAGAGTTCGCTTTAGGAATTCCATTCTCGACTCCAGCCACATCACGAGAGTCACTGGTCAAACAAAATAATCATCCATGATGGCATAATGCAGTGCAAGAGAGCCTGTGCTACAATTGCAGTCATTCCAATGCGCAGGGCAGTCAACAACAAATTGTATTTTCTTCGCTTCGTGGAAAGTGAACGCCGACAATGTGGAATAAGCAGAGTTCCACCGCTCAACCTCATCCAGGAACTACCAAGTATTTATGAGAAAGGCTGACGACCGTAAAACCAATCGCTTTTATGTCTCCTTCGAGATATATGTAGACCAGACCATGAACGGAGTGGGGGAAAAACAAACGTAGGAGTAAGAGAGTTAAGGGCCGGTAGGTAATCACCTATTTTCATCAGTTGTAGCCGCCTCCGAGTCGAGACTCAAGGATGTTTTACGATCCAACTCCAGGCTCTCCTTAGCATCCTTCCCCTTCTTCTTCATCGAGAACCTCCAGCCGTTCATCCTGCTCTCCTTGTTATCCCTGTCCCGGGACTTAGCCGGACCGAGAGACGGGCTACTCGTGACACTATCCAAGCTTCGGCCAAGTAACGCCTCATCACCAAGGTCATCAAGGTCGCCGATGCTCGAGCGATCCGCCGAGAAATTCTTGTCCGAGTTGGTGCTGCTTCCGGGACCCTTCTTAAACAAACCGGAATCCTTGCCCAGTCGCGACGACAGGTTGAACCGGCTCGAGCTGCCCTTTCGGAATAGCTTCTTGACGACGTTATCCTGTTCCTTGAGGCTAGACGATAGGCCCATGCTCGGCTCCGAGGGTGTGTTGGACCACGTGTTGTCGAGGTTGAGCGATTCGCGAGACTCGGAAACAGACGTTTGCGTGTGCACTGAGAAGGTATCTCTCGACTTTCGCGAATCCGATGGCGAGTCGTCATCTCCCGCCAAGTGAGAGCCTTGGTCCCCACTGTGATAGGCACCCGATGCACTAGCCTTTTCCTTTTCCTTGTTCTTCTCCTTGTCCTTGGACTTATCCTTGGATTTTGCTCGCGCTTCTACCCTCTCTTTTCCGTCTCTGTCAGGCTTACGGAACAAACCCGCCATAAAGGTAGGTGCCTTGGGATTCAAACGCTGAGAGATCGAGGCTGAGGTGGGCGGGCGACTTCCAATGACTCCAACTTGGCTGGGCGAGACCTCAGGATTGAGCAGGTCCTCGTCATCGAGAATTTCGTCTTCTGGAGAAGCGAGCGTCGTCTCGGGGGCATTGACCTGTCCATGGACGGACTGTCGTCGAGACGGGTTGTGCGAGTGCCAGCGCGCATCTGACGACGTCCATAGTCGGCTCTTGCTCAAATTCGAATCGCCCGGCGCGCCCCATATCGAACCACCATCCGTCGAGGCCCTAGCTAGCTCGGATGAGGCGATTGAAGCAGGTCGAGGGCTACTCGGATCTCGGGATACTCCCGGAGGCCCGCTAACACCTTGTGCCCAGCTAAAGGGAATTAGTCTCCTAGAAGAGAACGAGCTGCTGTTGTTCGTAGAATGGCTGTCGCCGCTATCCACGTGGACAGAGTTGCGGCTGAAGAGGCCGCCGGCCAAACTAGACTTCCGCTTGTTAGCAGCATCCCAGTCGTCGAGCTGCCTCGGGAAGGACTGGCTCTGACCAGGTTTCAACGTCCCTAGTGGTGGTCCCAACTCTTCCGTGGCCTTTGGTGCGGCTCTTGCACGCTGGAACGGGGAAAACAGACTAGTAAAGCGAGAGGGTTGGACAGCAGGGGCCGTTGGCGAGGATGTTATTCCCCCAATCTCTCTCGATCGACGGTCTCCGGGTTCGCCTGGGAATGCTGGGAAAGGTAGATGCTGTGAAGAGCTTCGGGGGCTGGAGATCAGGCTGAGCGACCGGTTTGACGAAGCAGGAGATTGCGGATCCGCATCCAATAAGTTAGCGGACATGGGTCGGCCAAATGGACTCTGTAGATGCCTCGACTCCGGACTAGGTAGGAGATCATCGTCGCCTAGGATACCTGCAGGGATTAGAGAGGTTGCAGTCGGACTCAGGGGCGCTCCCGCTGTGAGACTACTAATCTCCGCCGAACTAAATGCCTGGTCGTGGCCGAAACTATCTGCAGCTGTGGAAGCGTCCACATACGGACCGGGGGCAAAGCTGGCTCGGCTTCCATACCCAGGCGCCGTGATATACGATGACTCCTGAAGGGGAATTTGACTGTGTGGCGGAAGTCCTGCGAGCGAAATGCTCTGACGGCTGAGGCGCTTGAGGTGATTCTGCTGCGACTGGTCCACGAAATCTATGCCTGGCGGATTTCCTTGAAGGTAGGGATTCGTCATAGCTGACTGATGGGCGCGATACTGTTCGATCAGATTATGAACCATCCGAACCTGAGCGGTCAGATCATGACGGCGTTGCATCTCCGACAGAATGCGCTGTTCGAGCATTTTGCGCCTAGCCTCCCATTCCTTCTTCAGCTGAATATCAGTCTCTCTCCATCGCTCGTCGGCATCGCCACCGGGAAGCTTCTGGCGCTCAAGCTTGAGCTCCTTGAGCATCTTCCCCTTCTCCTTGAGCTCGGCCTCGAGCTTAGAACACTCTTCCTGAAGGACACCATTGTCCTTGTCTAGAGCGGCCACCTTGGTCTCCCGGAATTCGTCAAGTTCGGCCTTCTTGGATGCAAAGCACTCCCGTTTCGCCCGCATGGATTCCGTCTCCGCTTCTAATTTGGCGATGTGGCCACGCGCGCTTGCTAATTTCGCCTTCTTATCCTTTAACAGTTGTTCCTTCTTCGCTCGCTCTTTCTCCGCTGCTCTCATCTGCTCTCCAGTGATATTTACCCGCTTACGGAGCTGCTCCGTATTCGACTCCTTCTCCTTCAAAGCTTGCCGTTTTCTTTCCAGATCCTTCCGTAGCTGGTCTTCTTGCACCTTGAACTCTGCCTCTTCACGCTCATATTGGGCTACTGTATCGGATATCTCTTTACGTATGCGCTGAAACTTTTCGTTGAGTTCTGCTAGAGATTCCTGGGTCTCGGGAGTGGCTGGGGCCTTGTCTTTAAGCGCGGGTTGGTCGAGGCTCGCAACTGATGGGGAATGCCGCCTGCTGCTGACCGTATTGCGACGATGGCTCACGGCGGTGGGGGCAGAATCCCGGCTTGTCGATGGATCCAGGGTTGGTGCGGCCTCAATAGATGGCAAGGGGCTCTTGGGCGGCTCGGAGTCACCATCCTGGTCGTCCTCTCTGCGGCGGCTCTGCTGCTGGTCGACAAAGCTGGGAGGAAGCCTCCCATTAAGAAGCTGAGGCTTGGCGTCCTTTCCATATGTACGCAGGCGGATTACAGAGCTGCCAGATTGGAAATTGTTGGAACCAACGGCGATGACGCGAATGTTATAGAAGTGTGCCGGTTTAAGACCGGTGACAGTTATAGCGGTATCTTGAGGGCCCGAGTTGCCAACTAACTTTTCATCAGTAATTGTAATTCCACGGAGGGGATTAATCCGCTAGATGAAGCACACTCACCATTTACTCCATTTACCTGGATGACGTATTTCTGGACAGGGCGACTACTAGGAGGGCGGGACCATTCAAGGGTGGCGGCGTCTGAGCGAATACCAGCCAGGGATACATCGGGAGCTTCGGGAACGTCGACTTTGAGAATTTCGATTAGATCCTGGACTGGTATCCGCATCGTCTGGAAGGAGCGGTAAAGCAGCCTAGGGGATCAAGATGGTTAGCCGAGAGATCGCGGTAGCGGAGAGTCCGGATAGGAGGGCAGGGAGGAGAAGAGAGGAAGATATAGAGAGCAGCTAAGCAAGGGATCATCGTTCATACCAGCAAGAGGCAGCAATTACGAGAAACATGTTGCCATACTGGGGGACCAAGTCCATGCGCAGCACAATCCGGGTCACGTTGAGGCTGGACAGGACGAGGTGCTCAATGATGGATCCCCAGAAGGCCCAGAATGCGGCGAGGAAGACGGCGGTGTGGATAATATTTTCGAGGAGGGTAGGAGGGTGCGGCGGCCTAAAGAAGCGACAGGCGATGACGGCGATGATGAGGACGAGCTTCACTCCGACAGGGGCCGTCCAGGTCCATGTCATGTCGTCGCATCCGGTATGGCTTTATCACTGGTTATCGAGTCAGCCAACGGTGAAAGCACGTCGGCAGGTTAGGGATACGGGGCCGAGGCTGGCTAATGTGGCGGCGCCTTCTTTCGTCCCCGAATTCGACTCGTCGGATGGGCTCGAAATCGGAAAGCGAATCGGAGTGAGGCGTGGGTAGGGCGAAGGATCGAGGTTGCAAGCAGAGAAAAAATAACGCCAAGTCAGAAGTGGTCGTGGTTAAGGTAGCCTTTGTCATCAGATGTGGGGCAAAGGACGAGGTCAGGTTTGTACAATGTTACAATGTAACAATGAACACTGCGAAGGACGAAGTAACGATGGACAAAAACATGGATAGGGCGCAGTCGTCCTCGTGGAGGTGGCAACTGAAGCTTACTTCTTAGGCTGCTCAGCGACTGCTACTATGCCAAACCATTGATGAAGCTATCGAGAAAAGACAAAACCGTTCAACCCTGAGCGGGATAGGTCACGCGCCGCGGAAATTTTCTACCTGAACTTTGCGAAAGCAGCGGCCCTTCCTGCAGTTAATATCAATTATTGTCGTTATTTTCTCAATTAGAATTAGAATAAAGTATATAAGGACTTGGTCCAGCGTCAGGAGCCTCGATCTCAGCTCGGCGTCAAACGCTCTCCGCGCTTCTTTAGTACGCCATTCCTTCGCCTCGTGTAAGTTTTGACTGGTCCCATGCCATGCCATCTTCTCCATCCCAAACTCTCCAAGGCACCAGGAGACGTCGCTCGTTTTACACGCGTCGGACTAGTTAACGCCCGCCTCAAATCGGATGAATTTTTTTTTTTGTTCATAGTCTGATCTTGGCAAGATGTGAGCTTGTTAGCATCAATTCATGATCGGGTCGGTCATATTTCTGCTCTCTCTTCTCGCTAGTTCCAGACGATGCTATTTTCCGTCCGCAGTGCATCCTCCGCTACGAACATTCAAAATAGACCTTCAATCCCCAGCAAGAAAGGAGAAGAAAAAAAAAATACAAAAAAGAACAAATTGAAAAGAGTTAAAACCAGAGAAAGGATTAAAAAAGGGAAAAAAACCTACCTCTGTAAACCACTCAAATGTTCTCAGGCTGTCTGGCAAAGTATTCCGCAAGCCGTCGGAATCGTATGAGGTACATCGACGCCTCCAAGGCATGTACAATTAGGAAGGCGGTGAAGCCCGGTAAATCTAGGAACATCCCATCCCAGTGTTCAGAACATTCCACCGAGACCAAGCAATTGAATTTCCCAGCTGCAACACATCATCCACAGCGACGACGACAGGGAGCTTGCCAGCCACAGCAGAGCTACCAACCCAATGGCCACAATGGCATCCAAAGATGTTCCCACGGACGTCGACCGTCTACCCGTGCCCTCGCGGAATCCCCTTCCCCTCTCGGCAACCCAGGAAGCTCAGGTCCGCGACATCTACTACACACGTGTGAGAAATCATTGTGCTCCTGAGATTAAAGGTGCGCCCTTACTGCCCTCCCAATCACATGCTACCATCTGCTTCTTTTAGGACGCGCATTTCTGACACCACTGATCAACCTGCAGCCTTTGCCGAATGCGCCGCCGGCCGAACCCTCACAGTCTCCTTCGCCTGCCGGGAACCGCTCCACGCCATGAACTCGTGCATGAAAGCGCACGCCACACAAGCCGAGCAGGATGCGGCGAGAGAAGAGTGGTTCGCCATGCGTCTTGCCCGCCAACGTGAGAGGGAACGAAAGCAGCTCAAGAAGTCGGCGCAAGAGGACTTTATGCGAGAATGGTGGCGCATGCCTGAGCGAGACGAGGAGTCGAGGCGGAAGCTGGCCGAGAAGCAGGCGCTGGAAGAGAGGGTTGGCGGAGCGCGGGCGAGTCACCCTTCCAATGAAAGAAAATGATGCTACGGCCGACGAGAGAGATGCGGCCTCTGGGGTTCCGGACGATAATGAGGAAGATGAGAGAGCGAGTAGAGATGAGTGAGTGCCACCTTGGGGCGTTTTTGCGACGGCGTTATGGATCGCTCCATACATAGAGAAATCTCCCCCACATCATACACACCAGCCACTGTATATTACGCATATTTGATTCCGCAGTGTATTCTAGCCCTATATAGTCGAGTACAGCGACATGATTTTTGAAGTGCATTTACGATCGTGTCCAGCAAATGATCTAGGTTGGATCTCCCGAGCCAAGGTAGCGGCATTGATGCTATACTCGGTTATTATACTACTTGTATTCGGGGCATTAGTTTTCCTCTAGAAGACTGAAAACTGCCTCCGCGACACCCCACGACATCTCATAGCCCCGGCCTCCCAACCCATACGCGTGTATAACCGTTCTCCCCGGTCCAGCATCGACCTTTTCCAGTCTCAAGCCTCCGACTCGCGTCGGCCTTCTACCGACAATGTCCCTCAGGACTCTGTACTCACCGCCGTCTTCGAGAATCTTGGGGTAAGTCGCCGCGAAGTTCTTGAGGAGACGGGCACGCGTTTCCGCCGACGGCTCCAAACTCCAGTCGTCCACCTCCTTGGTGCCGCCAATGATGGTTCCGCCGTGGAAATTACGGGGAACGCTGAACGACCAGGTGCCGTCAGAGTTTTGTCGTGTCACGGTAGCGTCGCAGGCGTTGGCAACGAGGCAAGTTTGGCCTGGACGTCAGTGTTAGTCTTACAGTCATTTAGAGCATGCTAGGATATGGACGCATTGTTTCCTCGTTTCTTTACCTCTTGTAACAAAGACCTTCTCATCACCGAATCCGGTACCCGAGCAATCGATGACGGCTCTCAAGTCGCCAAGCTCCTCCATGGAGAACACCTCATTAGGTGACCTGAGATCCCTCTTGATGAACTTACACCCGCCGAGAAAGAGGCGACGAAGCAGATAGGAGCAGTACACCATAGGATTCACACACCAGGTGCGATACTCGAAGCCCCGCACCACCCCCTCCGGAAGATGTTCCGCGTCGAGTTCTTTGAACTCCTCATATCCAAGTTCCTTGGCCGTCTCGGTAGTAAGAGCGGCGTATCCCGAAATGCCGGCCTCCAGATATTCAATCCCTTTCATAAAAGTAATGCCCGCCTCTGGGCTCTCCTTCGCGAGAGCATCCATATGACGGAACGTAGCCAAGGCAAGGTCATGGTCTCGCTTCCCAGCCTCGTCAAGTGGGGGAATATATCGGTTGTGAGCCCCGGCCCATTGTGAAGAGTAGTTTACCTCTTCGCGAGCATCGACTATTTCGAATGGAGATGGGAAGGATCGTGCAATGACGACAACGGGGACTCCCTCTTGTTGGAGTTTGAAGGCGGTACTGAGGCCGATGACACCTCCACTGGATTACATGCGTGGTGTCAGTGAACGTAGAGAAGAAAGGGACGGGGACAAATAAAGTCGCCTTACCCGATGATAGCAACTATAGACATCTTCGAACGATTTACCCCAGGCGTAGTCCTGGGGACGGACATACACAGCTTAGTCGAAGAGAGAGAAATCGATCTTTAATTCGAGAATGATTCTAGCTACAGCAGCCTGGTCGCTTTACTTCTCCGTGATAACACCGACTCTGGTGAGGGGCTGCCGGATGCCGATGTAACCGCCACTGCCCGCACCTTTTCTATTTGTCGAACAAGGTGGAGACTCAACTTGACGGGCAAAAGAAGGAACATGAAGGATGATCTTTGATGGATAGTTATTACTTACTACTCCCTCTCAATTTGGAATTTGAAATAAGTCCATCACCGGCGACGCTAGCTGCCAATCTTTTACGACATCCAACGAAGAAACGCCAGCTTTCGGCATTGGGGGACACCAGGTCCCCCGTTGCCCCTTTAGAGTATAATCGATAAACTTTCGAGCCTAGTGCTTAGAGCTTAGAGAGTACATGTATTGTAAAACCACCAGCCATTCGAGAGGTAACCCAAAATAGTCTGCAGCTCTATATATAACTTGAGGCATCTCCCAAAGTGATCGCCGGCATGGCCCCCAATGATATTTTTATCATGGCAAGGCATGGTCGTGGAGATCGTTCTTAGGCCTCAACTAGCTATTTTAAGAGAGATCAAATGGGCTCTAATCTTGATTCAAACTCTCTCCCGCCAGATAGAGCGGGGGAGCTTCCGCTGCCGTGTCCCGCGTCAAGCGTTTGAAGGGTGCTAGGTTCCTTTCTTTCAGCATTCTGCCTAGGTATCGACGTTCTCATCGGTGAGCTGACACTTCACCTTTCGCTTCTCACTTGATACCTCAAGTTGGCTCGGGGATAAAAGCTCCATCCAGGCAGTGGTTAGGGCCTACATTTGGTAGCAGCTTCTAGAAGTTCGTCACAAGCGCTTGGGGCAGGGCCCAGGCTCCATATTGTAGTATCTGTAGAGGCAAAAACCGCCCTACAATGCGGGGAGGGCAATTGACATCGCATGCATGCAAGCTAAAAGGGCATGGCTGAGCTTTCTAGCAGCCAAACCAGTTATACCTTGATGCGAGACATAATGCTCGCACTGACTTGGAGAATTTCGGTCCAAAAAGCTGCCGATGCAGAGCTTTGGCAAACTTGGCGCCTCGAAGGTTGAATTGGTGGACAATGGCAAATTCCTCAAAGGTGTGAGGATAGATACCAGAGCAGCCCCAGTCGAGAATGGCAACCGGCTCACCGACCCTGATGTTGAACGGTCCGAGATCACAATGGCACAGGGAAAGTGGCTCTCCCTGTAGGCTGATTCTATCCGGTCGGCCTGCCTGTTTCAACCTATTATTTAGCCAGTCCTCCATCTCCGTTACGTTGTTGAAGGCACTAGTTGGCCCGCAATCAGAGAATAATCTGTCCACGGGAACTTGTCGCTCGAATGGTCCTGGGGAAGCGTTGGGTGGCAGCGGAATGTCCCAGATGTGGCGAACGGCGTTCGCGATGGCCTCGAGGACTTGTTCCGCCTCTTCGGGATGCTCTTCGCTGAAGGTGGCGTAATTATCGCCTTTCACATTTTCCATGACTATATAAGTCAGTGCCGCAGCCTTCGGTTGTGGTCTTGTGAAGGCATCATAAACTTCCGGGATGCGAACGATGTTAGGATCGGCATGGCGATGCACGTATCGTTGGATGGCCGCTTCTCCCAACGTCACACCCGGGCCACATTTGATCCAAATGTGATCGTTGTAGGCGAAGCTGTGGGTTTCAAACTGAACGTCTTGGCAGAGAGATACGATGACGTCGCGCGAAGGGATCTGTATCGGATCCATCTTTTTCTAAGCGAACGCGGAGGTTGTTCTCAAGTGCTTGGAGCTGTCAGAATAAATGGGCCTCGAATGCCGGTTGGCTGGGTTTATCGATCAAAAATATGGTTCTGCATCAGTCAGGTGCATCAATTGATGCCCGCGAGAAACTAAGAATCCCACCTTTTCTAGAACCTAAACTAGATTCATCGTTTGCCGACGTTTTCTCCAGGCTTCAGGCTTCCGGCTTCCGCCGGACAATTCACGTTCCCGAGGGGTTATGGTAGGTTTGTAACAGGAAGGAGGTTTTTTGGTATTATCAACAGCTCGACATAATCGAGATTGATGTCAGTCCCCGGGAAGCACGTGCAAAAACCCTTTCTCAAGAGCCCGATCTTGGCCTCATCAAGGCGGGGCAGAAACCACCATCGCTGTCCAGGCAAACAAGTCGACCTCCGGTCTTACACTTTTTCCCTCTCTTTATCCCTCCGCAGGAACTTCGTATGGAGGATGTCTTCCGCATCCAGCATCACATCTTCAGACCTCACGGTGACACTCAATGAATAATGTAACCCGAAAGTGTCTGCAGCTCTATATATAAAGGGCGATCATTACTCCAAAAAGACAGAACTCTTCGATCCAGAGCAACAACCTTCAACCGTAAGGTGACGAGCTTGGAGAACTCGGCCGTATCCTCCATTTGAGTACGAAGTAATCATTTACGTCAACTTGGAGGATCCCCTAGAGTGATCACCGGCATGGCCCCCAACGATATTTTTATCACGGCTAGGCATGGTTCCGCCTCCCGCCGGTCAGTCACTATTAATACCAGAGCGTGCTCATCGCGAAAAGGTCCGGGCTCAACTCTCAGCACCGTTTACAAGTGCCTAGGCTCTACTTGGTAGGTAGCCTAGATTAAATTCAAGAAGCTCTTCGGGACTTTTACATCATTGATGTGTAAAGTATCTAATAATTGTCCAACATAATCGAGAGAAGCGGTGAAATCCTCGGACCGCCATCTCGGAGATCGAAGCAGAAGAATGAAACCGATAAACTGTGCTGATGGGCTTCGGCCAGAGTAGTCATTCGGATCAAATATTACAAAGCGGTTGAAGAGGAGCGAAGACGTTCCTTCATCCTACGAAGTACTTGGGAAACACTAATATTAACCAATGGGTCAAAAGGAAGGTCCCAGCAGATTCAACATCTGGATCCGTGGATGCATCCGATTCTTCAGTACATTGTTGTATTGTTCTATCATTGTATCGTCGTATTTGTTCGGCAAGAGCGGATCCGAGGAAGCGGCACAGTTGTTGTTGATGCCATTGATCTCATCAAATACCTCAAGTGCTGTCTCTCTGGCCTGTATCCTTTAGTGTAGGCGCTGGCACTCCGCGATGCTCGCGCAACTTGAAGCCCACAAGTTCACAACTGTGTGATCGATGCTGCCATTTTGGGCCCGTCACATTTAGCCCGCTTAGTTCAAAGTATTTCCAAGGCACAATCCAGACCATCGCCGACTATCGTGATAAAAAAAAAAAAAAAAAAAAAAAAAGACGCGATGGGAAAACATGCCAGCTGCCCAATAGATGGCCAAAATCCCAGTGTGATGGTCTCAGAAAGACAAAAAAGAACCCGGACATCTTCTCCCCCTCCCTGCCTCCAGTTTTTTTCTCTTTCTTTTCTGCACCGCGCGTCTGTCCCCCTCCCCTGTCCCCCTGTCTCCTTCGTCCTATAGGCTGGGATCAGGCCTGTCCGCTGTGGTGCCGTGGCCGAATTCTTTCCCCCGGCGGCTAACCTGCAGTGTGACTCGCCACTTGATTGGTTCGACAATGTGCCTGCACCAACACTTCCCATCGTCCCCAGTCTCTCCGACTCTTCTCTCTGACAGTCCGACTCTCTTTTGGAGAAGAACGCTGCATGAGCGCTGGGCACCTTGCACAGAACATCATCTCACATTCGCCAACGACCTCCCACCCCTCTCTTTACCCTCTTCTTCACCCCACCCCTCCCCTTCTTCACTTCCCGCCTCGCAGTTTCTTGTTATGCATCTCGAGCCAACTACTTGCCCCCTTCCCCGCCTGTGAGAGGCCAGAGACGAGGATGGGTTACCTTGGAGAGACCAACCCTGGCGGGCGGACCCCAACCACAGTCGACCAGAGACGGTGAACCTGTAACAAGTAAACAGCCAGCAATCGGGGTCCGGCCCTGAGCGCTTAAGCGGGGTGTGAAAGGGTGGGGTGGCTCTTTGGAAAATGCTCGATGAGAGAGGGAAAAAAAAGTGAGAGAGCGCCATGGCTGACGGCGAGGGTGTCTGGTTCTGGTCCAGCGGTATATCTCTTTTCACCATCCCAATTCTCCTCGACTCCTAGTATTTCTCCCGTCTCATTTGGCCTATGCGATCTTGAAGATTTTATTGAACCTTTTGTCCTTGGTTTTATTTATACGAAAAACCGAATGTTGAAACGTGAAGGTCACTTTGTTATCTCGTCGATGTTGAAGGCCATGATTTACTAGCGATCGACTCTATACAAGAGCCCACCCCATCAGATTACTCTCCCGCCCCCGATCCCGAGTCATTGCTAGTCCCATTCAACTTTTTCTCGTTCCGCAGGGCATCCAAACAAAGCAGATTCCTTGAGAGAAGAGATTGAGAACAGAAAAAGAAAAGACAGAAAAAACAACCAGCGATCGAAGTTCAGCGGCCCTGGCTTGCCCAGAGGCGATTTCACCGCTAACACGATGCCTTCGTCGACAACACCTCCCCCAGGAGGATTCTCCCTCTTCCCCAATACGACTTCTTCCCCTCCCCGACGAACAACTCCTCGTCCTACGGCGGGCACTAGTCCCATCGATGGCCCTTCACGACCCGTCGTCGTCCCCGGCCCTTACGCCAATGTCGGTCCCAGTCCCACCCCGCCTCCGAGGCAAGCGAGCCAGACTCCCCAGAGCAGAGTTGCCTCACCCGTGAACCGCCCCGTTGGCCCTCCGCAAGTCCCCAACAGGATAGAGAGTGCTTCGCCACCTGTGCAGCAGCCGCGACAGCTTGCGGATTCCCCTCCGCGCTCCGGAACTGCCTTTTCCCAGGCTCAGACTTTGGTCCGCAGCGCCAGCACCGTATCGCGAAGCTCTATCGCGAAGCGCCCGTTGGATGATAAGCCGGATTCTCCTGATGAGCCTGCTCTCAGGTCCATTTTCCCGCGATATAACCCAGAAGTGCCATTGAACCAGCAAGACTACTTTCCTACCCAGAGGAGCCCCACCCACATTCCCATGGCTGTCATTAGTAGGCCGATGTACTCTCCTGAACCTGTCACCCCTCTTAGTCCGCCACCGCCGATAGATGCGGTTATGGGATCTCCCCGGCCTGGGCAAGCCTCACAGTGGCATCCTACTAGTCATCACCAACCCAGTGGTCCTCCCCCCCTCCCGGACGTATCAACGACCGAGGACTTAAAGTCGTTATGGAAAGTAGCCAACGGCTGGAAGGCATCTCAATCCGAAGGGCAGGTGTACTGCCTCAAGATGACGATAGACAAAGATGCGCCGATTTACACGCTTTCATCCGCCACTCAACCATTCTACTACTTCCGGGTCAACCCTACGTCCGCGTCCGCCCTCGTGACGCTGTCGAGGCACGACCCAGCCAAGTCCTGCCGAGGTCCACCATCTCCTACCTCGAACACGAAAGCCGGAGGCACACGAAGCAGCCGACTCAGTCTACCTCTCAGCCCCAAATTCGCCGATAAGCACTGGCAGGAGGTCCTCAGCACCGGTCTCGAGGAGAGCGCCCGGAGACACCGCCCCAACGACGGTCTCGTGGCGCATCTCGCTCCGACGCAGGCCGTCAAGATCATGGCCGAGAAGCCCGAAGACGAAAGTGCGGCGTACTTAGCCGAGATGGAATGTGCGCGGCTCGTGTGGGATGACGATTCCTCGAGTCACTATCTCGCTCACCCGGCCCTCGCCACGCCATTTTGCGTGACGGTTGAGCGGTATGCCGCGTGGAGCAGGGTAGAATATACTCTTGAGCATCACGAGTCGCCGAACCATCTCGCAAGGTTAACCCGTGACGGCACCGGTGTCGGGTATCTCGAAGTAGACACGGCCCTCGCCTCCAAGATTGAGAGCTACTTCATCCTCGACGTTGCCGTCGCCGCTCTCCTCATCGTCGCGGCTTCAGACACCAGAGTTACCGCCGTCGAGGCATTCGAGCCGCCTCCCACGCCTCCTGAGATGGCTCATCTACCGGCACCCAGCCTCGACCGCCTCAGCTTTGCAGCCGGTGGAAGGAATAAGAAGCTTTCTAAGAAGACGCCGACGCACGCGTTTGAGATTTACGATGTCGAGAGCCAGGAGTCCTTTAGTGCGAAGAAGAGGAAGAACAAGAAGGCTAAGCGCGAGGGTCCTAGGATGAGGGATAGCATGCCGTGGCCTGCGAGGGTGATCGTGACGGTGGGTCTCGCGTTTGGGAAGTGTGTCATTTGGGTGATTACGGGGGTGTTGAAGGTGTTGTTGTGGTTTGTGGTTGGGCTGCTGAAGTGTACAGGCCTAATTGGGACGACGAAGGGATGAAACGGGGGAATTTTCATGGCGCTCTTCTTTTTGGATGTTCATCAGGTGAATTGGGCTTATAATGAATGGAGTTCATTTTGCTCACTTTTAATGGCAAGCTTTGTTTTTTTTTTTTTTTTTTTTTTTTTTTTTTTTTGGAGTTGATGGGCAAGTGTTTCTCTCGAGGCTGGCTCCCTTCGGCCCTGGATAGGAAGAATGAGGAGCTTGAGCAAGGATAATGAATGACTGGCAGCATATCATTTCTCTATTCTTTCTTTTCTTTATTAGTATATATCTAGAACGGTCTCCTCGTATTTACAATTCATGGTATTCGATCTGGAAAACACAGGAAACTTGTTTGGGGTATCGTAAAACACGTCTTTTATGAGAGAATCTACCTAGTCGTCAAGTTGTCCTCCCCCCTGTCCCGGAGGCAGGCGAGATCAAACGTCGTAAATATCGGGAATAGTGAAAAGGCCATTGCTATAATTCTGACCAACCCTTACTTCTTCCGCTTGCGGACGACAAGCTTCTTCCCTTTCCTCGTATGTCCTCCCGACGTCGCAGTCTTCGCCATCTTCGCCTGCTGTATCTCGAGATGATTCTCCGCACGCCTCAAAACCCTAAGCTTCTTCTCCGCCATAGCCAACTTTCTCTCCAGTTTTTCCAGCTCGCTCTCGTCCTTCGCCTCAATCTCCCCACCATCCTCCTCGTCATCGAAATCCTCGCCCTCATCCTCTCCATCCTCATCGTCCCTCTCGTTCTTCCTCGCGTCATCTCCCCCACCGTTCAAAATCTCCTCCCTCTCTTCCACCCCCTCCACAAAAACAATCTTCCTCCCCCCCCCCCCCCCCCCCCCCCCCCGCCATAACCACCCTCCTCCTCAACTCCTCCACCTCCTTCCTCACCACATTCGCCACGGTCCTCACGTACGCCACGTCCTGCGTCTTCAGCAACCGCACCACGTCCACATCCAACGCCTTATTCCCCCTGTCTCCTTCTACTTTGCCCGTGAACCCTTTGCCGCGTACCAGCGCCGATCCGGGGCCCTTTCGGGAGTGCATGCCGAAGTAGAATTCATCTTCGTTGCGGTCGGCTGCTTTTTGGCGGAGGTTTTTGATGTGGGCTTTTTTCTTGTTGTAGTCTTGCGCTCGGAGGGAGTAGTCCTGTTAATTCAAATTCGGTGTTAAGCGTTCGGTTTCTTTTTATTTGGGGGAGGCTTCTGAAGAAGAAAGGAAGGGGACGACTGACCTTGTGCTTTTCGAGGAGGCCGAGATGGCGGCGTTCGTGGGGTTGGGCTCGTTCACGGTGGGGACGCCGTTGGATGGCGTTGCGCATTGAGGCGGACATTGTTCCGGAAAGGGTGACAGGTACTCTTTGGATCCTTTCTTTATTCGTGAGGATTCAATGTGTTTGGAGGAGAATAATCCCGGCGTAGTCGGTTTCGAAGAGAGGATTTGAAGGCTGTGAAGCGCAGAATTCGGAGTTGGAAGTTGCTTTGAAAATTTAGGCGGTCAGAAGATTTGGAGTTTTCTGCCGGTGGTGTCCGTCCAAAATATGCCCCGCTGGCTTGTGCTTGTTCGACCTCAAATCCAGAACCTGGAATCGGAATATTCCGAGAAACGAAGTTTATGCCCCCTCCAGCAGGTTGAAGCTTAATTCCTAGCTGACGCGTATACCTAACGTAGCTTATTCTCTTGTCGACGTGGAAAGGATTGTTGTTTTAAACTTACTTCCGACGACGTTGATGAGAAGTTAGGAAAAACATCAACGATACTAACGAAAAAGAAAGAAACAGTCGAGTCCAGATTCGAACCACCATCCTCTCTAAACTAGCTCCTTCTAATCCCACACTAACTTAGAATATCGCCAAGTACCTCATGAGATCTCAGAGAAAATCCCCAGGCACCCTCACAGTCTGTGGCCGTCAATTCACCGGCCACCAAAAAAGAAAAGGGTCCTCCCCATTTGGACCAAGATTCTTTCCGTCTCCGACATGGTTTGACCTGGACGGTTTCTACGCCGCCGCCTCTCCAACGTCGCCGTTTTGGAATGGGGAGCCACTGAATGACCAAGGCATCCGTGTCGTCAATGTTAGAAACCAACCGGCGCTCGTAATTTTTACAATAAGACTATCTTGGGCTTCTTCGATCTTCTGTTTTGGAAACGGTAAGCATTGGGATCCTGAATCCACCTCTGCAGTCGGGTATTCAGGTCCCCCCCAATTATAAGAGCGGCGTACTCTTAGAATTCAACCTTCGCCACTATCTTCCCCATCGCCGAAGTCGTACCAACGGGCAGATGCGGGGGACAAGGATTGTTGGTGCCTTCATTGTTCAAATTCGTGCCATGATGACACAAGCGGCAGACTGCATCCTTCCCCATTCCCGAACAACGAAACATCGGCCGGGCTCGGGAACCGCTCCGATACGCTCAATGGTCAAGAACTTCCCAGCTCATTGTCGGCTCATATCGACACGACAAAGCCCCATTGAATGTGATTAAGATTATATATATTTAAGTTGGGAACATCCCAACACAACTGTCCTTAGCATTTTCCCAGGTCCCACTCAAAAAGTTCACAAAAATATTAGACACTGGAATCAGATAGTTCTCTCCAATGCAAACTGCCCCAAAACATAACAACACCCTTCAACACAGTCCTCTTGTGCTGCCAATATATCCGGCAAGCAAGGGCGTTCTTTTTGAGGAACTGGAAAACAAAACAATGAAAAAGCGCAGACGCCGGAGCCAAAACTGGCATGATTCATCTTACTCTCCGTGTTTAAACCCCATCTTCTCCCTTCTCTTTCTCCCCATATCCTTCCTTACGCTAGCTTACAGAAGAGCAAAGCCGGCGAAGAATCCACCAAGCACAACAGCAAGACCATATTGACGACCCAGCTCAATACCGCCAAAGGACGCAGCAGCTCCCTGCTGGTCACCGCCGAGGTTGGTGATGATCTCGTCGTCGGCGGACTTGGTGGCAGAGGCGCTGGCAGAAGTCTCGGTCGCGGTCTTGTTCGGGGGCGCAGGGTCCTGGGCACCGCAGGGGTTGTCCTCTCGGCAGGCGCGGGAGCACTCGTTGTTCTGGCCGCAGGCGGTGACGCACTGGTTTCCGTACTCGGTGCAGGTGAAGTAGGGGAGGGTGAGAGTGTATTCGGAGATGTTGGGCTGTTGGCCGTTACCGCAGATGCAGCCGTAGGTTAGTTGCTCCTAGAGGGGGTGGGTTAGCTCGTGTTTCACATGCCAGAGAGTTGCTTTATAGAAGGGGGGAAGGGGGGTAGTTATTTAACGGCACATACAGGATCGCAGTCGTTGACGATGGCCGGCCTGGTATCGATCTGTTGGCAGATGATGGGGCAAGTACGCTTCTCATCGGCACACCATGCCTCTGGTAGACAGAATTCACGTTAGCGTCTCAGCAACGGCTAGGCTTCTTGGTAGCGTAGCAACCTACTTCTCGTCGAGAGAGGGACACTGTCGGGTTGGATCACGTAGTCGGCACGGGCAACGGCGACGAAGGCGGCGGCAACGGCCAGGGTGGTAGACTTGAAGGAAGGCATCTTCGTAATGTTGTGTGTGTAATTACTCGGGGACTCGACAGATCAAGGGGTTCGTAAAAGATTAGGGCCGGGTCTATTGAGTTTATCTATTAGCATGTGTCGAGGGTAGATATGCATGAGCTTAGCTCGACAGCAAGGAATCGCCACAAAGGGGGCCGAATGGAATCACGAGGGTACGAGCCGAAGTTGCCATCAACGTTAACAGCTAGCAAAGGAGGTGTCATGAACGTACGGTAAGGGGGAGAAAAATCTCTCGTATCCGGAGGCAACGCGGTGGGTCGAGAGAAAAACGAGCGAAAGGGCACAAAGCGAAGGACAACGAACAGAACAGAAGAACGAAAAGCTTCGGTACAAGCACAGATATGTTTCCTTAAAACGAGAGCAGGAAACTTTTTTCAAGAACGAATGACGATGAAGAGGATTAAAGAGGGGAGGTAGCAGATTAAGACAATGGCACACACAGGAAAACGGAGAGAGGGAAAAAGGAAAAAGGAAGAACCGGGAAAGTGACGAAGCAGTGGACTTGGAAAGCAACATCAACTGAGACAAGCCCAGAACCCCGGATTCTGCAATTTTAACATCAGCAAAATAGGGAGGTCCGGGGGTTCTTTGGTCCTGCAGGAGACATCAGTCATGTAATTGCTTGTCCACTCACGATATTGGTCCGGCGATTTTGGGTGGTGGTACCCCTAATTCCTGAGAGGCCAGGTACCTTCGGGGTACAATCAGCAGACCATACCTTCGTACAGCGGCAGCTTCTGGGAGCTGGCTGCAGAATCAAATCCCTGCTCATGGCTCGTGGTGACTTGTCGTAACAGGCCAGATCCAAGCTCGTACCTGAAGTTAGCGGGTTTTGCACGGAGCTAGCACAGAGATAGTGCGAGGCAGCTCAAGCCAGGCCAGCCACCACAGCCTTGGTCACCAGAGGAAGAGGAGATCAATTTGATCATGACAATGGATCGGAACGGACTTGGAACTGACGCCACGGGCCGCGAGATTCATTTCACACTGCAGTCGACTTCATGTGTGTTGTCTAATATTAGTCCATAAGTGCCTTTAGGATTCTGGCATATGCATTTCAGCTTCGCGTTCTCTGCCGCCACTTGGGTACCGATCTTATTGCAGTGATGTACTTGCGTACTTTAGAGCTGGTTAGTAAACTTCAATTCTGTCAACGTTCCATCGTCCGGGCAGGAGATAGCGAGGTACACTACTTTGTACTTTGTAGTATCGATCATTGGTGGACGTGGTTTCTGCACAATGTTCGTACTCAGTATGCACCAGTCTCAATACCACATTTTGATGCCGTTATATCCTGGGACAGAATTGGGGGCTCACAACCTCTTCTTCGGGCGCTCCTTGTATCTTTGCAGTCTTCTGAGTCAACAGTACGTAGACACACAGGCATTTGACCGAACAGAAGGTTATTGTTCCTTCAATTATTGATCAACGATGCAATGCTCTTACTTCCCTCCGACGCTCGACGCTCGGGCTACACAGCAAGCCGGACTACCTCGGCACACCCCGAATACTGTGTCCTACTGACCTGCGGTCATTGCTCAAGCAGACATGAACGATTTTTCCATTTTGAACCCTTGGGAAGATCCAAACTACCTCGTACTTGGCAGCAACGAGCGGGAGAACAGTTGAAGGGCATGAAGGGAACTACCAAGTAAGTCTGAATTTAGGCCCTTCAGGCCAAGACTTCAACGGTCGAAGGTGCATCCACCGCAACCATATCTCATCCATACATATGCACCTGCACTAGTGTAGCGCACACGGCGACTCCACATCGCCAACCACCAGGTCATGAGTGCAAACGATTAAGATGCAGTGCTAAATTGAGGCAAATTTGCTTGACAGGTTGGTGGCTACTCTTTAGAATTGGCCCAACACGAAGTACATAGTGTACTCCGTAGTGTGCTCCACCCTCTTGAAAAATCCCATCTGTGGATGATCAGACCATTCTTCTGTGCTGGTACAGACAAAATAGTGAATGAGATGGGAGATTTCCCAACATCGCGCGATGAGCAACGTAAAAGAAAGAAAGAAAAAAAAAAATGTTGATAAAATGGCCTCGTCAGGCAACTGATGTCTTGGAGTGCTTTTCTGTTTGATGCTCATCGGAGGCGGACGCGTTATCACACCGGAATGTCTCTCAACCAGATGACAAGACATGCGAAATAATAGTGAACCCGTTTTCGCGTCCTCGAGTTGTTCCTGTCCGTGGCCATCATCAGCGGAGCCCGACTAGGCTGTCGATCAATGTTTCTTTCTCCGGCTCTTCCACGTTGTCCCCGTTTGCAGCAGTCAATGGATCAAGGTTTGTATCCGCTTCACGTTCCCCTTGGGTTCCATTGACCCAGCATTGATACGACGGGACACACACACATTCTTGCTCTCGCTACCTATGTAGTAGCCTACAAAGTCGTAGTATCTCGGGTCTTGCTAACAACAATGGTCGCCAGAAGCCTAATACGAGTTGTTACTTTCGACATTGTAGTATTATTGATTGCTCAAAAACCTCTCCTCACCACCCTCACGATTCGTATTTTTCTCTCCTCCCAATATCGAGCAGTCTGCAGATGACTGCTCGCGCAGCAGTTAATGCACCTTGATATATCAACCCAGCCGAACAAGCACAAAATTCTCCGCTGATTGGCGATGCCAAGAATGAGGGTCCCGACGTCAAGTCCTGTGCATCCGGCCGAAATCAACTACCAAGTAATAAGTTTACGAAGTAAAAAGCATCATGACTTTCTTCTTACTTTTTGGGCCGTCTTGTCCATTGGAAGGAAGAGGACCCTAAAACCCCCAAATGAGAATCCAAGTCCTGATAAACAGGGACGATGAAACGATCAAATGTGTGCATCCCGGCCGTCCCTGCGAAGCAACACCCCACCACCAAGGAAGAGATTCTCGTGTTCGCTGATCGGCAATGGTTCCCTGTAGATCCCCAAGACACTACCCAATCGCCACAAGCCTGGCTCTGTCCCGAACACTTGATGTCCTGTTCATGTTGCCGCTATCCGGTGCCACCGCGTCTTTGCAGGCTTTCCCCAACGACGCTCCGAAGCCCCACGCGGCCCACTCTTAAAAACGGTCGACCGCGTACTTCGTAAGCTTGTTCGAGATGACGATGAAGATCAGAAAGAAGCCTTACACTTTTACTCCGTAGTTGCCCTCATCAACGTCAGTGTCGCTGATGGTAAAGGGGATAAACCACGATCGAGCGATATCTTGTCTTGCTCACAATTCTTTCCATGGTTCGCCAGTACCCTGCAAAATCGTGTCATGGCTCAGGCGACGCTTCGTCCTCAGCATTCCCGTTTATTATTACTTTTTTTTTTTCCCCTTTTTTATACTGAGGTAGAGCACATGCTGAATGGTGTTCTAGAATCGCGTCGAGAATGGAGCGTTCCTTCCGCTAGGTCCAAACCCAGTATTCCTGTCTGGCAAGGAAGGAGCAGTCTCGACCGAACACTGAAGGAAGTAGAGCAGGGCATCAATTGATCACATGCCTTGTCTAGGCATACACTACTACACCTGAGAATCAAGGAAGTCGATATAAGCCCTCGTCTTTTACATTGAAGAGTCACATTCTTCACTTACACCCAGCCATCTGCACAGATTATTATATTAACGTTATGGCTGACTTAGGAAAGATGCAGGTATCGGTATCTAACAGGAAGGAGAAACAGCCCGTCATCCTCCATCATTCTCCCCCAAAAGCTCACAGATGCAGTGCTCCCAACGTGATAGCAAAGAGAACAACCGCCAACCAAGGCTGAGGAGAAAACAAAGCCGCCGACCCGTACGGAGCCGTCTGGCCTTGGCACGAGTAGGAGTTGGTGATTTTCCCTTTCTTGGTACGCACCTCATCGAAAACCGCGCAGTTAAACGCCGGATTCGTCGACATGACCTCCACAGACTCTATTCTAGGCCCTCTGCTATTTTGAAACCATCTGTTGAGGAGACGATCGCTGTGATAGAGGAAAAATAATTAGCAACAGTCCTCTTTTTTCTTTCTTTTTCAACACGACGAATGGAGGGAAATCTCCACGCTTTTCGAGAAAAGAAGTGAAACTCACAAGAAGTCGCCGTCGATATCGGCAGAAATGTTAATCATCCTCATGCTCTCGTACGGCCAAGACCATTGGTCTTCTCTCTCGTCTCTGTCATCACTTTGCTCGCATTTCTCTCTCAGTCCGGAAAGCGGGTCAGGACCAGAAGATATCGTGCTGAGCTTGAGCTGCGGATTGTGGGTGATGATGACGTCCGTTAAAACTCTCGGGAAGCCCCTCCGCGTCGGCCACAGCGATTTGAGCTGCGGATTGTTTTGAACCGTGAGGCTCTTCAACCCAGAGGCCTCGAAGCGCAAATGCTCCATCGGATTGCTCGTGATGATGAGCTCGCCCACGGTTGGCCAGTCGCATGGCTGTATCGCGCGAACCCCCGTTACGTTGAGGAAGTTGATCTCGCCCCGAGGATACCATTTCATGCTTCCGTTCATGTACATGGTGAGGTTTCCATTCCCTTCAATAACAATCTCGTTGGCTTTGACTACGTCGAGCGACATCTCGTGGAGGTTCGGAAGATTCGAGAGCAAAGCTTCGTTTATCACCGAGCCTTGGAAAATTCTGCCGAGGCTGCGAAACCCGGAGTCGGTGATCCTCACCGCCGCATCCCCATTCGTTAATATGTTTCCTGTGCCAGCATTGATGGGGAAAGTCTCGAACTTCTCAGCCCGTTGGATCGTGAAATCGCCCCCTATCTCAACGAGCGCTCCAAAGTCTGCTTCCACTAGTTCAGGCACGCCCATGATGTAAACCCCACCCACTACTTTCTCTAACTTGGGGAATTTTATGGACCGGAGCTGGTTCATATAGGTAGCGGAAAACTCGGCCCCTACTAAGGTGAGGGATGGGGAGGATATGCTGGTGAGCCTGCTGCTGCCACCACTCAAGGTCCTGAACCGACCGCCGACGGCGTTCAGCCCGTCGATTATTATGTCGCCCTCCGCATTGTCTGATATATAGACGGTGCCATGGAAGTAAGAGCATGAGGAAAGGCTGTTGGCGTCCTCTTGTGTCTTAACCACGAATTCCTTTGCGTTACAGTCGATCTGGGCCTGTGCGAGGTGAACTGCTTGTGTCAGGAAGGCAACGGGTAAGAGCATCGATGTGGCGACCTGCCGGAGGGAAGCTATATAGTTTGACTTTGCCATGGCAATGCGTTTCCTATTGCCGATTTCTCGATTCTGAGAGCATCTAAAGGCAAGGCTATTTCAAAATAACCTCCTTCCCAGGCACCATCGCCTTGGTTATATATCTAAGGATCATCGACCCATTTGTCTGGAACCAACACCAACACCAGCATCGAACCAACGCACATTAACCCGCCTCCTCCCCATTCGCCGAGAATATCCCCAAGGGTCATTTAAAGATCTGCGGCACGGCAGCCTCTCGGTTGCGGGTGAAGTGTGAAATTGCACGAGGACCTCAAAATAAGGAAAAAAGGCTTTGGCCTACCTCATTTGACTGGCTACGTGCCCGTTTTAGGGACGAAAGCATCAGGTCTCGACAAAATAATATGTTGGGCCTCAAGTGGAAGATGTTCGAGGTCCATGACACCTTTCCGAAGCGTATCCCATGTTACGCCTTGTTTTTCTTAATATGCTTCGCTTGTAAATGGACTCTGTCTCTACTACCCGCACAAGTCCTGTAAAGCAAAAACTAGCCAGCGATTGGGAGCAGAGGGAGAGCCGTTCATCCATACTTTGCATTTCACAAGAGTCAGATCAGCTTGGCGCGTCTAGGAGTGGAGGACAATGATCCGGCTTGGCACTCTATCCTTCACTTTGTACAACCCGAGATGCTGCCAGGGTCGAGGAAGTCGCATGAAAAAAAGATAATTACTTTAAAAGAAAAAGTGTAAAGGGGATATCATTCAATCATTCTTAGTTACAAAGTATGCTCTCCTATTCCCTCGCCGGCTTTCCCATCGCGTCTTATTCCCAGCAATCTTTAACGGGATGAAAGACGGCGCATAAACATTTCCTTTCCATCCAGATATTCAAAGGATGCTTGGGCGGTGTTGAACAACCCAAGCAATCCATCAAGAAAAACAACTTGAACACTCAGCCTATTATAGTCTCTCTCAAAAACCACCCTTACAAAACCAATGGGTTAATCTCAGACCCAACCATCCCCTCCATCTCAGGCGTAGGCGGCGGCAAATTGCCTACCTTCGTGCAAAGCCAGCAAGACGCATACATATTAACCCTATCAATGCAAGCCGTCTCGACGCCCCGCTCACCAACCCTCTTAGGCGAGAATCCGTAGGCCTCGAACTCCTTGACGTACCAAGGGGTGAGGGCCGAGGAGCGCAGAAGAACGCGACCACCCATAGCGAGGGCGCGGTTGAGGCGAGAGATCTGGCGCACGGCGGCTCCCGGGTCGGAGGGGTCGAACCAGTCCATGCTGTCCATGACGACGGCGATGGTGAGCGTGCCGGGGGTGATGCGGGCGATGACCTCATCGAGCTCGTCTGTGTGGATGCGGAGGCCGTCGAGGGCGCCGGGTTGGGAGAGGCGCGCGTGGGTCTGGCGGTGGAGGTAGTCTGGGTGGCATCGGGGCGAGAACTTGCCCGCAAGGCAGACGTAGTAGTACGGGTTGTCGCCTGCGATGTGAGTCTCCTCGGCAACGGGGTCGAGGGTGTCGACCATGTAGTTCCAGATGGCGTGGGAGCGCTTGTTCTTGGAGGTGGGGTTGGGGCCCTTGACGGAGTCGCTCTCGGCGTGATCCTGCTCAATCATGGCCAGCTGGTTCTTGGGCACGCCCAGCGCAGCCCAGAGGAAGCTTTCCTGGCTGACGACCAGGTTGCAGATGAGACGGGAGAGAAGAGCGGGACGGATGCGGTTACGCCAGGTCTCGCGCTGCTCGTTGAGCGTTTTGGCCGAGAGGATCGAGTCGACGGCATTGCGGCAGCCGAAGATACGGGAAACCCAGCGCACGACGCGGATGGCATGACGAGAGCCGCCAGTGTCGTAGAGGCCGTGAGTGTGCTTAGTGAAAACATCGACGTTGCTGAGCCAGTACTGGAAAGCGCGGCTGGAGAGGTGGGGGGAAAGCTTAGTCAGGAGGAGCTCACGGAAGTTGACGTGCTTGCCTTCGCCAAAGATCTTCCAGAAGTCCTCGTACGGCAGGGCGGTGTAAGAGGCGACCTTGAGCTCGAGGAGATGGTTCTGCGTGGGGTTGAGGTCGACGGCGTGGATACGCGCGGGACCCTGGCGGGCGTAGGAGAGAATGTTGTCGCCGGCGCTAGTGATAGCGAGGATGACGTCCTTGGGGCCAATCTTGAGAATGCGTTCGTCAACGCGGGCGTCTTCCCAGGTGAAGGCGTAGATGTATTCGTCATTGAACTGAGTGTGTTTCTTGAGTTGATCATCATAGTAGATCCTCCAGTGGTGGTTCTGGTAGAAGAAGGCCGGGAGGGGAAGGTTGGCAGAGAGGTTCTGCACAGCGGTGAGGAATGCCTTGGAACGGATCTCGGGAGCCGAGCGCTCAACGGCACGCGCAAGGGCATCTCCGCCCTTGTTTGCGGGTACCAGGCGAGGCGACTCGGTCACGAGGGCGTCAATCCTCTCAATGATTTCATGGGGCAAGCTCGAAGAGGAGAAGGGAGCTTTATGCACACCGAGCCAGACGTAGTAGGGGATACGACCGAGGGACTTATTGCGGCCATTGATGGTCAGCAAGGTGCCGAACTTGTACTCGAGGTAGTCGCGACGACCAGGCTCGAGGCTGACACGGTCAATGTCGAACCAAGCTCGCCAGAAGCTGCGGGTGAAGAAGTTGACATGGCGGTTCATGATACCACCGGTGAAGTTGCGGAAGGAGAAGTCAGCCTTGGACTGGGTGTAGAAATCGACAACGCCAAAGACTCCGCGAGGGGAGAGAAGGCAAGAAAGGGAGTCGATAACGGAGTGGTAGTCGGGCTACGCCCAAAGAGCTTTTGTTAGACTAAAAATATACACATAGGGAGGGGGGAAGGGGGGGGGAATGAAACCCACAATCATGGAAAGACTGTACGACAGGGTTACGAGATCAGCACCGCCATGCTCCGGCCTCTTGGGCTCGAAGTAGCTGTAACTGGGGGACCTCATAGGAGTGCGGTCGCCCGAGAGATCATTCTCATAATCCTCGAGGCGGAACTTCCTAGCGTCCTCACAAATAACCTTGACGTTCTTCCAGCCGAGCCTTTCGAAGCGTTTCCTCGCGACTTCGCAGAGAGAGGGAGAGAAATCGACGATGTAGACGCTCGAGAAGAACTCGGGGACGTTGACGAAGCAAGACATGGCCTCAATGTTGTAGCCCGTGCCACCACCAACCTAGAAATATACCCCGTGTAAGTCCAATGTGCTCCAAAAACAAAAATTGAGGGCGCTCAAAAGCGTAGCCTGGGTTTGGTGGAAAAGGTAGGTCCATAATCATACGTCAACCCAGATTCTGCGCTTCTGTTTCTTGTGGCCCTCAGCCAGGGCAGCTTCGGCTCTCGCCTTGAGCTGCGCGGCAACGAGCGCGAGCATATCCTCGCGGCCCTGAAGCAAGACGCCGCGGGTCGCGTCGTAGGCACCGGCCTGCTTCTTGTAGAAGCTCTCGAGGGCATCCTGCTGGTTGCCCTTGGAGTCGCCGGTGTGGGGCTTGATGAAGCACGAGTAGAAGAAGAGGAAGAAGGATTTCAACAGCCCCGGAGGCTGTTCGTCACCGCCGCCGGATCGGTTTGCGGGGGAGACGAGGGAATAGACGCAGATACTGCCGACCAATGCGGTGGCTACGCCAGCTAGAAGTAGTTTTGTGTCCATGTCCGGAGGCATTGTGTTACCACCAGGAAAAGCCATGGTACTCTCGCATCGCTTATCCTCGAAGGAGGAAGGTGTTGTTGACGCTCTTTCTGTAGATGTTGAATTTACTACAAGACCAAGAGGGAGGGGTGGATGAGAAAGAAAAGGGAAACAAAAAAGGAGAAGAGCCGCGTGAGACTACTTGACAGAGGCACGTTGGCCACCTTTATACGGCGTGAGAGAATAAAACAAGAGAGCCGAGGAATAAGACGGCATCTTCTACATTGCGAGCTGGCTGGCGCTAGGGTCAAGGATTTGGTCAAACGCCGGCCATTCATGCTGTCGCATGCACTCACCAAGGCACGAGAGAAGGCCCAACCTCCGCCCCTCAATGTGTAGATTATTAGATACCGCCAGACCAATCCGTCTTCGCCTGGCTGTAGTATCGGCGGCCGGAAGGTTTAGGCTTGGCCCCTGAGGAAAGAACCCAAAAAAAGAAAAAGCTCAAGGACAAAAGGACAAAAAAAATTGGCATTGACGCGCCTAGCGATCGCCCACCAAAGCTACAAGCTCACCTCCCCACAAAGACTTGCAGAGGAACGGCATTGCGCAAACAAGGATTTGTACAGGGAGGTGTGCTCGTGTGTATAAAGTTGGCAAGCTACCCCTCCATCTTCGGAGGCAAATTGAGAAAGTTGATAACCTCGTTACCCCTCCAGTGCTGACACGATGTGCAAAGGAGCTTCATCATAGGTTGAATTGGGCGAGCCCACGTTTTTTAAGCCATATCGTGGTGGTTTCGTTAGGCGAGAGCAAGGCCGACGGGTGGGAGTTGGATCGGGGTGTGGTCGGGGTGTGGTCGGGGGCCGGCGACGACCAATGAGTGGACCATGTGGGCAAGATGTGTGGTCGTACCGGACTGGACCCTGATTCGAAGATTGACCTGCAGCTTGCAGTTTGGCGGGAGATGTGAAATGGGAATGTGGGGGCGTCTGTTTTAGGGAAAGTGTAGCAAGGGATTCGAGGGAACAGGAGGGATCTGCCAAGAAACCTTGCCAGGGCGTACCGCAGATCTTGGCTTCTGGTGAACTGGGGGAGAGGAAAGATCTAGGCTCTAGACCCTTGGACTGCACAGAGACCCCGGCGAGCGATTCCGAAGACTCGAGAGAGTCAAACAACACGTCATTCGACATGCCAGGGTTTTGATAGGCCAGCCGCATCCGCTTCCTGCTCCCCATGAATTCCAAAGATGCCGACTTGTGACCGCATTGTCCTACCACTCTCGGGAACATTCGGCGTGTTCATTTCCCGGGATGGAGTGCAGACAAGCAGGCGCTGGAGGTTGGTCTTGAGATACTAAGGCTGCAAGCATGAAGTTAAATCCTATCAATAGAATGCAGAGACGTTGGAAACCTACCGAAGGACTCGGTGTCAAAAGAGCATCTAGACGCTCCGGCTTTCGAAAGCGAGAAACTCAGTGTTCTTCTCACAGTAGATGGGAGATGAGCCTCAGATAGCCCTCAAGTCACAACCGGGGGCGAGAAACCAGATTGACCTTCTACTCCCGGGCGAGAATGATAAACGCGAACGAGGAAGATGAAGTCAGTCCGAATTTATTTGCGTTGCTGCACGTGATACTGCGTGAAGTATCAAACGAGGAAAGAGCACCGTTGTGTCGCCCTTGCCGTATGAGGCCTTACAGAGTACGACAACAGCACCTTGCCCCCGGACAGCTCGAAGGAAATACAAGCTAGGGATACAGATCCCAACGGTCCCGACTGAAGGCATGAGTGCACACGTGCTCGGGTTCCTAGCTTGATGATGCGGGCTCGTCTTCTGCGGCAGATGCCTTGTCACTGTAGTTCGACAGGGGGTTCGCGGTTGATATATGAACATCTACCCGTCGGTCAGAGCCTGTCCAAGCAAGCCACCTTCTGGCACGCACATCGAATCCCTACCTTCGACGAACATGGATATGAGAAGAAGTCTCTTAGAAATACTACGAAGTATTTGATTCCTAACCCTTTTTGGAAAACTGAATCCGGGTATCTCGCTAGCCAGGCCGCAGAGAACAGAGGCCAAAGACCAGAGTATCATCTACACTCGCGGCACCGTTCTTCACAAGAAAACAAACCCTCCAAAAGACGACAAACAACAACATTCCCTAATCTTGCTTCCCTGTAAAACTCCGTGAAACTCCTGATGAAGCTTCCGGCCATCCTACATTAACTCCTGTTAGCTTTTCTCCGAACCGCGATGAAATGAATAGTCCATTAGATTACTTACCATCGATAGCATCTGTATCGAGCCCTCCAAGGTTCTCTTCCACTGTGTGTTCCTTTCGATCAATCGGAATGGTAGGGGTTCAGAACGTTCCGCGAAGGCCACAAACAAGCCAAATTGCCCAATGCGATCTACCAGGTCCGGCTCCGAGCGAAACCACAGTCGGCCAGATCGAGACGCAACTCCAGTGATTTTGTCTCTTCAAAAAATGAGATCCTCGTCCGGGTTTCGCAGGCGTTGTCGGAGAGCCACGAGGCAATCGACCAAACCATCAACAATACGCAGGATACCGTCGTGGAGGGTGCGCAGAGTGGGGATCACCAGCCTGTAGTGACTGGAAGCAATGAGGTCCATAATGCTGGTTGTGAAGTAGGGTTGGATTAGCTCAGAGAGAAGCACGCCAAGCGGTGTATTTATCAACAATACAGCAGCGGTCGACGAGGATGCGATATGCCTCTATGCTTTAACATATAAAACTCTAGGTTAACGAGTTCGTTTCTGCTTGCGCCGAGGAAACGGGAAACGAGGAAGTGGTTGGTAGGTAGTGGGAAGAAGAAAAAGAGGAAGAAATATCTCATTTGTTCTTAAGATATTGGAGTATAAAAAGACTTGAGGATCACTACGATGAATAGGGTGAATCATTATCGTGGTGCTGGCATGAGCGATGGCCCTCAAGCTGGTGCTGATTTAGAAGTTGTTGTTTTAAGGGCCAGCTCTTGCATCGTGACAAAGGATTTTCTTGCTGAATAGAAATTACAGTTACAAAATTCTAGAATATTTAATCTAGATATTGTTAACGTCTTGAGAGAAGAGTTCAAGCATTCAATGTCGTCGTTGGAGCGAGATAAGCTTCTCTCCATGTAAGCTGTTCTAAGCTGGAAAGGAAGAGAGCAGGCTCCTCATTGCATGTAAACAACTTTCTTCAATTATTGAAGAAAAATAGATGGCAAATATTTACTTCTGAAGAAGGGCAATAAGATACATATCAACAAAGAAGAAGAATGTCGCCAGGCCGGAGGCCCAAGTATCACTATGAAACCCCAGAGCAAGGAACCACAATGTCCTCGACTCAAACCTCTACAAAAATGCAAACCCCCTGTTGCCGCCACCGAGCTCACCGTCTCCCCAATACCAGCCACTCGGAAGAGCCTCAAATCCCATTCCTCTGACATCCAGACTTCTCGACAAGCTCGGCAGGGCACTGCACCTGCTGGAAGGTGACGGACGGGTTATCGGCGCCGCCGAACCAGTCGAATCGCCACTTGCAGCCGGCCTTGAGCTTCTCAGGGAAGCTGTCGCAGTCGGCACCGTTGCTAATGCCTCCGTAGCGCTCGCCCCAGCCGTTTGGCGGGGATCCCCACTGGTCGGTGCAGCCGTTGAAGATGCCGACACCACCGCCGGGCATCTAAATGAGAGAGTTTCCGCGTTAGTTGTATTGATCTTCGTTTTCGATTCTTGGGCAATCCTAGAATAAAAAAAAAAAAAGGAAAAGAAAGCGAGAGAGATAGAGAGAAAGAGAGAGAGAGTCCAGCCATCATAACCTACCGCAATATCAAAGTGATTCTGCCCCAAGTCCCCCCCAGTATTCGTCGCCTGCACAATCATCTTCTTCCCATTAACTGGCCCACTCGTAAACGTCAACTCATAGCAAGCACAGCACCAATCGTTCTCCGTCTGCCCGTTAATCCGCACGGCGGCCCACCCGTACGAGAGGTTATCGTCGACGGCCCAGGGGCTGTGGCTCGAGCACATGTAGGCGCTGCCGCCGGCGTCGCACCCGGACCGAGTCGACCCGCCGTCGTTGAGCGGGTTGTCGCTCCTGTCGCAGGTTCCCAGGGGCCCCTTGGCGAGGCTGCCCTTGCCGGGCCAGGCGCAGGAGGGCTTGCAGCAGTCCCAGTAGCGGGTTGTGGAGCCGGAGCCGCTGGCTTGGGCGGAGGCGGTGATGATGAGGGGCGCGAGGGCCGTGAGGGTAGTGAGGGTGACTTTCATTGTAGCTGGGGAAAGACGGGTGAATGGGGCGTGTAAGTGAGGCCGAGGCGAGGGGAGCGTGAGCGATTGGGAAATCCGGGCGGCTCTGTTGAACCTGTGCGATTACTCCCTGGATTTCTTACTTAGTTGGGGGTTTCGAGAAGCCCAGAGCCCGGATTTAAAGGCAAGACTGGGCAAAGTGTATAAAGAAGAAAGAAGAGTGAAGAGGAGAGAGCCAAGAGGAAGACGGTTGCCCAGAGGAAGTGCCTAGGGAAGGACACAAGGTAATATATTTCCATATTTGTATATCTCTCTCTATCGCCCTCACATCTTTCTTAAAGCCGATCCCGCGTACGTTGATGAATCGATGCATCTATCGCGTTAATATACAGCTCCCCGCCGTTGTCAGCTAATAATTGATCGTCTCTCCCCGGAGACGGTCCGGACGGGATCTTGGCTTCCCAAGGCTTGGGACCAAGAGAAGACGACAGGCGATGATCCGAAATAACAGGCCAATAATAAGAAGAGACATGGAATAGAAATTGGGAATCGTTCGGGAAAGGGAATGGGAAGAAATCAAAGGCGAAAGGCAGGCCCGATTTTCGCTTAATATCAAGGGCCTCATAACAAATACTAATCCCAGCCGAGAATCGTCAGCATATTAAGCCGCCCTCCTCAAATAGATTCATCGATCCATCCCGGCTTCCCCCACCATTCATAGAGACACCGATCAGGGTATATATGCATTGCAACCTTTAATTCCTTCCTTTGCCGGATGCGGAGGCGTCGAAATGCATGGTGCCTGTCCCCTGACATACTCGCGTGTTGGGATATCCCTGATGGTGTGTTCAAACGAGTTCCTATTCTCGAGGAATCCGGCCCGGAAATCGGATCTCGACGTCTTGGAACCGTCGCGGGAAAAGATGCTTTCAATTCAAACTCTGGCTCCCGTATAATATTGCAATATCTGTTCATGCCACACTCACTAATAGCATAGCGGGGATAAAGACCGCGCCAACCAGACAACAACACAATCCCCCTCTTCACCCCCTCTCTCCCCAATTTAATATACCTCGTTCCCCGGCAAGTCTATCTATTTTATGTCACCCCATGAAGATGCGTTCCCCGCATCTCTGGAGATGAAGAGGGAGAAGAAAAAAAAGGTTATGACCCGAGTATCTGCTCAATGTACTCCTGTGGATGGGGGACATGTTTTGTCACTAGGCGGGACACGGAGACATCAGCCTGCAGAGATGCCTTTTTCAGTCTCAATCACCAATGGCTCCTCGGCGTTTATGCCGCCAGGGGTTAACACATTGACGTATCTTCCCAGTATTCATCCCGTCGAGTGTCACGTACGCACACACGTAGTATGGGGCTCGGCTGTGCTTCCGAGAAAGGGTCTCTGCTCTAGTCAAGCCATTGCCGGGGGACGACGTCAGCTCCTGACTTACATAGAACCGTCTCAGCACCATCTTAGTTAGCAGGACCTCAATGTAGCTTCGGCGTGTTATAGAAGAAATATTGAAGATGACGAGAGGAAGAATCAAGGGTTTGTTTGTAGGATCACTAGACAAGGGACAATTCACCAATGTATATCTTTTCAAGGAAAACCAAACATTTGCATTCTTTATTAATTTTTTTTTCTAAATTATTTCTGGGGCCAAGGTATTGACTGGCCGATGGTACGCCGGATTGAGTGAGAGGATGCCCGGGAAATCCAGGCCTCTCCTCACGCTCTCCATGGGAATGTGGGACTGTAACCTTGATGGCCAGATATGACGAGATCGTAGCCCGCAGAGCAAGACCGTTTCACCTCCTCCGCCCCCAATTGAAGACTACCGCGACCGACTGCCCTTCTGGTTCTCACTGCTACCACCAACGTCGCTCCTCACTCTCCTCCTCCGCTTCCTCTTCGGGCTCCTCTTCCTCTTCCTCTTCCTCTTCCGCTTCCGCCTCCTCTTCCTCATCCTCTTTTTGTTCCTCCTCGTCCTCTATTTCCTCAGCTTCTGCTTCAACCTCCTCGTCCTCGACTTCCTCTTCTTCTTCTTCTTCTTCCTCCTCTGCTTCTTCGATTACCTCCTCCTCTGGTCCTGCCTCTTCCGCCTCTACTTCTTCACCAACTCCCTCCCCGTCCTCCTCGGTATCGCGTTCCTCTCCACCATCGTCTTCAAGCTCCACGTCTTCAGCGTCTGGCCCGGGCTCTCCTAAATCGCCCACTTCCCTACTGTCAAACTGGTCAATGGTTTCGTCGGGTTCGATGCCTTGTTCAGTCTCACTTCCCAGGCCCACATCGCTGCCTGGGGAAAACCCCTACCACCCCCTGCCGTGATGCTGCCGGTGGCCGTGGTTGTCATCGTCATCGGAATCATTGCTTCGGCTGTGATGTTGCCGGCGGTGTCCGTGGCGCTCATTGTCATCGGAATCGTCGTCTCGGCCACGATAACCTCCTCCGCCCTCACGCCGCCCACCGTAAGATTCCTGTTCGTAGCCCCCTCTCTGGTAGCCGCCCCCGCCATAGCCGCCCTCTTGACGTCCGCCGTAGCCTCCTTCCTGGCGTCCACCATACGAGTCACCACCATACGAATCACCACCATACGAGTCACCACCATACGACTGCTCCTGACGACGTCCATAGCCGCCTCCGCGGCGGTCGTCATCATCGTCACGTTGACCACCATAGCCACCACCTCGGCGGTCGTCATCGTCATCACGTCGACCACCATAACCACCACCATAGCCACCGCCTCGGCGGTCGTCGTCGCCGTCATTGCGCCGGCCACCACCGTAGCCACCACCATAATCACCCCCTCGGCGGTTATCGCCGTCATCGTCTCTCCCCCCCGACGAGGAGAAAGACTGATAATAGCTGCTCGACTGAGACTGCTGGTAGCCGCCGCCACTATCGTATCGCTGGCTTGAGTGGCTCTGCGTATAGCCTCCACCGCTGTCATATCGCTCAGTGGTCTCGGATCGACCGTAGCCGCCATCGTTATCGTAACGCTGCGTCGTCTGGGATGCCACGTAGCCGCTATCGCCGCTCTGGTAGCTCGATTGCGTCTGCGTGTAGCCCTGGTCGTCCTCCTGTCGACGAGAAGACGAGCCACTTCCACCAATGCCAAGGAATGAGCTGGCGGCTCCTAGCAGGCCACCAATGCCGCTATCCTCTTCCTTAGGCTGGGGGGGTTGGTAGCTGGGGATCTTGACACCAGTCTGCTGCTGAATGATGTTAGAGAAGGCACCAGAGGCACCGGATAGGATGGCATCGGCGGCTTTTCCGGCAACCTTATCCTCCCAGGTCTCGGGTTCGCCGAACTGCTTGCGCATCTTGAGCTTTCCAGCGCAGCCGTGGCCGTGGCCGGTGTCTTGGACGCCCTCCTTATGGTTCTCTCCGTTTTGGACACCCTCTCGAGATAGCTTCTGTCGATATTCGTCCTGTCGGCGGCCTTGCTCATTCCACCACTCCTCAACGCAACGGAATATGATGCTTCTACCCTCGCGCGCGCCACCTTGAGCCATCTCCCGCTGCGCTGGGTGGTGGAGGATACCCTCGACGATGCGGTCAATCATCTCATTCACGTTAACGCTCTCATCGTCGATCGCCGCCATGACCTGGGGAACAACCCAGCTGACAGTGTAGGCGGCGGCTCGGCCAGCAACTTCATTAAGAATCTGTACCGGGGTGTCAGTCTGTTTGGGCGATACGAGGGGCGAACAGGAAAAGTTCTCAAGGATAATCGTAATGGCAAACCTACGTTGGAGAAGTGGTCCTTTGACAGCATGGAGTGGGTGGGATCGGTGGAGCGGGAGTCGTCAAAGACAATGTGCTGCTCATTCACGCTGCTTTGGATGATCTCCTCAGATCCAGTCTTGAGTTCGGCTCCGATCTGATGGATAATGGGGATGATGAAAGGAGCAATGAGAGAGAAGATGAACATGGAGAGTTGCTCCTCCAGTTGTTCGAGAATCTTGGGTAAGACTGGGATTTTGTCTGTGGCGTTGGAGATATCCTTCATCAGACCATCGTGCCATTCGATAACCGGCATGATCTGACGGAAGATATTCTGCACGTAAACAGTGTACTCCTCGGGGTCCTTTGGAGATACCTGCAGGTTCTGCATTTGCGCCGTGGTAGCATTTTGTTGCAGCTCATCGACCTTGCTACTCTGATGCTGACCGCCAAAAAGGTCGTCAGGAATCTTATCAAGCAGGTTTCGAAGAATGCTGGTGTCAGCTGTGGAGCTCTGCTGCAAGGTTCCCTCAAGCTCCTCAATTTCGTTTTGAGTGAGCTTGTCAGAAACTAGGGGCCGGTAAGTTATTTGATTCTGGTAAAGGTAAACGGAACGGAAGGAAGGAAAAGAAGTTGGTTACCTTCACCAGTGACGGAGTGGAGGAAGTCAACACCTCCAAAAGTACCAGTGACAATTGGATAGACAGAGCCGCGAGCACCGCGGATATTGATCTGAGTGTTTCGACCAACATGGGGGAAGACATCCCGCTCGCCTAGCTCGATGAGGGCCAACTCGATATAGTTGCTGTGGGCAAAGAAGTCTAGAGCCGGGGGAAAAAGAAAAAGGAGTCAGTATTCAGGAAGACAACATTGGACGAAAGCTGGAACTAGGTTGGAGGAACACCGGGCGATGACGAACCTTCAAGGCAGTGAAGCGCAGTTCCCATGAGGCGGAAGGACTCGTTGCGCTCAGTCTTGTCTCCGCTACGAGCGTAGCTCCTGCCAAGACGGACACAGCGGGTAAGGAGATCCCGAACAAGACCGGCCGAGGTAGTGATACCGATGCGCTCGTTAGCGATGTAGTTCTTCATACCAGTGTCTGGGTCGATGGCGAGCTCGACTCCCTCGTCTACAGGGCCACGAAGAGCTCTGTGATAGTTACGAGCGTCCACATTGTCGGCATAATTTTTGGGGTTATCAATATGTTCTTCGGGGCGATAGCAACCGAGGCGGTCGGCAGTAACTTCAAACTCCTTGGATCCGAAGCCGAAGGTCATGAAGCCGAGGACGCAGAGGAGAAGTCGGATAGCTTCGGCCGAGACCGCCTTGACGGTACCGACGTCGATGGCCTGGGAGTAATCCCTGAGCCAGTTTCCGAAGTAAACTCGGGAGACGTTGAGCTTGTTGAACTTCTTGCCGCCAAAGGCTTGTGCCATGGCAATCTTCAACAGAGCATCCTCGATGTCTCCATGGCGCCCTAGTGGAGAATTGCGGAATCAGTAGGCTGCCCATCCAGCGTATTGTGGCACAAGGGGCATAGAGGCAGGACCCGGTCAAGGGCAGGATGGGGGGTTGGTGGGAATCTCGCTACTCACAGTTCTGGCCCTCGACCTTGGAGATGCTCGCGATGTTACCCGCACCGAAAGCAGCAGCGGGACGAGTGAACCAGAGGAGGCCAATCACAGCCACCAAGAACGTAAAGGATTTGTTCTCAAACATCCTTTCCGGATCAACCGTAGATAATGTAACTAGAAGCCGGGTTGCTGATTTGTGTAGTTCGGATCTAGTAGGTTCGTGGGGTAGAAAGCGTCGTGGGGTAGAAAGCGTCAAGCTTGGAGAGAGAAATGCAGTTTAGTACGAATCTCAGTTCGTGCGGGAATGTAAAAGGAAGGATGGATCTACTACGAGATATCCAGGCAAAGAAGGAATATGTCGTGATTCAAAAACGGCACGGCACTGAGGTTAAGGAAGGAAGGGGGGAGGCAGCCGATGTTTGCGAAAGGGGGGGTAACTTGAATTCAAGTATCAAATGGTGCTTGTGGAAGCTTGGAGATTGAAGGAGGGGCACAAGGCGGGGCGGGGCTGGTCTCGTCTCGTCTCGATTGCGCACACTACTTCGTTGGTGTGGCATGAGAAGGGATGGGACATACATTGAGCTAAACGTATCATTGATGTCTAGGGGGGGTCAGAGCTTCACCAATTGAGTCGATGCTTTGAGCTTGGTTGGCATGAAGTACGAAGTAGTGCCGTCGACTAAGGGACAGCAACTAAACTAATCCATGATCCAGGACGCAAGAGCCAGCCAGCTCAGGCATTGGTTGATGGCGGGGTATTGGTGTACGAGGAAGTATCGACCAGTCTTGGTACAATCTACAATCGCCAGATTGATCGGGATGACGACCTTCCCCGGTGCTTCCTTCCCTTCCCTTCACCTTCACGCCCGTCTATAGTAGGACCAGTGAGACCGACAGAAACCCCGCCCGACTGCAAAATAGCAATGACTCTATGTACAGAGCATGCAGAGGTCGGCGTTCTACGAGACAGAGAAAACTTCCCCAGCATAATGCTCATCTGCAAGTCAGCCCAGTAGATGACGGGACTTCAAGCAGTGGCGTCAGATCCAGTGGCGACCAGCCCAGTGACAACGATGTCAACCAGGGATGTGGGCTGGTCGCGATCAATACTTGGAAGTGCTTGTTTCCTACCCCCTCCCTTGCTTTTCCGCGTGGGCCATGCTTGCCAAGTTTCATGCTTCCCACGAGGGAGCGACGTGATTTGCTTCGGGGAGAGCTTTAGCGGGGTAATCACAAGGGACGATTGCAACAAGTACTTCGTACACAACCAGGGAGACTATTACTCCGTACTTTGGATACCACAAGTTAGGGCCAGCGGACCCAAGTGACCCAGCTGCCAGACTACTTCGTAGAAGCGATAACAAAGCCAGTGAGTGATCTGTCTCAACAACTACCGTAGAATTAGCGCAAAGAGAGAGAGGTGCTGGGAATCGATCAAATTTTGCTGTGTAGAGGGGCGGGGACGCGGACTCTCTTAGCGCCCGTGCTGGGTCTCGTCGGAGTACTACCCTGCAGAGCTGAAGCGTCCGGATCAAATGAAACTTGAAGGGTATCTTCCGGGACGGCGGCATTCCTCATGTGCTGCTCATGCTGCTCATGTGCATGCAGTTGCGAATCTTCCAAAGTCGCCAACCCTCGGTACGTACAGAACAAGAAGCCTGCCAGGCTGCGCAATCTGCTGCCCCTCACTGGAGGCAAGCCCGAAGGAGTACCGGCTTTGGTGTTCCCGCGTCAATATCACTCTTACTATATTGAGAGCCGGATGCATCAACGGATTACCAACCTGGCCCGGGTAAGGTACCGGTCGTGATAGGCCTGCCTTGGTCCTCCGGTCGAGTCGTCAATGTTTAATAAATCGTCTTAACCTGGTTTAGAAGCCGCGCAATGAGCCAGCCACCCGAGGATTTAGATAACATGGAAGCCATTGCGGCTGAGAAGCGGAGCTTATGAAGTAGACTCGCAGCCATCATCTCTGACCAAGAAAATAAGTTCATCAATCAGAGCGGAGTAGCGATTGTTGACAAGGACATGAAGTTTGATTGAAGGCTGTTTTGGAAGTGGGTGTTAACCAAATATTCATACAGCCAATACGTACTTGAAGTGGCGAGGTCACAGAGGAACAGGCTTTGAGGTCTCGACTACTTTTGTACAAGACACGACAATAAGGCGGCCTGGGCGCAAGCGGGGAGCGGCACCGCAGGGCGCCATTCTTTGCTCTTGGGTTACACAATTTGCGAGGCGCCTTTCATCATCGCAACTTGGCCTTGTTTCTTGCAGGGCTGATAAACTGGCATACCATCCGGCGAGTATCGTACACGCGGGATGCTAGTTCTGCGGTGATGATTGCTCTCTCCCTTTGCAAGTCGCAATATTCTCATTGCAAGTGAGACGGCATTGCTTTCGTAAAATAGTCCATTGCGACCCGGCACTTACTGGTCTCGCGACCAAACCGACAGCATCATGAGCTGTCAATAATAAGTGCAACTGGGTCTGAGGGCATGATGAAGTCAAGGCATCGTTGACGTGGTAGGTTAGGCTTGGGCTGAAACTGTCGAAGAGTGCTAGGTCTGTTGCCGGCTTGATGTGGTTGGGGCCTAGTGGTTAATCCCCAGCGCTCCAGTGAGGTGGCATGTCTTGACAGCGAGAGGATACGGGATGCCGAGTTTGGGGACAGGATGCCCTATTAATCCAACGGATTGCTAGGTTCTATCGGCAGACTAATAGCCAGGCGTATGGGAGTGTGAGAGAGGCCCGCCCTGCAAATGTCTTGAGTCTTCTGGAGACAGGATGAGGAAACACGGGAAGCAGCCAGGGGGTCTGTCCAAGCTGTCAGGGTTGTAAGGTAGAGGAGCTAAAAAAAGACTTTCAGAGCCAAAGTAGTCTCTCGATTTCCGTCGAAGTCGGCACTACAGAGTGCCTTGCCTGATAGAGATTCAGTGCGAGGTTTACTTTTTGCATGAAGACGATTTTAGAGGAACCTCGAGATTATTTCCTCGAGTCGAGTGCTTTATTAACTAGAGGGAAGAGAAGGAGAGAGAGAAAAAAGGAAAGAAAAGGAAGACACTTTGCTTAACATGTAACACAGCAGATTACAGTAATAGATATGATACTAACGGGTCGTTGATGTGTCCGCTTGCTTTGTATGCTGTAAAAGTGAAGCAATTGTCTGTCCATACAGAAAATCAGTGATGAGCTAGACTTCTCGGGTCAGCGGATGGCGGATGGGGGACTGAGAGCGGGAGGGAATACTGACTTCGGCGTTACGAGTCGACTTGGGGCTGGGAGCCAGTGTTGTTGTCTGTCTGACTGAAACACCCTGCAGGCCAGGCCTAGCCCTCCCGCTTTTGACACCGAAACTCGAAGCCCTGACGCCATTCCTGTCTTGGTGTCTGCCATAGCCTGACGGGCTGTGAGGGGAAAAATTGTCGGGACCGGCCTGTCCAGATCAGCCAGGCCTTGGGGGCAGGCGGAAAGCCAGATAAGCCGGGTCAGGTCAGGCTCTGTCTGACCTGGCCTGGTCCTTCGAGACCGTTCTGAAATCTACACGCGAAGCTTTCAGTCCAGGCCACCAACATCTTTCACCTTTCGAGGCGGTTGCAGTGGAGGGAGGTAGATCAGCAGGTGCTGCTTACAGCGTCCCATTGGTGGGGAGTCTGGGCGACCTGCATAACGATTGACGTCTGAAATTGGGAAACACGAAATTTTCGCCGCGCCATCACTAACCCAACCTGACAGACCCGGGAAAATAGCGTCAGGTACAGAGCTCGTCGCGAAATCCAGTATCTTGATAGCATTTACGCTTTAGACGATCCAGTGTAAATGAATCCAAGGGCAGCCCCAGCACACTTCAGAGCTCCCACATTCAACAAGAGAAACACCACGACACTGCTCCATCTGAAAAATGGAATTGAACCAGGGGGAGATAACCTTTTGTAACAATACTTTCGCCAGATTCGAGCTTTCTCGTCTGATAGACAGGTACAAGTAGAATACATTGTGCAATAAAGTCGCTCCCATCTATTCGATAACAGACATCTCCCCTCCAGTCGTTGGTCACAGCATGCCTGAAGTTCAAGCTCGTCGTTTTGCTCGGCTATTATTTTTTCTGTCACAAAGTTGATCTCCGTTGTCGGTTATTTGAGGGCAAGTACCGCCAGCTACGTGTCGCCTTCTACTCTTTTTACATCCGTGGGTGGAAACCCGTTGTTCCGAGTTCGAGTTGTCCTGTGTTAACATCGAGTCGACGATAACTGTTGGCGCAGATGGATGGTCAATCAAGGTGCGGGCGCGTAAGGAAAACTCTCAAATTAATATGACTAGCACGTGTACCCTGCTGGCGGATACTCGGGGTGTCGGCGAGTTGACGTTTCTAGTGTACTGAAAGGGGAATGTTGAATTGTAATTTTGGGATCCCCTCTGTTGATGGTGCTGGCTGGAGGATTCTTCTCTGTTAGCGACTGAATATTTGGTCGTTGCCCTGTGAGGCGCTGGACGCTTGTGTTGATGGAAGTCTCGATTGTGTGGAGATGGATTGATGTGAGGCCTAAAGGACAGCGGACAGGTCGCCCAGAATCCAGAATCTTGGAGTGGTGGGTCAGTGAGGGTTCATCGATAATCTATGAAAGGGGTGGGATTGATCAGGATTGATCGATGTCAGACCACCGATGGCGAGTCCTGTGGAGGACACAGGCGCATGAAACTGCAGGTACTGCCAGGGTGTGGGTGAGTGTACGGATTCTGTAATCATTTGTAGAGGGCGATGGAGTTGCTAGAACGGTTTCCGTGCCTCAAGTCAAGTTCCATCAATTACTAGATCAATCAATTTGATTGTTTCTGGTGCCCTCTGAGGGCTAGGCTTTGGATAAGCACTGGCTTAGCTGGCCTCAAAGTGTGTGCTGTCTTCGGCCGATTACGGTATTACGAGGGCTTGTTAGGCTGCCACTGAGGGAGAAATCGGAGTACTTCGATCAGTGATTGTGACTCTGGCCTCTGGCGCGATCCACCATACAAGACTTTGTGGTGCCCCCCTCCCACACAGGTATCCCTCTGTCCCCTCCCTTCCCTCTGATCCCGCTCAAAATTTTGGCTGGCTTTGGGCACCCGAGTGAATTATTTTCTACTGATCGCGTCAAGGCCTCGCTGACACATAAACCCCCCCAGCCCCCGAATTTTTTTTCCCCCGGTTCTATTTTCTTCCCACACAACTTATTTTTGCGCCCAGCGCTGATTTTCCCCTCTCAGGTCTACTAGGTCGCCACCCCCAGAATCACTAAAACTCCAGCACCTCCCGCACCCCAACATCCCCAAAACCCCCTCTTCCTCCCCAATCCACTATCGCAACCGCCATCACCACCACAGCAGCAGCAGCAACACAATCATCACCACTCACTATTAACAATATTCATCCACCAAACTTGCCACCACTGTAATCATGCCGCGCCCTGCGAAGAAGGATAAGGCCGCCGCCGTCCCGTTGCCCGTGATGCCCGCCGTGACTTCGCGAGCAGTTGAAGTCGAAAACTTCATCCGTGTTCGAGATTCGGTAAGTCATTGTTTTCATTTTCCTGTTTACTGCTGTATTCCTGTGATGCATCGCATCGCATCGCATCGCATCAACGCGCAACCACTCCCCCGACTTCTCTTTAGCAACGGCCTCCGCGCCGACGGTAATCGATCGTGCCGCTTCAAGTGAGCCAGCGATCAAGAGCAGAGACAAGCGCGCACTCTGGGCCTCAGTTTGCGAGACACGCAAGAGCAGGAGCATTTCACTTCTTTCTTGCGCCTGCTTGGTCTGGCCCTGCGACTGGATGTCGCATCGCATTTCTTACCATTGCAAGCGCAAGATAAGACAGCGCATATCGATGCCCTTCTGCGCAAGCCACGAGGACATTCGACTCGCCTCAAAAAAAAACAGAGGCTTTTTCATCTTTCCCTCGGCCCTTGGAGTCGCACAATCGGCTGCGCCTCTATCCTCGGGCTTTGTGTCGCACCCTCCACACACACACAGCCAAATTTCGCCGCAGCGCCCAGCACTTTCCAAACTGGGTGCCTTGCCTCGGACCCGCTACGCGTCCGCCCCAAGCTTTCATTGTTTACACAGCGCCAAATTCAGACAGCTCCAGCTTCCCATATCGGCCCCTCCCCCCACTTAATGGAGCTGTGAGCTCCACCAGCTCAATTCTGCAGCGCGTGCTCCAACAGCTCGCGACATTAATATCGCGGCGCGTTTTTGATTTTTTTTTTTCTCTTCTCTTTTTTCCCTTTCCTTTTTTCTTTTGCTTTCATCCATTCGCGGAGTAAGTAAGCAAGATGCTAACAGTATTTGCAGACTCTTGGCCGCCTTAAGACCATCCAGCAACTCATTAAGTCCTTTGCTGATGACTATCTGCGCCAAACCAATCTCCTTCTCGGACTTCCCACCACGGCTGAGGACCTCAGCTACAATGAGCCTCTCGCCAACCTGGAAGCTTCCCTCGCTGCGCTTGGCAGTATCCCCGCGCCTCAGCCCATCGCCCCTCCCCAAGAGGAGCAGAAGAAGGAGCGCAAGAAGCGTACTCTTGACCCCAACGCCCCCAAGCGCCCTCTGACCCCCTACTTCCTCTACATGCAGACCGCTCGCCCCATCATTGCTGCCGATCTTGGCAGCGGTGCTCCCAAGCGCGCCGTGCAGGAGGAGGGTCAACGCCGCTGGGCCACCATGGGTGGTGCTGAGAAGCAAGGCTGGAACCAGGCCTACCAGTACAACCTCCGACTCTACAATGCTCGTGTTCACTCGTACAAGAATGGCAACCCCGAGGCCAAGAGCATGGATGACAACGAGGCTCTGAAGTACGCCGAGGAGTTCAACATCCCCCTCCCTAGCAATGAGGACCAGGCCGCCAATGAGCAAGATGCTATCGCCGAGCAGCTGAAGGGTACCTCCGCCGATGCCCATGGTGAGGTTGAGGAGACCCCTCCGGCCAAGTCGGCGAAGAAGTCTGGCCCTGGCCGCAAGCGCAAGACCGCCGAGGCTCCGGAGGAGGTCGAGGCCACTCCCAGGGTGCCCGCCACTCCCGCGAGCCCTGCTCAGAAGCGGCGGAGGACTTCGACTAAGCCCGCCGAAGAGGAGCCGAAGAAGTCCGGTCGTAAGAAGGCGGGCAAGAATGCCTAAGCAACCAAGCAGAGACCTGTATGAGTTTTTACTTTTCTTTTTCTCTCATTATTTGTTTTGTTTTTTTCATCACGCGGCTTGGGAAAGGGGGAGGATGATTGGGAAGGAGGGCGTTTGGTTCTGTTGAAAAAAAGGCTGGCAAAGGCCTTAAGGGATTATTATGGAAAGGGACCTGCGCTTGGTCGATTTAAATTTTGTTCGTCGCCTGCCTGGTTTCTTGAGGGGAGGGGTTTGTGAGTGTTGGGAGGCAAGATTCGGGTTTTCTTTTTTTCACTGTTCTTTTATATCCCCGCGATTGTTCCTGTTTTTCGAGCGGTTGTTTTCGTGTACGTATTCGGATTTGCGAGTTTTGTTTCTTTGGTTTTGGTAGTTCTCTCTTTTTAATGAAGGACATGATGATCTTGTGGGAACTGAATATCTCTACTGCCTGCGCTTGACTGTATTGACTTGGGTATTTGCTCTGACCAAGGTATTCAATCTCTGCGGGTCATGTCCCTCTGGGTCCAAGGATATTCCTTCGTAGTGACCACTGGATTACTTCCGCCCTGCAAGGTTGGCGCCAACCACGGATCAGATCTAGTGGAGCAGCCTTGGCTGGCTCGCCCCGTTATTTTGGAGCCTCTGGGAACCCCGCGGATGGTTCGCGCATTCTGGGGCGGGAAGGACCAGGAAGCAAGCGTCGAAGCTGTGGGGTGTTCTGGAATGGGGCTGGACCCAACTTGGCCTGGCGGACCTCAAGTTGCTTCGAGGGACGCCAGAGATCGACGGTGCTGGTACCGACGAGATGCCCATGCACGTTTTCACAATAAAATAAACACGCACACATTTGGGCTATTGCGAGAACTACTTCGTAATCTGCCGACTTCTGTCAGGTCGTCCAACTTGATACGCAGACCTGTATCTCATGGAAAAGAAATGGCGGTGAGGCTTTGGGTCTGGGCCAGGCCTCATTCTGGTGTTGGCGCCCAACCTGTGAGTTCCAACTGTTACTGCCGCTAGCGCCTGGTACGACATTGGGTCGGCCATGACGAGCTGGTGCGGGCGACCTTAGCAATCTACCACTACTATTAGTGAGCTTGATGCTTGGAACAGGAAGTAGATTAACATTGACTGTGTGCATCAACTTGACAGCCCTCCCTCTTTAGAATGCAGCATGATTTAGTGGAACAGGAGCAGGTAGATGCCTCATTTTGACAACCCCATATTGTCGAGCAGCATAGCCTTGGAGGACTCATGATTTTCAATCATCACCATCCACGCGATACACAAATGAACATAGTTAGTCTCTGGATGGTAGGACTATTCGGGGACGTTAAGAGGACTTGTACTCCTCGCTCAGGATATTTAACATTGAGGTCTCACGACTAAACTTGCATCGCTTCGACATCGTATGGATACGGTCGTCGCATATCGATACGCGAAGCCTGAGGCACACAGGCAACACATCTGGAGCAGGACAAGGGTCTCTCTAATCCCGGTACCTTCTAGAACCCCTCTACGTCAGACACGCTGTGGTTCCTATCAGCCGCGTTGAGGCATGTCTTGGTCGAGTATGTCTGGGGGTAGTGGGTGGGAGAGTGGGCGAGTGGAGGTGGATGGATGACGCGGTTGGGGAACCCAGGAAATGGACATGAGTCGACCCCTTCCCCTGCCTTTCCTTGCCTTTCCCACGTGGATGATGCCGTGCTTTGGATGCACGATGGGTGGGTTAATATGTCACTGTGAGGCGAAAGGGATAATACCGACCGCAGCAAAACAAGCGCGGTCAGTGGGGGTCCGCAGATTCGGTGTATTTATTATTCGACTGAGCCTGGAGCGCAAGGTTCTTTCTTAGTTTTCGAAAAGTAAAGTACCGAGTGTCTTGTCGCGAGTAGTTTTCATTTGGGCTCAATGTGTTGTCAAGAACGGCTTTCTCCTCAGCTAGGATACTGCAGTGCACCCTACAAGATAAGAGATGGGAAGGCGAAGCTGCCAGCCAAAGCGGGACAGCCTCGGGTCACTATCGCCAAGTCGGCTCGGTGGAGCTGGGAAGGTGGACCCGGTATTGACAGGCCAAGGTATTTTGGTTCCAAGCACACCTTCAATGTTTCCACTACCAAGTACAACTCCACTACTCGATACTTCTACGCGCCTGGCGGGGTGGCTGCCTATGATGAAGTCACTGTCCCTACAGCCAATCATGGTAACAGATCCAGCCAGACGAGGTCACGCTGAGGTTCTGGCAAGAGGACTGTGACAGGTTGAAGATGATGTACTTCGCAGTCTCCAAGTGAACTTGTACCGCAGTACAGAGGTACCAGCGGCGGCATCCCGAAGTTGACGGGACCTGCTTCCCTGTCTGCCACTAAACCCCACAACAGCAGCAGCATCCCACCATGAACGTACCCAAATAAACATCTCCAAGATCCACACCAGCCTAGCCCAGCTCTCCATCTCAAACTCCATCCCCCATACCGAAAACGACCCTTGCACATTCACATCTTCAGAATATTTTTAGGCAAACACCCGCAACGAGCAACTTCTTTGATCCTTCTATGAGTCACCAAAATATCCAAAACTTGCGAATACGACCTTGGACCACATCTTCAACCACACTATTATATAAAGACCCGATATCGCCCAAAGTTAACGCTTCCGCCAACATTCCTCCCGTCGCGTCTCCCTGCTGAGCGCGACCGTTGACTCTCGCCTCGAACTTGCTTGCGCCATATTCTGCTCTAGGCAGCGCCGCACCCACACAGTCAACATAAAGAATTACGATTCGCGGAAACACGCCAATATATAATTTTCCATCTTCCAACCGAGCTGGAGTGGGCGCTCTCTGATCTCTATATCCTCCCCAAACTACTGCGATAAGCATCAGACCCGGACGATATAGTCGCCTCCCCCAGCACTACGAAGCGAGCGCCTTCTATATTCATATGACATAAAGCATCGCGCACCCGGAGCCGACAATGTCGTCGAGGCGACAAGCAATCCCCGTCGAGAGCTCCTGGCGCATGGTCGAAGGCGGCGAGAACGATAGCTTCGACACCTCTATCGTCCCCGCCGACGAAGACCCCGATATCGTCCTCTCGAGCGCACCGTCGCAACTATCCTCCGGCGGGCAGATGAGCATAAACTCTCAAGACAGCATCCAGGACTTTCTCACCAGCGCGGACGACGAGCGCGTCATTCTTCGCTCGCCGTTCCAGCCCACCGTTCCTTCTGCTAGGCAGACGCCGCGGAGAGATACTACCACCCACCGGACGCCTGATCCCGAGTTTTATATGCCGACTGTCGAGGTTACTGGTTCGCGGCGCAGCAGCGGGCGGTCATCCCGTACCATAAGGCCAGGCAGGGATGATGATCAGCTAGGCGGCTATGACTTGCGACGAAGGGTTGGTCGCTACCAGTCGGAAGCAGAGCGGGGAAGTCCCGTTAAGAGAAGGCAGAACACTGGTCGCGAACGGTTATATTATGACAATGACCAAAACGACAGGGATGCGGAGGACGGGAGCGGGCTGAAAGGTGCTCTAACTACCCATCTGCCGGCGGCTTTACTCGATGTCTTTGGCTGGTTCTTCGGAGTTATTGGTATGGCCTTTCGCTTCGCGCAACGACCTCTGGCATTCCTCCTCGCCATATACTTCTTTTTCGGCGGTCTTATAATAGTCCAAAACATGATTACGAAATCCATCTTCGTCTCGCTATCTCCGATATGCCGCATTCCTGGAGTCTCCTACCTAGACCTCTCTTTCTGCCCGCAGGTGCCTGACCCGCCCCTCACCGCTGGAGGATCGGGCCAGGCAGGTGGACGCCAAGTCGAGTTCGACGAGCTCATGGGTGTGCAGGCGCAGTTCGAGCAAGTCCTGGAACGCAGCGCAGACGGCGTCTCCCTACCCCTCGAAATGAAGCGATCCGAATCTTCCATCCGCGACCTGCGCACCATGGTCCGCTACAGCGAGCTGACGGCGCGCGAGGAGCTCGTCCAGGAATTCGACGGCTACATCGACACGGCGCGGCGCAGCACGAGCGAACTCCAGAAATTCAACACACACGTGGGATCCGCCGTCGATTCCGTCATCAGCATCAACAAGTGGACGGCTCGCTACCTCGATTCCTTCGACGGCGACCTGCAGCGGAGCCAAGGTAACGACGACGGAGGCGGGCTCCTCGGCGACTTCGCCTCGTGGGTTTTCTACCCTTTCCAACCTACGACGACGGGGGTCTTTGACGAACGTGCCCTTGTCGACAAGTACATCGAGCACACATCCCTCGTCTCAGACCGCATCTCCACCCTCATCCTCGAAGCCCAATCCGTCCTCCGCCACCTCACAAAAGCAGAAGACCACCTCTCCCTCATCTACGAAATCGTCACCCGCTCATCCCAATCCGTCGAATCCCGCCGCGACCAAGTCCTTTGGACCCTCTGGACCCTCGTTGGTGCCAACTCCCGCCGCCTCCAGGGTCTCAACGCCCAACTCTCCCTCCTCAAACAGGTCGACGCCCAGCGCTCCGCCGCCGTCGCGCAGGTCTCCGCGCTCATCGTCGATCTGGAACGCATCGAGGCCGGGCTGGGTGATTTACGCGATCGCGTGGCCGAGCCGGAGATTGCGAGGCGTGCTGGGGGGCAGCTTACGGGTGGGCCGGGGAGTGCGAGGGCGCGCGTGCCGCTTTCGGTGCATATTGAGACGATTGATCGCGGGGTGGAGAGGTTGGAGGCTGCGAGGAATAGGATTAGAGCTGCGGAGAATGATCGGATTAGGGAGGCGCTTGCGAGGGGGGGCGTTAAGGAGGAGAGGTTGCTTGAGGGTGATTAGATGTTCTGGTTCTCGAGTTACTCGACCCTTTAGGGGCATTTATGATGTTGCCACGGCTTTGTGATTTCTTGGAAGGAGTTTTCTGTGTTTGATTTGAGGGTTTTATAGGGAACTGTTAAATAGGTTTGCGTATAGTCAGTTTTCCTCAATGGAACTTATAATGATTGATGATCACTCTATGTACATTTTCCCCTGTTGAGGGACTTGCTGAAAGCCGCTCGGGGAGAAGCGACAGACCGTCCATACATATGTAGCTCTCATCTCAAGACAACTTGTTACTTGACATCAAGTGAAGCTCCGAGAAGCCATGGACGCTTCAAAGAGGAATGCGCCAAAACTGTTTCCATCATCAATTGGGCTCTCTTCCCTCGCTGTTCTTTTTGCACTTCCTCTCAGACTAGCTCTATAAAGATAACACACCACCATTATATGCAGCCGAACGAAACCCTCGTACATATGTGTGTGTGTCCTCCAAACAAAAAGAAACAAAAATAGTGTTGGATTTTCCTCGGGTATCCCTCAGTTTTTCCCACCTTCCCAATACATATATGACCCTGTTATAAAAAAAAATAATAAAAAAAGAGGACAACAGGAAGCGAGATTAACTCTGAATTTCAGCAGAGAAAATAAGGATAGATCCCAGCCAGTCACGCACCATTCAACACCGTTTCACCAGCCCCGAGATTCCAGTTCCCCAAGAGTCTATGTATGATATATACCATAATCCCGAACCCCAAAGTGTAAGAATGAAATAAGTAAATACCAGAGAGCGGGCGCTTCGTTTCCCGGTATTCGTCCGGAGCCGAGCGAGCGTAGTTGGTGATGCGCAGAAACGCCGAAAAAAATTAACGCTTAAAATAGGGTCTCCTAGGGTCTTCGTATTCTCGTATCCTCCTGATGATAGGGAAGACGGAGTCCAGTAGAATCGTGATGAGCGTCCCATCACCATCACTTTGGTAGAGATAGGTATAACGAGTTGTCCGCGTTCTGTGTGAGTACTTCCGCTGCGTGTTTCATCGGCCTGTTAGGGCCTCTGTCATCGTTACTGCTTCAGGCTCGCCCTCCAGTCAAGGCTGCGAACACAGGCACTGCCTGGTAGTAGTTTATGTGTGAAACGAATGGCGGCGATAGAAATAGACCACAACCAAGGTCGGCAGTGGCAAAGATCCGTTCGAAGAGAGAAAAATAAAGGTAATATGCCCATCCATGCAGGTAGATGCGTGTCCCATGACCAAACCATAACTCCAGAAGTTACCAGTTCCCGATATTGACGAACCAAGACGCCGATACCCAATGCTCTATATCGTGAGATATTCGTGAAAATGCACTATAACAGCCGGAAAAAGAAAACGTATAGTAGCTGCCCGCTTCATGTTAAGCTCGGAAAGACCTTAGTTATGGCTCTCCTCCCTATATAGAAACAGAGAGTCTGGTTAGTTGTCAAGAGCAGACAAGCCTCGAGATGGTTCTCGAATCGGTGCGAAAGAGAAATAGATAGAGGGTATATACTTACATAGCGGTCGATCATCCTCATCGTCGAGCGGACGAGCTAAGTGCTTCATCCTCGCCCTCGCAAGGTCCGAAGGACTCTTGCGGCCCTCGGGTTGGTGGTCAGATAATGGAGGACCTTTTATTGGGGCTAGTTTCAGCTCACGTGGCTTATTACGACGAGACTTCTTGTGTCGGGTTATAGGAGGGAGAGCGGCTACGGTATCCTCAGACTCGGTGGCGGTACCTTCCTGGTTCTGTGGAGATTGCGCAATTGCGTCAGGATCGTCAGGGCTACCGGTCTCGGCACCCCGAGCGTTTGGGGTCTGCGTTTCTGTCCCCTCCATAGGCTGCACTGGCGTTTGGGGTTCGACGGGTGCCTCCTTGGGCGGTTTGGTAGATTTAGTGGATGGGTCAGAGGAGTGGTGGTTTGGCGTGACGAGGTCACTAAATGTGCGCTTGCTGAAGAGCTTGTGCTTGCTTTTGCCCTCGGCCGAATCGATCTCGACATCGACGGTACTGCGGAGTCGTCGCATAGCTCGTTCCCGTCGTACCATGGCATTGGTGATTCGCGGACAGTATCCGCGAGGCAACATACATTGCTGGCACACTGGACACAGCGAGCTGTTTCTGGTTAGAAATTCGTCGATACATTCTGGGTGAAAGATGTGGTAGCATGATAACTGGCGGATGACGGAGACTCGGTTTTTAAAATCTTCGAGGCATATTTGGCACTGAGGCTGATAATTTGTCGCTATTGTCAAACATTCGCTCCCGGCCAGGCTCGTACGGGATGATCTTCCCGAGATGGAAACGACGGATGAAATGCTGCGGTCGGGGTGTCGGGAGCTACGGTTAGAGGCAGGGGTAGAGGGTCCATTCATTCTATCGGATTCCGATTGGTAGGTGTATAAGGGGAAGGATTTCACATGCTCCTCAGGGACCATGACTCGGGCAATACCCATCGCTTCGAGATCGACCTCGCCCTGCTTAACACGAAGAGCAAGTGATTTGCGACGTTGGCGCTGTAGAAAGTGCATGAAGACGGACACACAAACGATAATCAAGAGCAGGGCGCCAATGACAATGACGAAGAAGGTCCACAACGCCGGCATGCTCTTGGTATCTTTCATCGTTAGTTCGGTCCATATTCGAACATAGTCTCGGGGGTTAGGGCCGAAGGCGTCGATAATCTCCTCGCCAAAAGGAACCTGCTGCAAAGAGCCGGAGTACTGAGAAAGCTGGTCCACAAGCTTATTGCCTTCCCGGCCGGGGATGGCGAAGATGGGGAACTTATTTTGTTGCATCCACGCACCACCATCATCCAGGTCCCAGATCGGCTCGTCGACATCTTGGGGCTTTTTCGTCGAGTTGTTGGGTTTGTAGAATATGAAGGCTCGGACGGGATCGTATCGTGCTGCTTTTAGATAGGCTTGGGTGCATTCCTTGCTGAACCATGGGGCGATCGCGACCAGTTTGTAGTTGGTGGGTGGGAGGTTGGACCGTCGAGTGACATTTCGCGGGAGACCGATCGCTGGGTCGTACTGATCTTCTGAGCAGGAGTTGCTGGAATCTATCGTCGGAACATAGAGTAAACCCTGAATAACTCCGTTTAATGTTTCGGCGTTTGTCGTCGTCAACGTCGTTAGATTGGCCGACTGTTGTGACTCGAAGGCTAACTGGCTCTAGGAAAGGTGTCAGTAGGGAACCGATAGGCCATTCACAGAACCGGCACGTTCAAGTGGGGGACGGCGAAAGGGTGCCGGCAGACAGACAAGACCTACGGCGACAGCAGTTAGGTTTCGAATAAGGGTCGTGGGAAGTGAAGTCTCCCCATTGAATAGAGGGTTACTAAATAAGAGACTGTGAGGGAGAGAGTTAGCCACAAGATTATGTCGAAGCTTCCGTCGACAAGACGCCATCTGGATCTGGTCCCATTTCGAGGTGCGAAGCGAGAAGGAGAGGTCGTCTCTCGCGGAATGGGCATCGTGAGAGCTGAGGGCGATTTGAAGAAGCGCAACGCGTTCGAGGAGGCGTGCCCAAGTCCGGGGCGACCCCGCAGATTCAGAGCCCTCACTTCTCGACTCGAACCTCGAAATCGCCAGGAACCAATGGTCGAGAGAAGCGCGTATTTGTGAGGGAGGCAAGGGAGCAAGGCTTTCAAACATACACGACATTTCGAATCTCGGAGAGCGCTGTAAGACGTCAGTTGCCGCGCCAAGACTGGGGCGATGCGGTAAACTCTTTTCTGGGCTTGGCTACAAGGGGATTTGCGACAGGTTTCGTCGGTCGGGAAAGCTTGAATTGTACTTACACATGCTTCTAGGACATATTCAAGTTCTTGATGGAGGACATATCAGCGTCTGCATCTACTTCGGCGTCTGCGATGCGGGGGGGTCGAATGCGCAGAGCGAGGAATCGAGCTGGCGGCACAGAATTTCTTGGGAAGGAATTGAAGGGACTGGAGTTGGATGATGGGCGAGTTCGAAGGAGAGAGCGCGGGTACAGGGGAGGCGATTGGTATGGACGGACGGCTGCAGTTACGGCGGCGACATGGGCCTGGCTAGGGCGGAACCAGCACGGGATTTAGGAAAAGAAAAAAGGTGTTGGAATGGGGATTTGCAGAATTGAGGAATGGGAAGCGAGGCAGGACGCAGCACTAGAAGCATGAAGTGCTCAGGCCAAACCCGCAATTCGCCATGCATTATCTGTGTACGAAGTAAATCATAAGAATCGAAAGCTCATGCACCTGGTGGAGGGACCGCGGGGAGGAGTGGGTGGGCGCCGCTGGGTGGTGGTGGCTGGCCTGAACTGGGTACTTCGTGTGATCGTAAAGGGATGGCAACTTGGGAAGGGGGAAGTGGAGGGTGTCCAATGGTCAGCACGTTTGATGGGAGGGGAGGATATTGGAGTACCTCGTACAAGTACATTACACTAGAGCGGAAGGTTGAGCAGAGTTCAATGCATACGAAGGAGAAAAGTGCAAGTACAAAGTACATATGATTAAGCCGTTTCCCGGCTGCGGAATAGAACATTTGATGGTACAAAATGGGCAATGACAATAGCAGGAATGGTGTGCCTTGACGAGACACTGATGGTACACGCCAGGGTAGTCGTGGCTTGTAGGCTAGACCACTCAACAGGTAATACACCACGTTGTACTTGTGGAGGGGGAGGGTAATACCTGTGGACTGGACGCAACAAAGTACAATTGTATTAAAATCAAAATCCCGGTCCACTTTGCAAGTATATTGTCAGGTCACCCCTTTACCAAAAACGAAGATAATGGAATCAATGCATCAATTGATCGTTCTTGGACAGAGTCAGAGGCTACTCTGTAGAGCCGGGGTGGATGAGAACGATGGGCGGCAAAATAATGCACGGATTCACCATAATGCTCGATACCATCTACATGCCCTACATACCCGGCATTTTCAAGCCTGAATAGCAGCAAACTTGGTCTTGTGCACGGGATAGCAGTATGACGGAACCCTCCTACAACTCTGGCTGCTGAACCATGGATTCGTGTCTAGTTTAGGTACCCTCCCCCCGGCTGGCACTTTTGGCGCAGTTTGCTCTGTCTGGGTGGGTTCGTGGCGTTAGCGTGTGGATGGCCCTGGTCTCAGACAACAGCTTCGTGCTCCGAACATCCGGTTGGGCGACCACAGAGTACGGCGGAGGAAGTTTCTCGCTTCAATGTTTCTCGCCATTCAATCTTCCTTCCCAGGGATCACACATGTCCATAATCATGAGCAAGGGGCGGCACCTGGCAAAAGCATAAATAACCCACGGCTTGGACTTTGGCAATGCCTGTAATGAAAGGACATTCGGGGTCGGTTAAAGTTTGTGCCTTTTCCGATGGGAGGGAGAACGCGGGCCTCGTCTGAGGGTGGAGTGAGAAACATTGTCAATAAGCCATTTGAGCCACGGCCTGGCATCAAAAAACCTAAGAGAAACACTCAACTAACTGTCAAACCTAGCTCCGCAACCCCAATAACCACAGGGGACCGCAAAGCTGGTGGGAATAATCGGTCAAGTCAAGGGTTGAGAATGAGGGTAGCTCATTCTGGCTAAGCAAGAAGATAGGAACAGTTCTCCGCCCAACTCTCTTGATTTCGTCGACACCGTAGCACCGGAGCGGACCCATGACTTTGAAGAAGTCATTGAAATGTGCAGGCCACGACTCCGAAGAAGAAGCAAATGTGCGGACACCAAATACCAAAAACACCATTAAGAGAAGACTAAGCCCTCGATGAGCGTTCGATACTCCCTGTGAATGGCAGGATCTTCAGGCGCATATCGTTAGATAGACATCTATAGATGCCATTACCAACTCAGAGGAAACCACGCGGACGAGCAGCATCAGGTCGAAAACGCCTTGACAGGTGGAGGTGCTACAGGTGCTACCAAATATGCTGCCTTAAGTGAATCAAACACACAGCATGGAGAACGAAGATGCCGCAAGATTTATTACTTCGTTTCACGATGTACATACTATATAGGGGCAGGCAGAAAAGTCAGAAAAGTCGCCCTTGATTCCTTTCCTTCCAGTCGCTCCAATTATTACCTTACTGGACAAAGCTGTGCAGAAAACGGTGGGTGGGTGCATGCATTGCGTAAATGAAAGCTTGGTGTATCTTTCGTATGACGGGTGGGGAGTCAACCTCATCGAATCCCTCTGTGTGCACCTCGGAGGCGGGTATGTAAAACGTACGTGCCGGAACCCGTGGAACGCCTGGCGGCGGGCTCTCATTGAGTGGCAAAAATGCGAGTGGGCTTGTCGAAGGACTACTATTTAAGGAAAGTCTAACTCATTTCGTAGCGAGCAGCCCTGTCATGTACGGAGTACGGCAGTGGAGTGTCCAATGCCCAACTTATTGAAGACTTTGAAGCAATTGATTGATCTTGATCCACGTTGTCAAACCTGGGAGAGGCAACAGCCCGTCCAGTGATGACGCCTTGTTTCAGTGTGGATAGATCAAGAGTCTGTCCGCTCTTACAAACGCCACAGCACAGAGGCCTTTCTATGTGTTTAGTCGCGAAGTAGTAGCTTAGAGCACCTCTCAAACTTAGGGCTTCTCATCTATTTGGGGGCTTCGAAACTAATTGATGGCGTCTCGTCCGCATTCTGATCGACATGGGGTAAAGTGTTGTCGCACATCATGGGAAGCAGCAGCATCATCTCCCGTGAGAGGCCGGGCTCATCACATCTCGTCCCACCACTTCATAGCTTCAGAGTCTCAACACCTCGCGACGACCAGAACCGGTCGTGTCGCCAATATGGGAAATCTAGTGCGGAAGAGAATGCGTTTGAAGCTGGACTGCACTTTCTGGGCTCCGTACCGTCCCGGCCGACCTGCACCCCTGACCTCGACCAGCAAGCCAGGCCCTGATCTTCACCTGAGCGGGGACTCGGCAAAGCCAACCATGAAATATTGCATATTTGATATTTGGTAGGGTTGATCCGCGCCAGCCCCAGCTGTCCAGTTGCGCAACCTCAATATTGTGATTCGTTTCCCTCCGTTTTCCTTGTCTGCAGGTCTTAAATCGCGACCAGGCCCACGTAAGCTTATCTGCCCAATTCACCTGTGCTGAGACTGTCATGATAAACTACAAAGCCGGCCGATTAACTGGACGGCGAGGGGCGAGCTGGCTTGGTGAAATAAATACGGAAGAGACGGATCGTCTCGGCCGAGCGTGAGACGATTGGGCGAACCACTTCGTGACTCTGTTAGAAACATGAATCATGCAAGCTCGTGAAGCTGTCCAAAAATACAACTCCACTCCAGTGAAGTACCTTCCTCACAATTCTCTTTCGTTGTTCGATCGCGGGTTTTGGTGCTTGTTGTTGATTAGGTAATCAAAAAGTTAAGGCTCGGGTGTGTCCATCGGAAAACAAACTCTCTTTTCCGTTTGCAAGGTGTGCACCTGTCAGAGTCCATGACGGAGATTGCCGTGGAGAGGAGATCAACATCGAGGCGAACTTGATGTCGAGTTCAATGCGCGACGTCCATCATCATCCACTCGTTCAGACAAGGGCTTGGCATCTCGAGTACCGTCAATATTTTTTCCCTCAAGATATTGTCTCTCTAACTCCATCTTTGTTTTTCATCGCCTGTATAATCATCTGTAGTGGAATCCGAGTGCCGAGTCCGAGTCCTTTGAGAATCATGCCCGTTCCCACCTCGATACACGCGATTTAAGACACACCACGCGCTCGTTTCCATCGAATCCCTTCCAACTACTTTCACAATGCCTCCCGGGTCGCAAAAAGGCACCGGCAAGAAGGGCGCTGGCGCAATGCGCCAGAGGAGTCGGAATACGACGCCAAGCTCGATGCCCGTGACCGCCACACTCCCGCCCATCGACGCTGTAGACGCCGAATATCTCGAGTTACGAGTCGAGCACTTTCGTGCTTTAACTAATGACGATGTGGTTGACCAAGGCGCCGCCAACGCCATGATGCCGGATACCAAGAGTCTGGATGGCATGGTAGCCCGTCTCCAACGGTTACAAAATACTATTGATTTGCGGAGCAATTTCTACGACAAAGGAATGCGCATATTGGCCATGGCGCGGAAGAACCGTGTGGATGAGGAAGAAGAACGCACGAGGACGGACGAGGATGAGCGCGAAAAGAAAAACAGAAAGAAGCGCAAGGCGGCGGATTCTTTGGCGCCTCAAGATACGAAGCCCGGTGCGTTTTTAGCTCCACCCATCCACCTCCGGCGATATTTCGTTGGACCCTCATTAAAACTTGATAAACATTCTCTCCTTTCGAAACAATTCCCTCTTGCTAACGTCATCTTTTTCTCTCCTTTTTATAGAACGATCTTCCCCACTGCGCGAATCAACAAAGGCGAAGAAGCACCATCGCGAAGAGTCGGTCAGTTCTTCACTCTCAACAGCTGCGCAAGCATCCCCAACAGCCATGGAGGTCGATGAAAAAGCAAAGGCCGACGAGAACGAGGAGGAGTCGAGCTCCGATGACGAATCGCGACCACCACGACCTATGCTTCCCCAAAGCAATACTTTTGGCGACGATCCTTCGACCTTCCCCGACCCCACAGTGTACGAGATTCGCGATGTTGTCCCGGGCATGTCGGAGGACGAAATAAAGGAGATTTACTCGGTTGTTAAATACCCTAAGAGCGATTTAGCAAACCTGATTGCTGGCGACCCTCCCGATAAAGATTTCAGTAACGCCAAACCCGCGAATCAAATCAGTTTTAGTACTTTCTCTTCTTACGTCGAGCCGTATTTCCGCGCCTTTTCCGAGGAAGACCTAGCATTCCTAAGAGAACGAGGCGATCGTGTCACGCCTTTCACAATGCCGAAGAGGGGGAAGAAGCACTACACGGAAATTTGGGCGGAAGAAGACGGTGCGATGGCTATCGACTCTCACTCCACTAGAGACAGGCTGCCTCCAAACCAGCCGCGTGGCTCCATAGAGATCATGGGTGATGATGTCGGCGAAACCGATAAGCTGTCAGTCGGCCCACTCCTTAGCCGCCTACTACAGGCTATGCGACCAGAAGCGAGAGCGCCGCCAAGCGAGGATCGATCGAATGGTGTCAATGGCGACGCTGTAATGAGCCTAGATATGAACGGAGACACGGGTGAGAGCGGCGCAGCTGGCGACGACAAAGCAAGTTCCCTTGCGCCTGCAACCTCGATGCCCGAGTCATCGACGGAGGCATGGAAGAAGGCTTCGCATCCCAAGCTCGAATACGGCCAGGTCGACGAGCGTCTCAAGCAAGAACTCCGCCATATCGGCTTCCTCGCACCTGACGGTAACTTCGAGGCCGAGTACGACGGGCACTTCGACGACGAAGTCTCCGCCCGCTTACGGTTGTTGCAGGAGCGCTTGCGCGAGCAGATGCTCATCAACGGGGCGCGCAAAGCTCGCCTGACGGAGCTTGTCAAGGAACGCATGGCCCACCAGGAATATCAGACTATCCTGGAAGATCTGGACCTGCAGGTGCAAAGCGCTTACCTGAAGCGCACACGTACGATGGGCAAGAGCAAGAAAAACAAGCGGCCCGGCGGTGCTGGCGGCGGCAGTCACCTCGTTGGTGCGGCGGGCACGGCGCGGCCTGGTATCGGCGATCTTACGCGGACGCTTATGGAGCGCCGGCGTCGGTGGATCGATACTATTGGTTCCGTCTTCGACGACGAGAATCTCGGGAAAGTGCCTCGCAACACGGAGCCCGGCAGCTCCATATTTCAGCCGCCGGAGATGGCGGGGCTTATTAAGAAGGAGAAGGAGCAGTGGGATGAGGAGGTAGATGATGAAGAATGAGTGGGCAGCCACAAAACAGCTTGAGGACTTCTGCCCTTGCCATGAAAGTATACTTAGACTTCATTTAAGCAGTTATCGATTTATGACAGGGATTGGTTGGCTTGTTTTATGGCGTTGGGGGTTGGAACATTGGAATTAGGGGCGGAGGGAACGGTTTACTACTGCTACAGCCACGCGTTGTTTGGTTTTGACTTGATCAATTCAATCCAATGCTTTGTTCCACATTCTAATTCCGCATCTGTTGACCGTTACTGCGTATGTGTGAATCGCCTGGCCCGTTTCCGAGAGATAAAACCGGTCTCGGCACTACATTCAAGATACGCACTCCAATGTTTCGAAGGCGCTGCAGACTCCCCTTCCAGCATGCTCTCTGAACATGCATGCAGTGCTTGGTTGGGCGCAGCGGGATGCATCAAGATGCTACCTAACAAGTCGACAATCTGGAGATGCGGGAAAGACTATCTGGATTGATTAGTTATCGGCCTCTTATCTACTATAGACAACTTGAAGTGCCATGTACGAAGTTACTGAAGAGTACATGGACAGATAGACCAGATGACGTTGTGGTATTTATATTACCTAGTAACAACGATAAGCCAAACGCAGAACAGAACATCAACGGATCAGTGGCGCCAGCTCCTGATAAGCTTCTCCCCACTCCGTTCCTGGCTTCGCACGCAACACTCGGAGCTTCTCTACCTTGATTGATTTTCGACCTTGCTTTTGCAAGTGGCTTCTTGAATCTTTCAGTCGGGAGATCACTTTTCATCCGTCGTTGCTCCTTGTAAATGTACCTCAATCCTGGTCGCTGCCAGCCATCGCCCAGTAGCTCTAGAAGCCCTTTGCCAGAATGCATCTCGCCCCGAAGGAGGTTCGTTCGGACCCCGCCGTTGCCAAGAATTATTGGTACCCCCCGCGAAGTCTCCGTCAGCTTTTGTGGACCGTAGATCTAACAGCCATGCCCACGTCAACAGCTCGATAAGCTCCTCGTCTCGCAGCTTGGCCAGCTCGCGCAACGTCGCCTCGCCAGGGGCGTAAAGCTTAACCACTCTGAAGCAACGGTAGATCAATCCAATTGACATTCTCCGGCCAGAGCTTCCTGCACTGGAATGGGCTTGACAAAGCCATGAAGCAAGCTAACATATGCATGCACTTGTCCACTTCCCCAGGCTCTCATTGCCAACAATATTCAGGAGCTCATCCGCGATGGGCACCATACCGTCTCCGATCTCATGAGTCTCGGCTCAACGATGCTGGGTCGTCGTCATGTACTCCCTTCAGTGCCCAGCACTTGCCATAAAATTCAGGTCGAAGGAACGTTTCCCTCCGGAACCTACCTTGTGACGATCGACAACCCAATTAGGACGGACGATGGTAACCTCGACCGCGCACTATACGGAAGCTTCCTCCCCATCCCGAGCGATGATCTTTTCCCGATGCCAGAGGCGAGCGCTTACGCGGCTGAAAATGCGCCTGGTGCGGTTGTCGCTGTAAAAGGAGTGATTACATTCTCCGAAGGTAGGAAGCGCCTCAGACTCAAGGTAACGAACCAAGGGGACAGGCCAATCCAGGTAGGATCTCACTATCATTTTATCGAGACGAACCCTCACCTCGTCTTTGATCGCGAGAAGGCCTACGGGTACCGTCTCGATATCGCTGCTGGCACGTCGGTGCGTTTTGAGCCCGGCGACACCAAGACGGTGACCCTTGTTGAGATTGCTGGGAACAAAGTCATCAGGGGCGGTAATAACCTCGCCAGTGGAACCGTGGAGCACTGGAGGATCGAAAATATTGTGCAGCATTTGCAGTCAAGGGGTTTCGGGCACTTGCATGAGCATTTGACAGCCGACATGAGTCTTATCCAGCCGTCGACTATGTCTAGAGACATATACGCTGCTACTTTTGGCCCGACGACGGGAGATCGCGTGAGACTAGGTCTTACGGACCTGTGGGTCAAGGTTGAGAAGGATCTTACGGTCTACGGAGATGAGTGTAAGTTCGGCGGTGGAAAAACACTGCGAGAGGGCATGGGCCAGGCTACGGGGAGGCGAGACTCCGTGTCGCTTGATTTGGTGATTAGCAATGCTCTGATTGTCGACTGGACCGGTATATACAAGGCCGACATTGGCGTGAAGAACGGTATGATCGTTGGCATTGGGAAGGCCGGCAATCCGGATGTCATGGAGGGAGTAACCCCTGGTATGGTCGTCGGCAGTTGCACGGATGCGATTGCTGGGGAGGGCAAGATTATTACGGCCGGTGCAATCGATACGCACATTCATTATATCTGTCCCCAACAGGTTTCGGAGGCTCTCGCTTCTGGTGTCACTACGATGCTTGGCGGAGGAACGGGTCCAAGGTCAGTGACTGAGCGCCTGCTCCCACGTTGAAAGGGACAAAAAAAAAGCATCAATCACTAACTCCATGGTGAAGTGCTGGTTCTAATGCGACCACTTGCACGCCTGGTAAGAACTACATCAAACAAATTCTCCAAGCCTGCGATACCCTGCCTGTAAATATTGGCATCACGGGTAAAGGTTGCGACAGCGGTCCCGCAGGTCTCCGAGATCAGATCAATGCGGGCGCCTGCGGCTTGAAAATCCATGAAGACTGGGGCGCCACACCCGCCGCTATTGACAACTGCCTCAGCGTTTCCGACGACCTAGACGTCCAAGTGCTCATCCACACAGATACCCTCAACGAGTCCGGCTTCGTCGAGTCCACGATCGAAGCCATCAACGGACGCACCATCCACACTTACCACACAGAAGGCGCCGGCGGCGGTCACGCACCCGATATCATCTCCGTGGTCGAGCATCCCAATGTTCTCCCCTCATCGACCAATCCCACGCGTCCATTCACGATCAACACGCTCGATGAGCACCTTGACATGTTGATGGTGTGCCATCACCTTTCCAAGGATATCCCCGAGGACGTTGCTTTCGCCGAGTCTCGTATCAGAGGCGAGACGATTGCGGCCGAGGATGTTCTTCATGACCTTGGTGCCATTAGCATGATGTCCAGTGACTCGCAGGCTATGGGTCGCTGCGGGGAGGTTATTCTGCGAACGTGGACGACCGCGCACAAGAACAAGATTCAGAGGGGTGTGCTTCCCGAGGACGAAGGAACCGAAGCAGATAATTTCAGGGTCAAGAGATACATATCCAAGTACACCATCAACCCAGCACTCGCGCAAGGTTTTAGTCACCTTATTGGGAGTGTTGAGGTGGGCAAGTTGGCGGATCTTGCCTTGTGGGACCCGGCTTGGTTTGGGACGAAGCCTGAAGTTGTGATCAAGGGTGGCCTCATTTCTTGGGGCCAGATGGTAAGCCACCACTTCGTTCAAGAGACGCAGCCTTTTGGCGGTGAACCTAATTCTTTTGTTCTCTAAAAACAGGGCGACGCAAATGCCTCGCTACCAACGGTGCAGCCGATCATCGGTCGCCCTATGTTCGGAGCTCGAGTTCCCGAGTCAAGCGTGCTCTTCGTCAGTAACTCTTCCATTGAAAACGGCTCCATCGCGTCGTACGGCCTGAAGTCGCGCATTTCGGCGGTGAGGAATTGCCGGAATGTAAGCAAGCGGGATATGAAGTATAACGATGTGATGCCGAAGATGAAGGTCGACCCGGAGAGTTATACGGTGGAGGCGGATGGGAATATCTGTTCCGCGGCTCCTTCTGAGACGCTGCCTTTGACTCAGGCATATTATATGTACTGAGCATGAAATTGCATATTATCGATGGATACAGAAAGAGCGGTAAATGCGTTAGTTTTGGGTAGGAGTAGGGTGAATACAAACGCCACAGAAATATACATATATAAATCAATAATATCGTTTCGACAAAACAAGAGGGAGCCGCACATTGACTTGTCCTCGTCAACGGTGTTCCTGGTAAGAGTGGCCACTCTCGAATTCTTTTCACTCTCTCGGTTGGGTTAGTGCCCTACCTGAGTCCAAGTCTTTCATCGAGCGCGAGATATTTCCCCTTCGTACTAACCAACCTTAACCAGAGACCTATCTTATAGAGATATACGTATATAAATGGCTTCCAGTCGTAAAAAGCCTCAAAACGCACATATTAACTTGTCCAGAATAGGTATTAAATATCCAACCCAACTTATAAGCCTCGGGTATTGTATCGTACACTATGATGGAGCAGAGTCTCTAGATGCTCGCAGCCCTATTAACTTATGACCACTAGATACAGATACCTCTTCTAGTGGTAGAATCGTGCAGGGTCTTCATACATCTCTCCTCCTGGTCGGTAAGCACCACTAATCTTTATCAACCAGCGTGCACTGCTCAATCAAGAGTGGCTTAAGAAGTGCCTAGAGCGACTCACGGGGATGGCTATCTTCATTCGTACCCAAGTCTCCAACCAGTCTCTTTATCTGGAACACCACAATTTGGTACCTCGTGTCATCTGCCGAAGGAAATTTACAAATTCCACTGTGGTCGGCAGCAACTGCGATGTCGAGTTCGTTCGGCCACCCCAAGATGGCGGAGTCTCTCTCGACAACCTATCAAGACTTTCCTGTTAGCTTTCGAGATCATACTGGTAACGAAGTCTACGACTCGACTGACGCGATAATTGAGACCCGGCATGAACTCGGTCTCGTAGAAGCTGACGATGGCAAGCTGGTCTCCTCTGTGTGCAAAAGAATCCGAAATGTGCATCAACATCTTTGAATTTATCCTCAGATCCTTGGGCAGTTTCGTATTCGACAAAAACCCAAGAGTACCGAGCTTTACCAGTCTCGTACCGATCTGGTCCCAGGGGGCCAGACTCGATCCCCGATGAGAGGTTCCGAAAAATACAAGACCTCGTATATTTCTCAGAATGTGTGAATAGAATCGATCCTTCTCATGGGCTTGAATAATCGCCTGGCATAGTCAGTAAACGGAATGCTGCCTAACTCATATACATGTTCTACCATATGTCTTATCCACACACGGAGACGCAAAAGAGCTGGGGGCGTGCTACCTGTTTGACCACCAATCCACCCAAATGGTGGCACAGAAACACTATCGGCCTCGCCAGCTCCGCTCTATGGAACCTTTTGGTGCTGACCGCTGCCAGCAGCTCCGACGCGAAATCGCGGACATCAGCGTCAGATCGGCTAAAGTAGGTTGTGGAATTGTAACCGAATGTTAAGATTCGAGCTTTGGGTATGTCTTTTCGTAAGCAGGACTCATGCGTCAACCAGTTAACTCCGTTTGTCGGGTCGGTCCCTGTTCCATCGCAGTCGCCATTAAGACCGTGAACAGCAATAATATCTACGCATTGTGCATCGGCCGGCTCCTGGTCGACAAGAACCTTCAGCACGAACGCCGAACCCTTGGCCGCGGTTGTCGTTTCCTCTTCTTTCTTGTCATTGGGATTCGGTGGCGATGGGGATAGACTGTTGAAGGAGGCCGTTGAGCTGCCAGCCTTTTTACCGGGATTAGTAGTAAGAGATCGGAGCCACTGCCGCATTGATGGCATTTCACAGCGAGGTCTTTGCAACGGCACCCAAAGTTCAAGTTGCAAAGGTGATGGAGAGCTTTGTTGTCCGGAGTCGGTCACGTCCGAGTGACGGGAAAAAGCGGAGCCCGAACCGGTGCCCGAAGCTCTTGTCTTGCGTTCGTTTTAGTTAGAGCTTCGGGCATCGTGACTCTGTCTCTGGAAACACATCCCCCTTCTTTTTCTGCGGGGTAAAGGAGCCCCAACGGCAGGCAGAAAGTCATGCGCGGGCTAGACCAGCCATGGCACTCTGAAGGAGCCTTGAATGTTTCAGTTGGGAGTATTGATTGATCAGGCAGAGGCGCAACAACGCAGCCTGATAACTGGCCTGGCTATGTCTATCTTGGCATCCACACTAATACAAAGGTATCGGCTGAAGGACGAGGAGCATATTGGTCTGTCGCCTGGCTGTATAATACACAAGTTCCTGCTGCAATGGGCATTTTAGCGCCGCATCCTATGGACGGTGGACGGTCCTGGTATTAGTGACATTGCGGGCGTTTAGCATGGCGTGGCGGTCAGGGAAATCTGCCGCACAAATATCTTTCACCGCCTGCCAAATGTGCCGCAAATTTCCCTCCAAGTTCCCAAAGGTCGCGGGCGATTTTCCTCTCATGACGAACCTCCCGTCAAGCAATGTCATAACGGTACCCCGTCCACAGCCGTCGTGATGGTTCGCTCACGGGCTGTTTCTCCCTTCTTCGCCCAATTGCGGCCCTCGCGACTCCCAATCTCCCAATTGCGCCCAGCAGCGCAACAATCAATCCGCCGTGCCCTCTCCACCACCACCCGCCTCCGCCGTGCCGCCCCTACTTCGTCAGACCACCAATCCAAAGCCGAACCCCCCGACCACCGCCGCCTAGGCGCCCAACAGAAACTCTTCACCACCTCGATATACAGCCCTGGCTCGCCCTTGCTCCTCCCCCACGGCAAGCGAATCGCCAACCGACTCGTCGACTTCCTCCGCAAGCAGTACGTCCGCTACGGCTTCGACGAGGTCGACACGCCGACCATCTACAAGAAGTCTCTGTGGGAAAAATCCGGCCACCTCGAGAACTACGCCGACGACATGTTTTCCGTGACGAGCAACCCGCGCACCTCTTCGTGCTGCGGCGGCCACGAAGAAGCCGCCGCCGAGGAGGACGAGGGGGACTACGGCCTGAAACCCATGAACTGCCCCGGTCATTGTCTCATCTTCGCCTCGGAGCCGCGAAGCTACGCCGACCTGCCCATACGCTACGCCGACTTCAGCCCCCTGCACAGGAACGAGGTCTCGGGCGCTCTGTCGGGCCTCACGCGCGTGAGGCGCTTCCACCAGGACGACGGCCACATCTTCTGCCGGCCGTCACAGGTCGAGAGGGAGATTAGGCGGTCGCTGGGTTTCGTGCGCTTCGTGTACTCCGTGCTGCAGATCGGCGTGAGCTACCGGCTTGCGCTATCGACAAGACCGGCGGATCATTTCATTGGTACGCTGGAGGAGTGGGATCGCGCGGAGGAGGCGCTAAAGAGGGCGCTTGATGCGTCGGGTCAGGCGTGGAGTGTCAATGAGGGTGATGGTGCTTTTTACGGCCCTAAGATTGATATCATTATTAAGGATTCGGATGGCAAGGAGCATCAGACGGCGACGATCCAGCTGGACTTCCAGCTGCCCAAGCGCTTCGGCCTCAAGTACGAGGCTCCCGCGCCGGAACTTGAGGCTCGTGGCGAGGAGACGACGGATCCGGAGTTGCTAGCGACGAACGGCTACGTCACGCCCGTGCTCGTCCACCGCGCCGTGCTGGGTTCCGTCGAGAGGCTCATGGCGCTTTTGATCGAGCGATACGACGGGAAGTGGCCCTTCTGGCTGAACCCCCGCCAGGTGGCCGTGCTGACCGTCAACGATGAGCCGGCTACCTTGGCCTGGGCGAATACCGTGCGGAACGTCCTCGAGGGCCACGATGGCGAGGAAGGACTAGAGACAGGCGCCGTCAGCGAGGGTATGAAGCAGCCGACCGGCTTAGCCGTGGACCTCGACTTGAGGCCTATTACCATGGGGAGGAAGAAACTCCAGGCCGACGGGAAGGGGTATGGTCTTATTGTTGCCATTGGCGCGAGGGAGGCGGCGGATCGCACCGTTACCGTTTCGGGGCCGAGTTTGCCTGGAGGTGGAAGGAAGACGATGACGCCGGAGGAGTTGCTGGCTATGATGGAGAAGATGGTTGCGACGTTCCAGTGATAGCGGAACACTGGCCTACGAACGGAGATAAAAATCTCTCTTGCCATATACCTCACATGGCGTGTAACTTATTTTGACATGTACTTTAGAAAGAAGAAGAGGAGTGTAAGAGCTTTCAATGATTAGACGTCCTAAGCATAGAACTCCGTTTTCTCCCATTGACTTGCACATCTTCCATGCAAGAGTAATCCTTTAAAATATGAATAAAAAAACAAGATGGGATATCATGCCGAACCACCCGAGCGCCGAAACCCAACCCAAGATAATGATAAAACAAAATAACTGAAGCAATGTTTCCCGGCCCACCATTCCCTTTCCCAACCTTCTATCACTCGTTATACGTTCCGCGTAGTCTCTCGTCCTCTCGTCCCCTCCTTCTCTTTCTCTCACCTTGTTTTTCCTTCGTCGTTTGTTTCCATTTCCGTAGAGTGTGACGTTTCGACTCTTTCCGCGATGCGAGTGGCGCTTCCTTTCTCTATTAACGCGACGATGCGTTCCAGCCTATATAAAGCCAACAAAGGACGGTAGGTTGAAAAAAGAATAAAAGGAAAAAAATTGCAATGAGAAGTCGACAGGGTTTCGTTGCGAGGTTCCGGTATCAGTCGCTTTTGTTTCTCGACGCCGGGGCGATTTGCGTTTTACTTAGCACGACAGAGCAATGCAACGTGGTTAGCTTTAGGTATGGAAGTGGAGGGTAACAACGCTCCTGACGGGAAGGGGGAGGTTGCGGCGTTCTGTGGCGACTCACTAGACTTTAAACTTCTCGGGTACATCGCCGCCGTGGCTCTCAATCTCCTCGACCATGCGCTGGTTCTCGGCGAGTTGGTCGCGCATGAACTGGACGGTGCGCTTGAGGACGAGGCCTTCGGAGCGGCCTTGACCTTCGAGACCGGGAACGAGTTCGGTGAGGCGGTCGAAGCCTTCGCGGATGGCTTGTCTTCGTTTTTGTTCTGCGGAGTGAGCGAAGGGACGTTGTTAGTTTCTTTCCTGTGGAATGGAATGGCTGCGTATGTTGCATGTGTGGGCGAGTTGCAAGTGCATGTGGGTGTGGCGCAGATTAGGTTAGGATAGGGCCGAGGAAGAGGGGGAGAGAGTGGGTGAGAGAAACAGGGAAGTAAGAAGCCATGCGACAAGGGTTGATGTCCTTAACTAGGGGCACTTGGTGGAAAGGGAGACCAGGGACTCAACTCACCCGAGGCGATGTGGTTCATCTTCTTCTCTGATTCGGTAAGGCGAGGCTTCTCCTCGGGCGGTGGCGCGGATTGGCGCTCTTCTGATGATGATTTGGAAGTTGCCATTGCGGAAGAGGTTGAGCGGTATGATAGGCTCGCAGGGTCAAGAAAGTACTTCGTAGTAAAAGCAGTCCGTAGTAAGGGCAGATTATAAAAAGGCGGCAACAAAAAACTGGGTATATCTGTGAAAGATCAAGATGGGTTGGGAGTCAGAAGGGTTCCCCACGGGAGGTGCGCCAACCTCGACTAAGTAGCTCGGTCAAGTTGCTGCTCGGTGGAGGACGTGAAAAAATACCGAGTCAGAAAAAGAAATACCCTAGGCCCTAGGTTAAAAAAAGGTCGAGCGACAAAAGACCAAGGGAACGACCAAAAAAGGCCGACGCGAGGTAAGGATGCGCAGTCCGGACCCTGGAAGTTGTCTGCTTGTGCCTGGCATCTGCTTGTGATCGATCAATGTGTAGTTGCAATTTTAGCCCAGTCTCAATCGCAAATCGAAAGGCACCTAATGACGCTGGCATGTGATTGATTCCCCCACAGGGCAGAGCCAGGACGGGAAGTGCGGTGCAGCAGAGGTGCAGAAAGTGCAGAGTGGGTACGAGAGTACGAAATCTGGTGGGAGGAATCGAATGTTGGTCGCACTGGACTTGAACTTTCCCGAGTCGCACACTTGCTAATTACTTCCTGGTCTGAGCGTTATGACTAATCTATGGAAGGTTGTCCTTTGGTCTTGCCCCTTGCAGCGGAGGCACCAAGGCTCTCCTTCCCACAGGCGACAGGGGGGGATTTGGGCTAATACCGGGCTAACTACGGCCCTGCTGGCTATGACGCAGAGGACCGTACGAAGTACAATTGTACCTAATATTGTCTAACAAAGCATGTTGGGAGTGGAGCCCAGCGCCGGCCTTTGGCGGGGCAAGGCGGGGTACTTTTTGACCTTGACCAAACCTCTAAAGCGCCTCCAACTGATCTTCGATCTTTGCTGGATCGGGCCTCAGGTTTTCGGAGAATTTGAATAGCCTCAGCTTCCTCTTTCCTACCCTAGCCAGGTTGGCCACGTTAAATCCACTACGACCATGGCGGACTCCAAGGACGCCGACGCCCCTTCCAGCGGGCCTCCAAAAGGGAACCCTCCTCCAAGATTCAGACTCAAACCTCTAGATATCCCCGTCCTCAAGCATCTCAGGTCAAAGCGCGTCATACTTGCCTCCGCCTCACCACGTAGAAAAGCACTCCTGGGTCAAGTAAGCTCGCTCCCTGTTATTGTTCCACCACCGCACCCTTCCCCTATAACCCGTCTAACAAAATGCCCCTCGCCCTGTCTAGGTCGGCCTCGTCAACCTCGACATCATCCCCTCCACCAAACCCGAAAACGTCGACAAAAAATCCCACACCCCCGCCGAATACGTAACCGCCACCGCCATCCAAAAATGCCTCGACGTCTACGAGCTCGCCGTACAATCCCAGCCCGAAACCCGCGACGACGCCACTGAACCCCGGCCGGACCCGTCCCTCGTCATCTCCGCCGACACCATCGTCGTCTCGCGCGACGGCCGCATCCTCGAGAAACCCCGCGATCGCGCCGACCACATCCGCATGCTTCGCCACCTGCGCGATACGCGCGTGCATAGCGTCTTGACCGCCGTGTGCGCCATAGCGCCCCGGGAGGATGCGCAGTATCCGGGGTACGTGATGGAGACGCATACGGAGGAGACCAAGGTTTATTTTGCGAGGGAGTCGGATGGGTTGCCGGATGATGTTATTGAGGCGTATGTTTCGACGGGGGAGGGCGTTGATAAGGCGGGGGGTTATGCGGTGCAGGGGATTGGGGGCATGTTGTTGGTTGAAAAGGTGGAGGGGAGTGTAGATAATGTTGTGGGGTTGCCGGTTAGGCAGTGTCTTGCGCTTGCTGAGAAGGTCATCTTTAGACAGGACGGGGAGTCGGAGGGTGAGGACGAGTGATGGGGAGAATCAACGATTCTCAGCTTTCATGGCCTGGGTTAGATAGATAGGAAAACTACATAACGCTTTGTCGGGAGTGGAAGATGGAGAACGATATCAGCAGTCTCCTTCCACCCAACCCTCGATTTTACTCACTTTTCACTCTAGAATTGTCGATCCCGATAATTAGAGGGCAGTAACTTGGGCGGTTTTTGAAAAATAACACATATCAAGACAGGCGATAACGGGATCAGCTAGTTTCGTGCCTACAAGCGCAAAACTGTCATAGATCTACAACGACTCCAAACAGAGCCCTCCCCTCCTCAGTTATAGCTTTCTCGATGATGCTTATAAGGACTAAGATATGCAAGGAGACGAGCCTATGCAAAGCAGAAAAACAACCCCAAAACGCCGAAAAGGAACCCAAGTTGCTCAGAGGTGCCGTTTCATCCACCGCGCTCGCTCATATGTAACTTTTTAATGTAATAACAAGAACCAAATAATGCCTTCACTTCTATCCGCCCAATTCCTCCTCAGGCCCCCTTAAACATCCCATTAACGCGTTTTAAGTACGCATCGGCCTTCTTGTAACTGTAAGTAAAGCCCAAGTCCTTCCAATCACCTCTATGTGTGTGTTTCTTGCAATACATAGCTTTATATTCCGAAGCCGTGGCCGCTGCCTCTCGGGCCCATGCGTCGGTGTTGTATGGAGAGTGTCTTATCAGTTTCGCATGAAAGTCTACTCAGCCTTCCTGGTCGCGGATCCGTTGCTCTGACCATAGAGCGTACGTAGCTTCTCTCTGGGGATCGTCAACGCGTTGATGCCGAGGTAGTTGCAGATGCTCGTGATAACCAAGTACGCCCATCTAAAGTAAACGATAGCGGCGAAGACGAAGTAACCGTAGAGATAGTACAACTCGGCCTGCGCGCTGATCTGGGGGAACCCAAGGAGGGGGAGGTTGCCCAGGATCGCGCCTCCTACGAGAGGCCACAACATGACGGTCCAGTAGGGGAATGGCTGCCTCGTAAGATGAGCCAGAATCATCTTGGTAGTCATCCTTCCAAAAACGAACGACATGGTAAGGCAAAATAGAACGAGGTGGTTCTCCTCCCTCAAGGTCGAGTAAGGAGAATAGAGCCAGGCGCCAATAGAAAGCGTGTAGACGGCCATGGGGGTCCATTCGAGGAAAACGGGAGCGATGGGCAGGCCTTTCGCACGGCGAGCCTTCACGACGTTCAGGACGCAGAACGGAACGTGTGTAAGGAAGAGAGAGAGGAGAATGAGCCGGATCCAGATGTCACGGAAGGTAGTATCGCCGATAGCCTCGGCATAGCCAAACAAGTACCGCTCGCCTACGAGATCGACGATAGGTTCCGTCCAGATGCCGGGGCCATAAATGCCGGAAAGTGCCATGATCGAGCACGCGATTAGAAGACCCTCGGTGGGGCCATTGATGTAGCCCAGGTAGAGGGTGTGGGTGTGGTAGGTCTCCCATGTGGAAAAGAACATGGCCAGACAGGGGCAGAGAGCGGTGAAGACGCCGGACTTGGAGTTGCCGAGACCCATGGCAGCGGTCTCGAGAAGACTGGCAAGGGTGCAGTTTAGGGAGTCGATTCCGTGGTCGAAGAGTTCGCCGAGGCCGCTGGAGGTGCCGGTTCGCCTCGCCTGCTTTCCGTCGACGTTATCCATAGTCTGGTACATGAACAAGCCGAAAGCGAAACTCAGGTAGAGCCACGATGGTCCCTGGGCCAGTTAGCTGAGAGTACACATGAAGATGCTTACAAGCTATTCGTCCGGCACGGCAAGCGCTGTAACCATAGGTACTAGTCACACAAAACTCGGTGCCGTTCAGGGGAAATTTCGACTTACGGGTCCTACGAGGTCGGGCATGTAGATGACAAGGAGGCCAACATTTCCCAGGATGAAGAAGAACCCAAGAAGGGTTACCATGTTTGGCGCAAGCCATAGCGGTAATAACTTGACGAAGGCATTCCACTACACAGGAGGACAAGTTAGTCCAACCGAATCGAGCAACAAAGTATAAGAATCGACTCTCAACGGTATCCCTCTCTATTTTCCGAGCAAGAGAATGCTAGGGAGGGAGGGTTCGGTGAGAGCATCGGCGCTGGTGGTCGGCGGGGCAGGGATTTTTAGGAAGGGTTGAGTCGTACATAGGGTCCCAGGATATAATAGGAGATGGGGGATTTATCGACGGAGGAGTATTTGTAGGTCTTGAGATGTACTAGGGCCTCGTCGGAGATGCACTCGGCAATCGCTTCCCCTACACATTATCGCAACACGGGAATTAGCTAGCAGTCCTTTGACTGGGCGAGGGTACGGGTTCGGAGGGAGGCTCCGAATTAAGCATACTTTTGCTAGGAGCCATTGCAGCGGATTCGGAGGGAGGCGTCGGCGTTGGCTATGGTAGAAGGCGGACACGCGCGGGAACGGAAGAAAGTTTGGTCAAGGGCAAGCGTGTTTGTTATAACAGACGCATTGTCACAGGCAATGAACGAAAAGGGAAAAGGAAGAAAAAAAAAAAAAAAAAAAACCTGAAGGTCCAAGACGCGGGAGGCTGGAGAAAGAAGTTGTTGGCCTGGCCAGGAAGGGCGGGAGAGGTATGGCGGGGGTAAAGGATAGGCGAGGGCTTGAAGCGATGAGGCGGAAAAGGGTGACGGTGTTGGCACTAGGTGAACCCGGCACAATTGCAAGAGCTGGACCACGGACGAAGGAAGGGCTTTCTTTGTGCTGTGGGTTGGTTGGTGCCGTCAGGGACAGATCTATCAGGGTTGAGATTGGTGCAATATGGACAATAAGGGTCCTGCCCCCACCCACTCACGACACTATGCAGACTTCGAAGTAATAGACACACCCACTACTTCGTAGTGTATGTAGTATAGACGAAGTTTTACGTAGCACTCACTAAAATAGGCACTCTTGTTAGAGGATGTTCCTTGCCTGGCGACAAAGTTTCTAGCGTGCAACCCCTGGAGAAATTACTGCAAACAGCGGCTGTTGATGTCACTTTATACCTGTGTATCGGCCACCTAGCTTGGAAAGTTTGCAAGACCTCGTGCGTTCCTAATCTTATTTCACCATCCAATAAAGAGAATGTGCCTCGATTATCCACCCGGATCTTGCTCCCTCGAAGTCCATTTTGCTATGATGTCGTTCGAGAGTGCTGTGTTTCTATCTCTGATGCCAGGGTCATGGGAGATGAAAGCCGCATCCTCCTTCAGCTTTGTGGGTAGGAGTAGAAGTACACTTGTTCAAAAGTCCGCCTTACGAAGTACAACTCAAATATTGATCAAGATCAATTCCTTTCTTCGATCTTGATTTAGCTTGCCCTACTTTTGTATTCTGGAGGGCATTGGACCCCCTGAGCTGAGTCCAGCCCCTGGTAAACGATACAAACTACTTTGACTTTGTACACGTACAAATTACAGGGGTCCGCCCTAGTCGCTTCTCAACAAATTCGGCCTCACAAAAAGGCCAGTGAAGCTTCGCGTTCTGGCATGTGAAAGTGAAGCTTCGTTGACTGGCTCAGATTAGAATGACCGGTGACGTCCTCACACACACACGACACCTTTCAGCTGTCAGGTGCCGAGCGTCATCATCGAGAATCCTGCTCCGTTTCGGCCATGTGGGTTTGAAGGAGAATGGGTTTGGATCCAAGAGGTCTCAGATATTGATACTTGTACACGTCTAGAAGCGCGGACGGGGAACTCCCTGATTCCATCTAGGGTATTTTAATTCTTGCCGCCCTTCCAAGCAATTCCCGCCGATCTAAAACCTCTGGAATGCAAGTGTAAATCCCAGAGCCGGTGCCTGGCTAAGACCCCACTTGCGGGGGAAGAGAGTCGTCGTCTCAAAATCCTCGCGAAACGACGAAGTGGACTTGGCAAGCGGTATCGAGGTCTGGGAGGAGAGAGAGGCCGAGCGAAGAAAGATCCAAACTGTCAAAGCATCTTTAGAGATGGAATAATCCCGAGTTATGCTATGAATAAAAAGAGGTGGATTGTTGCCGGTCTTCATAGCGTAAAGTTGTGTCGATTGATAATATTGTTTTCAATGTTCGTTGCTACATCTGTATGGAAGCGACCAAAAAAGTTTGGGACAGTTTGCAGTTTAACCAGCACCAAAGGTGCAGTGCGCATTTCCTGCCATCGCCTTGGCAATTCACCACTTCAACTCGTTTTCTATGTCCCTTCGTTCGGGCAATCGCCATGAGATTCGCCAACCCATAGAGGACATGGCAAAATAATATGATTACCAGGTAACAATCATATGTTAGAAATATCCCGCGCCATGCCTCCTCTTTCCAAAACTCCCGGTTTTCCGGGCTTGGTCCCCTTCGCCTTGCGCATCCTCGTCGCCCTCCTTGCCCTTCTCGACCTCACAACCGCCTACACCGAACTCTCCGACGATGCCCTCCGCGGAATCCCATCAGCTGGCTCTGATTTCGACATTAAAGATGGCGCCCTCCTCGCGCCCATTCTGATCCCCCGAGTCCCCGGTACCGAGGGCTCCCGGATTGTCCAAAAACACTTCGTCGACTTCTTCCAGACGAACCTCCCCGACTGGAAGATTGGATTCCAAAACACGAGCGCGACCACGCCGACGTCGGGCAAGAAGAAAATCCCCTTCGTTAACCTCGTTTTTAGGCGAGATCCGCCTTGGGCCTCCGAGGGAGACGTCAGCCGTCTGACTCTTGTTGCGCATTACGATAGCAAGGTTGAACCCAAGGGCTTCATCGGCGCGACGGATAGTGCTGTCCCGTGCGCCGTGCTACTTCATGCTGCCCGAAGTATCGATGCGGCGCTTACGAAGAAGTGGGCTAATATGGTCGCGAACGGAGAGGCCGGCTCTGGGTTGGAGGAGGAGAAGGGCGTTCAGATTCTATTCCTCGATGGCGAGGAGGCCTTCGTTGCTTGGTCGGCTACCGATTCTCTCTACGGATCAAGGTAAGAGCGTCCGCAACAGCCCCGTGAATGTCCCTATGGCTTATCGTCTCTAACTTCTTTCCCCCTTGTCAAATAGGGCCCTTGCAGAGGCCTGGGAAGGCGAGTTCTACCCCGCCACATCAAACTTCAAGAACCCCCTCCGCTCCATCAGCCTCTTCGTCCTCCTCGACCTCCTCGGCTCGACGACCCCATGGCCCCGCGTGTCATCCTACTTTCTAACTACACATTGGGCCTACCAAGCCATGGCCAAGGTCGAGAAGCGCCTGAGAGACCTCGGTCTCCTTCAAACCAAACTCCCGCCTACCGCCGGCCTCTTCCTCCCCGACTCCAACAAGAAATCCAATGCTTTCACTCGCGGATACATTGAGGACGACCACATCCCATTCATGGCGCGTGGCGTAGAGATCTTGCACATCATTCCCTCACCGTTCCCGGACCAGTGGCACGACTCGAAGGGAATCCCCGACGATGGCGAGCACCTCGATATCCCGTCGAGTGACGATTGGGCTAAGATCGTCACTGGTTTCGTCGCGGAATGGATGGAGCTCGATAGCTACCTACCGAAGAAGGCTGGGGACAAGAGGTCTGTCAAGACAGAACTATGAGGGCTTTTTTTTTTTTTTTTCATCCCGTTGATAAATTTTCTAGGATTCCATCCCGTTGATGTATTTCCAAGATGCGATCTTCGGATGTGGGAAGCCATCCTTGTCCATTGCGATAGTTGCTGGCGTTTGGGGGATGTTACTTGGAATTGTATTGTACTATTTTGGTGAGCCATTTGGATTGTACCACGGGAGGAGGACGTATATAGTTTTCCAGAACATAAGATATTTCTTAAATATACGTAATATAATATTACGAATAAAACTAATGTAGAATACAAGACTACATAGTCAAAAATAAAATTGGCATAGTATATAAAACTAGGGTAAAATCTATCATAATAAAAAATTAAACTTAATTTAAATTATTAACTAAGCCCTGTATAGTTAAATAGTATAACTGGAACCCCTATTTAATACTTATTTTCTATAATTAAGCTACGTATAGTAATAAGAAAGCCATAAAATTATGAGTATAGTATGTATAAATTTAATATATTGTGTATATAAGTATGTAGTATACTATATATTCATAAAGCTTAATAATTTTTAAATTATTAAAGGACAAACATCCCTAGCGTAGCTTTTCCTATAATCCAAGATCTTTCCTTTTTCTTAGATTCTAATAATGACTTAATAGAATTTGATTCTTATATAATACCAGACTCTGATTTAGAAGTAAACACAAAGATTCAAATTTAGTGCATAATAAATATAAAGATAGTCATTTATTATCTAATTTAAATAATAATGAAGATTTCTTTATATTTTTAAAAAATATGTATAATATACATAACAAATATTTTAAATACACAATAACACTTATTATTATAAATAATGCATAATTAGTTACCATACCTGTACTTAAACCACTAACTGCTTTACTAATAAATAATAATAGTTTTTCTGCACCAAATGGTCCAACTAGTTCTTTGTATTATTTATATTAGTAGTATTTACTGTAATACTAGGAATATACCCTATGTTTTAAGTATGGGTGCTGTATTTGCAATGTTTGCGGGATGATATTTCTGAACACCTAAAATATTAGGTTTAAATTATAACTAGGCTCTTTCCTACTTGTGACACCCTCATGATTCACCTCTTAATCTGTAAACTGTAGAACTCCCATTGAACTGCTCGAGGTGCTTACAGTGCAAATTTGTCGTTATTATGTATTATATTTACAATTAATACTGTGTTTCGAGACTGCATGGAAGGGGTGGAGGAACGCAAGGTACGTACCTGCCGCGCTGGCAACTTGACGCAAGTTAACACGAAGCTCGAAAAGCTTCAAGTCCACATCCAGCAGTGACGACCTTCCCACGAGCCTTCCGACAAGCCTTCAACCCTCTCTTCCCCCCACCACCAACCCAACCCATTCCTTTCTTTTCCTAATTTCTTTTTTTCCGCCGCACATAACAGCATAGCAGTGCCACAACTCTGGTAGTTTCGAAGCAATGCGGATCCTCCAATCGCTGTCGACGCTGCTGTTGGTGGCCAGCACTGCGTACGCGGCCTCGAGCTGGGAATTCGATGATGCGACGGTTTCGATCAAGTCAAGGAAGGGCGCGGGCTTGACAGAAAAGTATAGCTCCTTGTACCCCATATCTACCCCCAAATTTGCAGTACTCGATGGAGTGGGCTAACATGGCCTTCGTGATTCAGATTCACACAAAAGGCGACCCTCTCGAAAGCGCTTCCTCTAGATACAACAGATACCATCAAAGTAGTGCTGAAGACCAAGGAGGACAGAAAGCCAAAGAAGCCTCATCAGGCTTTTGTCATTATTAAAGAGGAGGATACAGGTCTTGAGGCTCCATTTGCCTTTGCAGTCAAGGAGAGTGGAAAGGCAGTTGTTGAGATCGTATGTCCCCTCGCATGCCCTCAGACAAACAATTGTCCAATTTTAGAGAGGCCCACCCAACTGACTTGTTCTTTTTTTCTCTCTGGTATAGCCTCGCAAAGAACTCCCTGTTCAGCACCTCCTCTCCAAGAAGCCGCTCCACGCCAGCATCGTCATCGGCTCCTTCGGCTCGTCGGAAGGCCTCGTCCGCCCCGTCTTCGACATCGACCTTGTCGATAACCCAGCCGCGACCCCTCCGCAGTACGAGAAGCCCATCCGATATGGGAAGCTACCCGAGATCCACCATATCTTCAAGGCTCCAGATCGAGTTCCTCCCAAGATCGTCTCCATCTTCTTCACGCTCGCTGTCTTGGCACCCATCCCCGCCCTCTTCATCGGCGTAGGTCTCACTCGTTTTCTAGCTACGAAATTTCTTTTATTCTCTTTTGGAATTGAACTGACAATGACATCGGGTAGTGGATCGTGCTCGGCGCTAATCTCACCCACCTCAAGACCGCGTTCGCGGCTGCGCCCCTCTCTCATGCCATCTTCTTCGGGTCCATTGTTGCGATGGAAGCTTCCTTCTTCATGTATCACAGGAGCTGGAACCTGTTTCAACTACTTCCCGTTGCCGGCGTCATTGGTGTCATTACCTTCCTCAGCGGCACCAAGGCCCTAGGTGAGGTGCAGAGCAGGCGATTGGCGGGCGAGCGATAGGTGGACGATAGCAAGAGTAATGAATGGAGGGAGAACGAAAATACACCGAGCCTGTAAATGTTTTTAGCTCGTTATTGAAGAGGCCACGGCGGAGTGGTGATGGAAGGCAAGATAAAACAGAAACGAAATAAATCCCCACGTTTACGTTGTACAATACTTCTTTTTATTTAGGCATTCGGAGAGAAAGGATGGAGCCTCGGGTTGAGCGCCCAGGATCCCAAGAGACGAAATAGCGCTGGAATAAACATCGTGTTTTCAGACAATCTTGGGCGATTCATTTTCATGGCTCTCGCATTGTGGATGTGATGATGGGCAATTCTCTTCGCAGCCAAACTGCCTGGGAGACTACGGGTTCTGTTTTAGCATCTATTCGCAGCTTCCATCTCGACAATCGAATCAGTTGTGCTTTCTACTTTCAACTTTCTACTCCCAATCCAGGCATGACCCTCCTCGAAGTCCGCGGATCCTGCTTTCTTGTCTAGCAGAACTGGTGATAGATATCACTTTCCAAACTCATATTCAATGTAGTTCTCCTTCAGCTAGCAGCCATCTCTTCGATATTCCTTGCAGTGGCTAGAATTTTTCTCTCGTCATCTTCACCAAACCTACCTATTTTCAACAATAGCTCATCTGGTAAAGCGTCTTACAAACAGCTGAATAGCTAGGAATTCGCCTTTATCCAGCGCATTTATATTGTATCGATCAAGCAGAGGTAGTCCTTGCGAACGAACGGTTTTACAAGAGCCATCGCCAACAACCAATCGAAGCTTGCCGGCATCGCTCCTACCCGTCCTTCGATCTCTATACCACGCCAGGCAAAAGCCTCGCTTCACCCTACATCACGAAAAGTAAGGCAAAAGAAGACCGGCGGGAAGGAAAATCCACCACCTATCCACGATGTGCGAGATCCGACACATGAGAGCATGCGAGAGATGCCACCGAGTTTGCCAAGTCATAGTCCAAAATTGCATCAACATTGTCGACGAAAGCCTCCGCGGAACGTCCAGCGATGGCATCGAGACGCTTATGCCGGGCGAGGGGATCATGGACCTGAGGACGGTGGCGGAGTCGATTCACAGTGTTGTTTTCGAGTTTTGCTGGTCGCCGTTGGAAGGTTGCCGGGGCCTGCGATTCTCCGGAACTGTAGATGTCATGGACCTTTGTCGGACTTGTAGCGGGACGCTCGTGGGCCACCAACCTCAATGGGGACCGGTTGTGGGGGGTGGGCCGCCGCCAGGGCCGGGATTGATGCCGGCTAGTTGGCATTGATCCTTTGTATGGGCCGTGGGATTTATGTCGGGAGGGGACGAATATGGCAGTGGGTTATCATTCTGAGGTTGGATTTGAACCGATGGGGGTGATTGCGTGGAGGTAGGCGGAGCACTTATTAGAATGGAGGGAGTTACACTGAGTTCTGGTTCAGAAAGCGATGAACATGAGGTATCGATAAAGCCACTAGGCGTATGTCGATTAGCGTCTTCTCTCCCTTCTTTATTTTCGACAACTTAAAATCAATAACCGCGCTTAGCAACATCTATAGTTCGCAGAGTTCGGATTACTCCAGATGCGAATGTGTGATGTGACGAATCTGCCGATACTCTCTCTCCCATCCTCCTTAAGTGTACGAGGGCAGCTCCTGATACTTATGGTTGATCTCCATGCATTCCACCACGGTGGGTTCTAACATCTTGGAGCCAAATATCATTGCCCAGATCGGTTTCGAATCCACATAATCTACCGACTCTCTATCCCCAATGGCGCCGAGCAAGTACACGAAGCTCGGGGTACACGCCATATGTAGCTCGCCAAAGATATAAATGTGAATAATAGTCGCGACGACGGCGTTGGCTCATCGATAAGTCTGGATTTACAGGCGGACTACGTTGGCGCTTGCCGAGGTATTGCCCGATCGGAACTTCGGTCCGCTGCTATTGGCTGCGCATGGTTTTAGTGTGCAAGCAGGTCAGCTTCAACTTCACTAACACCAGACTAGGGACCATTTCTCTGCAACATAGCCTTCCTTCTTCTTTCATATCGCAATTTCTAGATCTTTGATTGTATCTCTGTACCGGATATACCGGATATACCGGATATACACGTTTATGCGGTTCTTCCTTCCTCCTCATTTTTCTTGCTATCATGATCGGGAAGCTTCTTAAAGGGTATCGCCATAGCCAAAACAGCTGCGGCTGCCGATGCCCCCAGAGAAAGAGCGAAGACGTCTTTAATCCCAACCATGTATGCGCCAACCACGGCAGCTAGGCCCTCGCCCGTGAAGACTTGACGTATCTCGGAGGCACCCGTGTTGATAACGTCGAAGGGGTTGACGTTGGGGGCAGTACTCCGGAGGGTCTCCAGCATGCGGTTGGCGAAGAGTGATTGCGCTACCGCAACGAAGTAAGCACCGCTAATCGATTGGCACACTAGTTGCCCTAGGGTTAGTGCAGCATATTTATACCAAAGTATGAAAAATAGTATCATTTACGTACTGAGCATAATACCAGTGCTGTTCGCCACATCCTCCGGTTTAGAAAAGCCTTGCACAGCGGTCATGGCGACCTGGTTCCCAAGGCCGAGACCGAATCCGAAGAGGACTTGAGGGCCAATGTACCGAGTCTTGGATGAACTGACGCCCATCGTGTATAACAAAGAGGCCCCAGCCGTCATCAGGAGCGCACTAGTGAGCTGGTACGGTTGCAGGAGGCGCGTTTTGCCAATGGCGGCACCGCTGACCATGGATCCAGCTGCGAAGAAGGCTAGGAACGGAAGGGTGTTGATGCCACTCCCAATGGCCGACTGACCGTGTATAGACTGGAAATAGATGGGTAGGTAGAACATGACCTGGTAGAGAGCAGCGTTGGAGCTTTGAAGGAAAGGCGCTGATTAGGATCAAATCTCCGAGGGAATTCATGGGGAAAAGATGACTTACATGAAGCAGTACAAGGCATTGCTCCACGTCAAACGCGGCCGAAGGAGCCTCAAAGGTACCATTCCTCGTTCGCCCTGGAACCATTCGACGACGAAGAAGAAAAAGAACAAGGCCAGCCAGAGGACCAATGTGGCGACCACACCCCCATCACTCCATGATCTGGTCTGGCCTCCCCACTGGAGAGCCAACGTCAGGCACACAAGCGAGGCGAGCCAGGCACCAAATCCTGGAAGATCAAGCTGCAAGATAACCTCCATCCAAGTGGCGCGCGCGGGCTTTATGTGCTTTGGAATGTGCAAAAAGAGCATAAGAAGGACAATTATGGGAACCCCGAGCGGGAGGTTGATCCAAAAGCACCAGCGCCAAGAGATGCCGCTCGTGAACGCGCCGCCGATGACGGGACCGAGGATAGTCGAGACCATAAACACGCCCATCCAACTTCCGATGAGCAAGGGCCGTCTCTTGGGCTCCGTGACGTAGTTGATGACGATCAATGAGCCGCCGAGTGTCCCCGATGCCCCCAGGCCTTGAATCGCCCGACCGATGATCACGGACTCGCTGTTCGGCGCCGCTGCGGCCACGATGCTCCCGAGTAAGTAAAGTACAACGGAGCCGAGGTAGGCATACTTGACGTTGAGGTACTTGTATAGCTTTCCCCACATGGGCGCCGTGGCTCCAACTAATAGGAAGGTGGCGCTGCCGTACCAGCCGACGTCGTCGAGTCGGTGGAAGTCGTCGGTGATGGCGGGGATGGCCGTGGCTACGATGCCGATCTCTAGTGCGGCGAGAAGCGTGTTCGTAAAGATGGTGAGCATGATGAGGAACAGGCGGAGGCCAGTCGCGTACTCGGGCTCGATCTCGCTCTCTAGGCTGTCTTTCTTCTCTTGCTTCTCGGGAGTGTTTTCGGACGACGCTGATTGCTCGCCGTTTGTGGCCGAGTCTGTCAGGTTACTATTTTCCATGCCGGGTGCCTTCGTTTTGATCTTCTCAGAGGGCGGACTCCGAGACGACATGTTTTCTGTCTGTTCGGCGGTGTCTGTGCCTATATTCTCAACCACAGGCTCTTGGAACGATGAGCGAGAGAAAATCTTTTTCGATCTCAGGTAAGTGCTATGGGAGTTTTTATGAGGCATGCGCATCAGCGCGTTCAATGTCCTCTAAACAACTTGAGCTATAGGACGGAGGAAGCATTGAAGGGCGGTTGCACGATATGACGGGGGTTACTCGACCGCCTTGACGGCATGGGATGTTATTGGTCGACAGACCCCACGAACCGCTTCCTCCGTCTGGATGCTGCACGGGCGTGGTCCTAGCGATGCTCACAGGGCTGCATTGCGCCGTAAAACCGCGCTGGTGAACGCCCCACATTCAACCTCATCCGGGATCAATTCCTCCGCCGGTCTTCCCTCGCCGCACAAGGGGTTCCTCAATTCACATTCCACTTCGTAGCCCGCAACTTTCAAATACTCTATCTACCGGAAAACGATATTGTTCCTATCGGCAGACTTATTCTATTGAAAATGATGACACATCCACATAATAGTCAGTCCGAAGCGAAGAAGAGAAAGCTCCGGAAGGGAACTCACAGCTGTTGGGAATGCAAACGGCGGAAGATGAGGTGCATATTTGACCCAGAACGGTTCCCGGGTGTAGCATGCCACGGCTGTCGGCGGCGGGGTTCCAAATGCATCAGCCAGGAGTTTCCCGAAGATATCTCTCTTGCTGCAGAGGAGACCCGAGCCCCGAAAGTGGGTGGTGGTGGTAATAGCATTGCAAGAGTTGAAGATCTAGTTGATCCATTGATAGATCGCATAAGCAGAGATGGGATTGGAGCCTCTTCTAACGGAAGAACACCCAGGAGGCCTAATGAAGAAAGCACAAGGGTACTGATGGACTCCAGCAATCTCACTCCTACGTCAGTGAGACCGGAGCCTTCACAACACCTAGCTTTCTATACATCTTTCAAGGTTAGTATTCCCCTCCGCCCCCTTTCCTCGGCTGTGTATAAAAACTTTAGTATCCACCCTACAAATACTCACTACTTCTATCAGCGCCGCACTATCGAGAATGGCATTTCTGCGGCAACGACTATTACGCCGGCCTCCCACGGAAAATATGGAAGGCTGTCTCAGTTCTTGCATGCATCACTACCGTCCCGAGAGGATACCGAGAGGATATGCAGAGCCAGCCATGACCCTACCGTCCTTCCCAACGAGATATTGACCATGCCATACACAGCCCTTGACCAGAACGGCCTCAAAACCCACAGGAGTCTACTGGAGATTCCCGGACCGGATCTTCACCCTGTTCTAATAGCAAGACACATGCTCCAGCTCGCCATCTTCCTGCAGCACCTCCACCCCGACCTCCACCCAGAGATCAAGGGACTACCAGAATCACCACGAGCCATGATGGAACGGTTCGCGAATCTCGCCATCAACCTCGTCACGACCAATGACGAGCTTCTCGGCAGCATCGAAGGCCTTGAGTGCGTCATGATCGAGTGCATGTACCAAGCCAACATTGGTAATCTCCGACGAAGCTGGGTGGCGGGCCGGAGGGCCACCAGCATCGCGCAATTGATGGGCCTCCACCGACCGCATCAGCGGGCACAGTACAAGGTGCTTGACCCTAGGACCAAACATGACCCGCAGCTGATGTGGCTCCGAATAGTCTTCCTGGACCGCAATCTCTGCCTCATGCTGGGTCTTCCCGAGGCTAGTCCCGACTGTAGCATGGCGTCCGAGGAGTTGCTTGTAGGTGACACTCCCATGGGTCGCCTCGAGCGAAGACACTGCGTCATCGCCTCCCGGATTCTGGGGAGAAATGCATGCGACCCGAGCCCCGAAACCTTTGCCCTAACACGAACCCTCGACGCCGAGCTGCAGAAGGCGGCTCGAAGTCTCCCGAGCAAGTGGTGGCTAGCACCGAACCTAGACCCGGCCTCAGCCGACCCGCAAACTCGGTTTTGGGACACGCGGCGGCTGTTCGCACAGGTCCTCCACTACAACCTCCTCAACCAACTCCACTTACCCTACATGCTTCGCTCCTCGTCGTCTGGGCGCAGCAAATATGAGTACTCCAGAATCACCTGCGTCAACGCTTCGCGGGAGGTGCTCTCGCGCTTCATCACGCTACGGCGCTTCAATCGAATTGCCTACAGCTGTCGCACCATCGACTTTCTCGCCCTCATGGCGGCCATGACTTTACTTTTGGCCCACCTCGATAGTAGCCAGCGCCCTGAGAATGAGAATCTCCTGGCGCACCAGTATCTTAGTGACCGGGCTATGATAGAGCAAGCGCAGGAAAATATGAGGGAGGTTAATCGTCTTAGTTCGGATGCGCTTAGTGCGCAGAGCGCGGACCTGCTGGAGCGGTTGTTGGCCATCGAGATTGACGCGGAGACGGTGAGTGTGCAGGAGACGGTGACCGAGGCGGCGCTTCGGGGACCGGATCGGGATCAAGGCGACAACGTCTTTGTGAGCGTGCACATTCCGTACTTTGGCATTATTAAGATTGCTCGTGAGGGCATGAGCAAAGTGGTTCCCGGACGGCAGGTTACCACCCCGTCGCCGATAGTACAGAACTCCACCACCACACCTAGCACAGACACCATGGTTGAGGAAACACAAGCGTCGGCCTCGGGGTTTTCCGGACCTGATAGAATCTCAAATACCGGTACCAAAGTGGTGGAACCAATGGCGATATCACAGCAGGGCATATCGAACTCCCATTCAAAAACTCAATCACCATGCCAGCTGGGTGTATTCTCAACACCTGAACCAGGTGACATCAACGATGTTGCCGAAGATTTTACACCGCAACCCTCGGCCTCTCTGGATCCTTTCCTGGAACATGGTGGTGATCCGGGACTGACAGCAGGCGGAGAAGACTGGGCATTCCAGGGCGTCGATACGGCCTTCTTCGAGAGCCTGATGAGGGACCCTGGGGACTAGGGCCAAGGTGACTCCTGTTAGATTGAATGTCAGGCAAGAGCGATTCCATTGACTCAATTGGTGTTTGAGGCTTCATCTGTACAACAAAGTCCTCTTCAACTTTCAGCTCTGACATTGTAACACAGCTGAGCCGGGCTGAGAGCTATTGGCATCGGCCAGGCCACGTTAATTGATGTTAGTAGTCGGCAAGCTGACACATTGGCCAACTGATGCCAGAGGGGGGAACATTCAATGTTGGGTGGATTGTGCCCAGTCAAGTTCTGTTCAAAAGGCCCAATGTAAAACTAGATGTGACAAACATTGATCGATTGACGGCACTTCGAGGTGTCCCGGGGAATAGAGAAGGGAATAGAGAACAATCCAGTGTTGGGTCTTTTCTCTCAAGTTTCTTTCCTTTTCTTGCCCCTGGGATCTTATGGTGCTATAGAGTCAAGCTCTTGGAGACTAATTGTCTCTATTGAGCCCGGCCCATCCTGAAAACGCTAGAACTAACTGTTGATATCCGGACTGGTCTGAGGATATGATCCGCAGCCTACCTCCAGCTGAACCAAGGCATGTGCCTCAATCAAGATTGATCAATGTGCAAATGCATTGCCCGTGGTACCGACATAGCATTGATTGAGCGCGCGAGATGTTAACAACAGCACTCTTGACGCCTCCACCTTGTTCTAGAATGTGAATCGCCAAGTGCCTATTGTTGCGATGCTCTTCATCCTCAACTTAAAAACCCACCCCCAATTCCTCTGCTCGTCTCACTCTTTCACACTCTCCCACACTCTCACACACTCTCTCGCCCTCTCTCGCACTCTCACTCACGCGAACCAACATCAACCAACACCGACCAGCGTTCTTCGTTTCCCTTCCCACTACCAGCTTCGGCATCACACTTTCGCCTCCTTTCCCCACTCTTGACCGCCTGACCCTGCCTCCTAAATACAACAACTCAAGATAATACTCCACCATACCAGAGGCGGGGGCGTTGCATAGACTGAAGGGGAGAGAGAAGGGGGATTCAGAAAATTGAGAGATAAAAAGAGAAAAAGAACTACGAAAGGAAAGTCCAGAATCTCCCAAGCCAACAGTTCCAGCTCACGAGACAACAATGTGCACGGTTAAGCTCTTCGTCTGCGACTTATGCCACCGCATCTACTCGGTCAACCTGACGCGCTGCAAACCAGCGATGAAGGACAGCCTCGACGAGTCGACCCAGATGGACGTCCTCTCGTTTTGCTGGAGCCAGGATCGCGGTTGCGGCGGCCTCGAGTTCGAGGAACACGTCGACATGGAGGAAATGTGCACGCAGTGCGAGAACAGCTGAGATTGAGGAGGAGATGGCGGTTCCCGGGGGGCAGGATAGGTTCGAACCGGCTAGACGTGGAGGTTAGGACTAAGCGGGGCCTTCTTTTTTTCTTGATCTTCTCTTTTTTTTGGTCTCGATATATGCGTCTCCGGCGTTCATACACGGTTTTGGATGGTGTTTGGGTTCTTTTCATGGACGTGGGAGTTGGAGAGATCATCGGGGGGACTTCACGTTTTGGCACAGGACCGGGGTAAAAAGAAGGGAGGGGTTGTTACGAGCTCAGGAAGTGGCATTCTTTAATCTTATATTATTTTCCCCCTTCACTCGCCGCATTTACACCGGTACTTCGTATTGCCTTTCTGTTTGCAATTCTTAATCAAAAACTCTGAAACTAGACCTGTTCTCTTCGATGAAGTACCTTGTAAAGTTGTATTCAAGGTCAGTGCTGGTTAATAGGATAATTCGATCCTGGTGCCTGACACTAACAGGCTTCAATGTTGATACGCACCTCCCTCCCACCATTCGTCAAAGGCACCACGTTTTCCGCCGCCTGCTTGCCGCCTTCTCGGCTGTTGGTGCCTCGCCTCTCCCCCCTTGCTGCAGTCAGATGTCATCGCCTCACAAGCGGCCGCCCACAGTATCATGGCGCCTACCACCCACCGTTTGATGCCTGTTGTGTGCCTGTTGTATGCCTGTATGCCTGTTTTTCCCGAGGCACTGCTGCCTAGGTGCCTAGGGGCCAAATCCATGGATACCCCTTATATATCAAAATATGGAGCACGAATATCGCCTGCGGGCAAATGGTCAAGTTGCAAAAATACAGAGAAGATTAGCATGGTCCCTGCACAAGGATGACACGCTCTATCAAAGAGAAGCTGCTCATTTTTTGCCTAGCCGCCACTCGTTCGATTCTCAGGATGAGCTCTATTTTTTTCCCTTTTTATCTCTCCTTCTCTTCATCGTCTAGCATTTTTGATGATGAGGACAACAGATGTCCCATTTAGCTCGGCTCTTCATCGACTTTCGTCCACCCTAACTAATGATCATCCTATGTCCCGTTAAGATACGAGTTTATGAATACCCATACGATACAGCTCCGGGTTAGATTCTTTCTTCAGATTCGTTTTCCTGTTTTGACACCAAAAATAGCGCGACCTCTCTGTGAGGGGTCGACTGATACCCAGATATTCGAGATTTATACTAGAACGCTCTCGCCATACTACGTGCAATAAGCACGAAGTACTTCGTAGTCGGGCTCAGATTCGTCCAAGTTCTAGACAACGTTTCCGAGCCAGTCGTCGTTTGGCTGAAACGTGTCAGAGTGTATTGACCCCGGCCATACCGTGATGAATGAGTGGATCTTTATATCCACTTGCCACTGTCTCGGATCCTCCAGATTTCCGAAGGAGGATTTTAATGACGGGAGCTTCCTTCGGCAAGGAATAGCGCAAGAACAAAGACGCCGCCTTCGCTATATGTAGGATGTAGGATGGTCAGGCGGCTGGATGCATTATACATCGCCCACGGAGTGCATTAGAAACATCCGTTGGAACCTTGCAACTCCCGGAATTTGCTCGCGTGCTCAAAGGCGCTCACTTCTTTTTCCTTTTATTACTGCGATGGCGCGCGAAAGGATACAAAATCCTAAGTGTCGCCTGTTGTTCGCGTCGCCTCTCTTCGCGGCGCCTGTCCTCCTCCCGCCGTTTCCTTCTCTCGGCTTTTCTCTCTCGTCTCTCCTCCTCCTCACTGTCCTCCTCTTCCTCTTCCTCCTCCTCCCGCCGCCGCCATCTCTCTGCTGGCCGTCTTTCTTCTCGCCATCTTCCCTCTCTCCTGTGCCGCTCCCGCCGTCTCTCCTCCTCCTGCCTCTCTTCTTCCTCCGCCTCCTCCTCCTCCTCCTCCTGTCGCCTTCTCTTTCTCCTCTCTTCCTCTCGCCTCCTCTCCCTTCTTCCCTCTCCTCGTCTCTCCCTGCGTCCTGGCTCCCTTTCCCATGTAGACTGCCCCTCCAACATCCGAACCATATCCCGCGCCGCGTAGAAATCAAGCCCAAACCTTGTCCGCCGATGCCACGCGCACGTCCGAACCCGGCAGGTCGAACATCGCACAAGAGCTTGACCACCCCCCATCTCTCGCTCGGCACCACCTTCACGTTCACATATCGGGCAGACCAAATTGCCGACCTCGGCTGTGGGGATAGTGTGCCACTGCATATCGAAGCCGTGGCCGCACGTCATGTCTCGGTTTATTACGTACCTCCGAACACCGCCCTGGATAGTTATCCATCCTGTTAACCTCGGTTTCCACCGGGGCAAGAGGCCGGGAAGAAGGGAAGTGCTAAGACCTACCTCGATCACCTGGGTGATACTGAATTCCCTTGCATTCGCGCCTGGCGGTGTGGGACCTCGCTCATCTGCAGGAAATCGTATGTTAGCCGGCTCTGGTTCTTTGAATATAGATGTCCGGTGCATTGTAAGATCGAATGGAGCTAAGCCATCCCTTATGAAAGCAGTTACAAACGAGCCACAATACGATTAAATCTATCTCCCCTCTTTCTTCTGGATATAGATATCAAGGTTAGTCCATTTTTGGGAGAAGCTGGGATGGACTGCTGATGCAGCCACGCGATGCACATACCTATGGCATCACCCATAAAGCAAAGTGGCGGAGGTGTGCGGACTGCTCGCGGGGCCGGAACTACCAGCTCTTGTTGTCTGGCGGGCTCTGGTGGAGGTGGTGGAGGTGGCTGTGCCTGCGGCTCTGGTTGGCGTTCTGGCTCCGGTTCAGGCTCAGGAGGCGGTCGTGGGGGTGACTCTAGTTCCGGCCCTGGTTCCCACTCCCGTTCCAGGAACATCGCCGGATCAAGGTTTTCAGCTAGCTCCAGTTGCCTCGCAATATCCAGCTCTCTTTCTAGGTCTAGCTGCCTCTGCCTCTCCCCCTCAGGGTCCACCGGCATAGCCTCTTCCGGGGGTGGGAGTTGCGGAATTTGCGCGACTGGGCGCGGAGGCTCCCTTTGCTCTGCCGGTTCCAGCGGTGCTCGCCGCCAACCTCGCCCAGCCAGGCGTTGCCGTATCTCTCTCGCCAGATTCCCCTCTCTTTCGACGCCCGCCTCTCTCGCCCGCCTCCCCCATCTTACCATGCGTCTCTCTCGCGCGAAATGCCGTTCTCGTGCCACAGGTCGTTCTTGCGGCTCCTCCCTCGGTGGATTATCCCAGGGCATCGGGGGGAAACCAAAGCCGTCAAAACCATCGTCAGGGAGAAACTGAAATATGCAGTTAGCAACCTAGATATGTAGAAGCGAATGTTCGGGCGTCCCATACCTCTAGATCATGGTTATCCCACTGTGCGGCCGGAGGAGGAGCAGGGTCATCGACATCCTGGCCTCCTTGCCGGTAAAGACGAGCACGGTTTCTCGCTGGGAGGCCTCTGCCTCCATAGTGGACACACGGGCATGTTTTCCATCTAGCGCCACAAAGATAGCAGAATTGATGGCCGCATTGGCATCTACAACATAAAATCCCACCTCACCCCTGCTTCCCCCTCGGGCAAGAGGGAAGAGGAGAGCGGAGGGAGTCAGTTAGCGGGATATTCCTCTAAATATAGAAACGGCAAGAAGAGAAAGTGAAGGGAACAATGGGGAAACATACGTCATATGGTTGCAACCATCTGCCAGCTCAACTACCCTTCCGCATTGGTCACATCCAGCAAGACCATTATCATCCATCATATCCATCACCTGCTCGTTTTCTCCATGCTCCTCCACACAAGCCGTGCCCGGATGTGATTGCCTTTTGCACTGCCGGCATGTTCGTCGGCCACAAACAAGACATCTTTCAGGGTCTTGCGTGTTGGGAGGAATAAAGCTGCCGCAGTCTCTACTGTGGCAGTAAGTCCGATGCCTCGGCAGAACCCCCCACTCTAGTCCCGACTCCCTCCAAACGTCGAAGAGGCGAGCGTGGGAATGGGAGTTTCCCACAGCCCAGCGAACGGCGTCTTCCGTGAGAGGTTGATGGCAGCGAGGGGGCCAGCTCCCTTCGTTGGTGAGGCCGGTTCGAAGACATTGGCGGAGGCAGGGGGCGCAGTACCAGCAGCCACAAGGGAGTTGTAGCATTGGCATGCCTGACTCCATGCAGATTATACACTCTCCATTACCGCCGGCGTTGTTGCAGTTGTCGGCTCCCTGTTCTCTATTGTCCAGGAAGCTATCCGCCACATCACTAGTCGCAATGATACGTAATCGCTCCTCCGAGGTGATCGGCGCTTCCGGTCTTCTCTCTACGTCTGCAGCTCGCTGAGGCCCATCATGCGCAGAATCCGCTTCGTCAGCCCAGCCGTGGTCATGAGCCAGGAGACCAGCGGCCCGAGCTCTCCGCAACTGGGCGGGAAGGCTGTCTCTATCATCGAGATCCAAGCCCGCCGCAAGAAGGTGATTCAAAGTCTCATCGTCGAGGTAGTCAAGTCCCCCCATACTGATTATCTCTGAGAATGTGCTAAGGGAAGGTTTAGTTCGAGCGTGAAGATATGGATAAGCAAGCTCGTCAGAGGGTGAGAAGGAAAAAAGAACTTGATATGAAGGAGCTGTAGACTTCTTGAAGGAAACGAGGCAAGGGAAGAACCTGAGCGAGCTCAAGAGGCGCTCAATATATAGAGCTAGCCCCATGATGCTGGAAAAGGAAGGCCCGCTCTATTCATGCTCATTTCATCATGAGAAAGGGGTAATCAGCCTCAACTGGCACCGCACCAGGAAGTTGGAACGGAGAACGCGGAGTGAAGACACCTGGCTCATCAAGAATGAGGAAAGCACATTCGGTGCTGAGGAGATGTATGCCCTCAATGGACCTGACCTGATCTCTTTAAGATGATATAGATATCTCTGGCAGGAGTTACTGGCGAAAAATTACAAACTCAAGAAGTTGGTCTTGAAGAAGTTCGTGTCTCAATAGGTGAACCGGGACCCGAAGCGAGGAAATTGGCGCATGAATCCGTTCAGATATTACATAGATATGATAGATTAGGCGCCCTATTCCGAGCAGTAGCGAGTCAGGGTCCTGCTCCGCGGTCTTTGGATAACTGGGCTCGATCGAGTAGTTGCAAATCAAGGTTAATAACATCAATATCAAAAAAATGGGCAGGCAAGAGCGCATGTAGTTGAACAGAAGAAAACGTATCTGGTATATTTTAGTTGTAGGCCAGGGATTGTATAGCCTTTGATGATATGAACAATGCCATATGGGCATGTCCCACTCCACCTCCTTTCCAAACCCTCACCGAGTATTAGCGTAGCTGTGTATAAGAGTAGAGGGCCCCTTTTAACATGTTTCCAAAGATTATAGAAGACCATGACCGGAGCGGGTATATATATGAGAAGGGGGTATGGTATCTCCATGTCCCCGTACTCAAGTGAAGATGTAGTCAGGATGGTGTGCAAATAGTGAAGTGAACGGCATCGAAGGGAGCGGGGGGACCACCTAAATTGCTCCATGTAATGACAAGCCCAGTGTGATTGTGCAAAATCCTTTCCGTGATATCCCATGAGAATACACCCTTCCCCACCAAGCCCATTGCCTTATTTCGTCCCGGAAACTTGTAGACGAGGAAAAATAAAAATGAGTAAAAAGGAAAATAAAAAGATGTAGATCGTCGTGATTCCGTATAAACGCCGCCGCATCATGAACTCCGTCGCTGGTACCCAATATCAAGCCTGGTGGTATAGACATGAACAGAAAGATGAAAATGCCGATAAAAACAAAATGATGAGAACGCGAGTCGTTGCCCGAGGTCCAGAACTCCGTTTGGCTCCAACCATATTAGTAGCTAAAATCCACGTTCGACATGTGCGGCAGCGTTTTATTACTATTAGAGTTGCCTGAAAATGCCGCGGGGGGTGGCGCGACTACCGTCGTGCTTGAGCTTGACGATGCCGTGCTGCCCACAGTTGTCGATGAGTTGGATTGGGTGGGTTCTAGTTCGTGTTCGGGAGGCTGGCCACTCGGCGACCAGCCTTCGTCCAGGATCTGCTGGAAGCTCCAGCTCGGTTCGAAACGGGTGCTGTTCCACGCGTAGTCGACTCTCTCATACATTTCGTCAATCTGTTCAAGACTGATCTTGCTTGTTTCGTAGACCATGCACCAGACAAAGAAAATGGCGACGATGCAACAGGCTCCCCATAGGAAGAAGATCTTGGGTCCGATGTTTGCAGACCCACGATCGTTGCCTACCATAAAGGGAGTTCCATAGGCGATAGCGAAATTCAGAAGCCAGTTTGCCGCTGTCGAGACAGACATGGCCTTAGCACGGACTTTGAGCGGGTATATTTCCGACGTGACGACCCATGCAACGGGGCCCCACGACGCGGCAAAGAAGAAAATATAAATGGCGCAGAAGACAATGAGAATTGTTTGGGCGACGACTTCAAGATCTTCGCCGGCCGCGGTAGTGAATGAAGCAATAAGGAGCTGGCATACTGCCATGCCTATTGCTCCGACGATGAGGAGTTTCCGCCGACCCCATGATTCAATAACAAGAAGACCAGGAATTGTCGAGACCACGTTGATAATGTTGATAATGAGTGATATTGTGTAAGGGTTGTCGACTCTGGCTCCTCGGAAGAAAGTAGTGCTGTAGTACATAATGAAATTAATACCTGTTAGCTGTTGGAGCATTTGCAGGACGCATCCGGTAAGAGTTCGGCGTCCGAGATGAGGGCTGCCACGGATGATATCCCAATACGTATCGGGGCCCAGGGTGAGCTCGTATTCATGATTCGCGACGATCTCTTGGAGCTCGTCGATGAGAGCCGGATGCGTAATGTCGAGACGCCGGAGCCGACTCAAAGCGAGGCCAGCAGCCTCCGGGCGACCGCGTTTCACGAGATATCGAGGGGTTTCGGGGAGAATTAGGAGACCGAGGGACAAAATGAGAGCTGCGGAAAGCTGCAGACCTAAAGGAATTCGAAAAGCAGCCGACGTGTGTTCCATCCTGTGCGTAATAATGTTGATAATAGAAGCGGAGAGAAGGCCAATGGTGATCGAGAGCTGGTAGGCGCAGACTAGAGTGCCTCGAATCCATCGGGGTGCCATTTCGGATTGGTATAAAGGAACGAGAACTGATATGGCACCAACTCCAACACCAGCCAAGAACCTGGTGGGACCGTTAGACACAATCACTCATTCAACGTGTCCATCGACGAGATCCTGTCGCAACATACCTTCCTGCCATCAACATGGGCAGTGCCTGGGCACAAGTTTGTAGAATACCTCCAACGGAGAAGACGGCGGCGCTGACGAGGAGCGAGAGTCGACGGCCGATCGAGTCGGCACCGGGAGCAGAGAAAAGAGCGCCAAAGAACGTTCCGGCGCTTAGAATAGCGACAACCATAGAGGACTCCTTGCTCGTGAGATCTGGGAGACCGAATTCGGGATCGACGTGGCCGGTCGAAAACTGATCCTTGAACGGTCGCATATCAAGAATGCCATTGATGGACCTAGGGAAAACCAAAATCAATCAGCCCTTGTCCAACCAGAAACCAATATATCGTGAATTGTGACCGTGGAAATCGCCCTCATCGCTGCGTATAGACCGCCTCTTTATTCGTCTCGGAACTACCACACTCTAAGTCGCGATATTTTCCAACCCCAACATTGAGACGAGCCCGAAACCAATCCGACGAGAACACCGTGAAAGCGCGAATATATCGTATTGCCTTACCCTGTATCGTAACCGAATAGTAAACCTCCAGACGCAACGAACAAGCCGACCATAATTGCTGGCGCCGCAGTGCCAGCGACATTGTCGGGCTTCTGCCAGCCCATGGCTATCGCCATGGCGAACGGTGGTGGACTTCAGTCCGGGAGAATCCGCCTAAGAAAATTATCGATCGAATTTCGGGGTTGGGAAGGAGGACACGATGTCAGCGTCCCAATCGATGTCGGATCATTTGTTCATCGAGTCGGGCTTGAGGAGATCGCTCACGAAGAATCGATGTTGGCGATGGTTGGCGTGTGTGGTGGGTATGGGTATACATGTAATATCGTGTGGCAAGTGGAGAAGGGGAGAGAAGGGAGGGAAAAATGGATGGTGACGAGGGTGTTGGGAACAAAGGCCAGAGGGCGGGCGTCCTGCTTGGCTCCTGCTTGGCCTGGGCGCTGTCTGGTGGGAAGAGAGGGGAGAGTGTGTGGAGGGTACATCTGCAGCCACAGAAGACAGTGTGTACTGCAATTCAGGACCTTAGGCATGCCAATATAAGGTACTATATACTTTAGATCGGATAGTACAATTGCCGGTATTATGGGTATCCTATACATGACTTCATGTCGCTAGGTTTCCGTCTGCCCCTACCGTAGCGCCGGGGAGGTACCCGAGGAATGGATCTTCTCTACCGCTTGGGACAGGCTGGGAATAGGCTGACTCTGGGGGGATTCCTGTCAAGTAGCGCACTAAAGCAGGCGGTGGAGAGTACCTTGACCGCTGGACCACACTGAAGACCGTATAGACTTGTACTTTCACATCAGTTCTTGTACCTCGTACCCCATACTGTGTGCAGGTACCAGACTGCAGCCCATCAATATAGACAACACAGACCAGACCCAAAACGTAACTTGTTCCTCACTTTAAGTTACAACATTCCAAAATCACGGTACTTAGACTCTTTCAAAGCCGTTGATTGGTCCCAGAATAGACCCACACAGTGAGAGACCCCAGAAGTACTTGCACGAGTCGAGTTTCCACCCCCTCCTCATCTCCCATCTCGCGTTCCATCCAATGTGGTTGTGGTGCCATTTTCTTGCTTCAATAAGATTGTTCCCTGGTCGCACAAGAGAAGACTCGCCGGCTCACTTAACCACGCGATTGATTCCGTTTGATTTTTGACCACTGAGCCGGGCGGATGCCACTGTGTCCAATATTCTTTTTCGAAGGCGGCGCTTTGTTTAAAGAGATAGGACATCTTGAAAATAGAGATGGTAAGAAAACCGGTACGAAGTACATTGTAATCCTCGAAAGGGGAACAGTGTCTCGAAATAGTTGGCCTGACATGAAGTGGAACATCCCCTTGACATCTATACGAAGTCCAGAACGCGAAAACCGCGTGAAGCTCAGGCGACTAGGTGGTTGAATTTGTCAATTTGTTAGAGAGGCTGGTACTCCGTGCGGTTCAAGTGCCATCAACACTAGTCGCTTGCTTATTAGCCTGTACTTGGATCTTGTTACAGCCACCACTTCGTATAGTCTTGGACCGGGGATCACACTGTGTGTGCCACTTAATCAGAGGATTGGAGAATGACACAGTGACCTGCCGGGGTCTATCAAGCAGACGGGAGTCAATTTCAGAGCAGACGACTTTCAATTCTCTTCGAACAATTGTCCTCGAGGCGATCCTCTCACTGCACTCTCCTGCACGCGGACGGGAAGATCAGTGACTCGATTTATGAAAGCCTAGGAAAACCCGCAATACAGGACTTACTCTTAGGGACCGTGGTTCTGTCTCCTGACCTAAGAAGGAAAAATCCTGGGACCGAGGCGAATAGTGTCTAAACTAGCCCAGATCCCCCTGCTTCAAGGCAGGCCTCTCGTGAAATGAATCCCAGGGCGCGCATCATGCTTTTTCGTCAATGTCTAGACAAGGCGCTACTGCGAATAGCGCCCGCTGCAATCCCAGCCCAGACCGAATCCAGCCAGTTACTGAGGAGGTGGCTTGTTTCCAACTGCCCCTTCACCCTGTCCACACAGACCTCTGTTAAGTCATGCCATCGCCATTATGTATTACCAGTATGAAGTACGTAAAGACATCGATGTCTTCCCGCTCCTTACCAGTGATTGGAGTGAGTTGGTACAGAGCACTGAGAGCAATGCATTGGATCCACCGATCCTTCACCAAAACTCTGGGCTCTCTTCTTCTTCTCAGACTTCTAGCTAACGGTGCTGGGAACTGTGTGACACGGAGTACGCAGATTTTTCTTAAAAATCTTCCCTCAGCCACGCATCATGCAAGTACTGGGTTATGTGGTTCAACGGGGGAGGCACTTGATTTGTAGTTTAGGAGTGTCAAGATGCACCACTTCTTTGTTACGCCACCTTTACACCAGGAATCCACACTGAATTCGGGTACCCACTCAATGGAGGACCAGAGTGCCATCAACGGCTCCATTAGCAACATTGAATGACTACCCCAGTCCATCACTTCTCCACTCAGTATGAAGTCGCTACGCAGGTTAGTGGCCCTAAGGTCCCCTTTTTCCCTTCAAGAGCCGAAGCCGACCGAACACCACCAGGAGGTTCCCGTCATTCGCGCCAGAATCGGTTTTGCGGGGAAGGATTCCCCAAAGAACGCGATAGTCAGCGGCGATCCTTTCTCGATGGGTGGAAAAAATGAGCAGACCGCCGCAAGCGAGAAATCGATTTCCCACTGATCGAGATGGCAACCCAGACATCGATCAATTAACTACTGTACGACACATTCCTTTAAACCCTGGTGATGAGCACGCTTTTTTTCGCTGGCATGTTTAAGCCACATGAAACCCTGGGAATTCGCATGAAGGAGGGAAGCGAGTTGTTTGCCCTGCTTCCTTTTTTCTTCTCTGTCTCTCTCCCTTCTCAATAAACCCATGTCTGGAATGGATAGACAAGGCCACTAGTACCATGTACTTTTGCACTACAGGTTTTCAGACAGTGCGCGCACTAATCAGGTTCGCGTCGATTGTCCAATGCTTGTACAGAGTACTATACGTAAGCACAACTGTTTGTTTGATCAATTGATGTCTGTTTGCCCATCCTCCAAGTCCAGCGCGTGCTGCACTTCGGGAAGAACAGTTCACCAATTGACGCCGTTCCAAAAATGGCTAGGCTGAAAATAGGCTCGTCCTGCAGGTAGGCGAATCCAGAGAAACAACATTGATCAATTGTATCACTCAACCAGGACAGGGAGCAGCCTTTAGTGCAGTCTTCATGGGGTCGAGACCCAAGAATCCTGCGACGCACCTCTCCCCTTTGCTTCCAACAGGAGGCCAAACTGTTTGCAGTTAGTGAATAACCTGATTTGTGTTGGAAGGAGGTCGTGGTCGTATGGCCGAATGCTCCCCCTTCTGCTTCAAGAGCAGCGCCGCATCAACGCCGGTCACCTTGGCTCTCGTTGCGTCTTGCATGCAGGCGACTCGGAGTCGAAAGGATCATTGCACCGATGATGTCCGCTCCTTCCCGTGACGATGTGACGATGAGAAACTCTTCGTCGGGTAGAGGCAAGGGAGGGAAGGAGGGAAGTGTGGAGGGAGGACTGATGTATTGGTGGTGGGTGTGCCTCCTAATACGCCTGTTTCTGTACGAAGTACAGCATCCGGTCATGTTGGCTGTTTCCCTTGCCTCCAGCTCTCGCAGATTGGTCGGCGACTATGACCTCTCCTTTGTGAAAGTGTGTCCCTTTCCGCCCACATGCTCAGCTACGATTCATGGTAGCGAGAAGTCGTTCAACCTACAGATGCATGGGTTTATTGAAAAGCCTTGATTACGGTTCCGGATACTGGCGTCTCACCGTTCCATGATTGTTACGAGGGTACCTTTGGGTCATAAACAATATTTGTGCTGGTAATGAGCACACCCTCTGCGGCGCGGACGAAGAGACATGAAGCAAGCTCCATCGTTCAAGGGATTACGAGGGTGAAGCCTCAGCCACGCCTGCAAGAAGCCAATTGATACATGATACAGTGAATAGGGTCAACAAGGGATCCTGAACAAAAAATAGCCTCCAATATCAGCCCTTTGGACACCGAGCTCATATCCTCATCGTCTCTGCACGAAGCAATAAGCTCGCCTTACCCTGTTTATTGGGCTCCACCAGGACCTGAATTTTCAACAGCAATACACTAAACGTCGTAACAAAGCAATACTCATACTTTGTAATTTCTCATCATCCGCGGCCCTGACCCAAACCGCCATCCAATCTGCCCAGCTCACTCTGTCACAGACGCAGAGCAACCCACACGTGGCTTGGCGACAATTTTGGGGCAAGATTTGTCACGCTAAAAGTCCAGCATAGAAATCAATGAAATAAATGCGCTTCGCCAAGCCCGCACCCGAGAACCGATGTCCGAAAGGGAAATAACTCAAGCATTCACCCGTTTTTTTTCTTCACGCGAGAACCACCAGGCTCCACTAGGCGTCCGTCTACAGCGACGAGAGCTTTTCGACCGGCGTGGATCTGCTTCCCCCTTTACTTCGTACGTCAGTTCAGATTCTGAAATTGAGTTGAGGAATGTCGAGACTGTAGGGAGAAGATGGGAATAATAGAGACGCTGCTGTGCTTGCTACCCCTGCCGCCATCGACTCGCCGATCCTGTTCTTTCGCTCATTCCAAACAAATTAGTTTGTTCGAAGACTAGTGCCCAAGCTCGTCATCCAATGTCCGATCTGGCACTTTGCCACTTCCAGTTAATCACCCTGTAGCGCCTCCCTAGTAAGGCTTCCATGCTTCAATGATCATCATCAGCCTCGGCATAGCATGTGAGTGCCATGTTCGGAGAACGAGCGACTGAACGTGGATGCGTTTCTGCTTCTCTCACCAACGAGTGGTTCATTAAGGAGTGGAAATACCCGTGCAGGTGGTTGGGACTGTCGTTTTCTGATTCCCCGGATTTTCATCCCTGTTTTGGACCTTGTGTTATCTTGACCAGTGCAAGAGCCTGGCCGCTACGTACCTGCCTGGCAGTCGCACAAAATAGAGCTTCTGGATTGTGATTTGATGGTTTCATTCTCAGGCGTTATATGGAGGCTTCGGTACAACGACGCATACGTCTATTCCCTTCCATCTGTCGAGGTCTTGCCTATGGCGCCCTCT